TTATAGCTTCAGTCCGAAGATTAAAACGCAGTGAAGGAGTCATTTCCGATCCTATAAACCATATATATTCTTGATCAGCATCAACAGCCCAATCGCTCTGGCCTTGTCCGGTCGAAAAATAAATGTTTGGCATTTTTCCGAAAATTGAAAATTTTATAAGGGGTTACATCATTAAAATTGCCAAAAATTGACAAAAAATTAAATTTTTTAAATTTGAAAACTGAGTATGCAGCTTTATTAATCTACTAAAAACTAGCATAGAACAGCTTTCCGAATTAAAATATATGATTTTTTGGCTTAGTTGTGAGTTTTTTAAACTATGATTTTTGGGAAAATTTGTCTGTTTTTATACCTTTTTGCGAGTTTTTATAATTTTAGTCAGAAACTTGTTACAGCATCAACAAACGCAGTATGCAGATTTGTTAGTGCTATAAAAACTTGCACAGAAAAGCTTTCCGATTCAAAATTAATGCTATTTTGGCTTAAATATGATGTTTGGAAAACTCAGATTATTTAAGAAAATTGTCTGTTTTTATACCTTTTTGCAGAGTAAAGCTTCAGTCAGAAGATTAAAACGCAGTGAAGGAGTCATTTCCGACCCTATAAACCATATATATTCTTGATCAGCATCAACAGCCAAGTCGTTCTAGCCATGTCCGGTCAAGAAATAAATTTTTGACATTTTTCCGAAAATTGAAAATTTTATAAGGGGTTACATCATTAAAATTGCCAAAAATTGACAAAAATTGAATTTTTTAAATTTAAAAACTGAGTATGCAGCATTGTTAATCTACTAAAAACTAGCATAGAACAGCTTTCCGAATTAAAATATATGATTTTTTGGCTTAGTTGTGAGTTTTTTAAACTATGATTTTTGGGAAAAGTTGTCTGTTTTTATACCTTTTTGCGGGTTTTTATAATTTTAGTCAGAAACTTGTTACAGCATCAACAAACGCAGTATGCAGATTTGTTAGTGCTATAAAAACTTGCACAGAAAAGCTTTCCGATTCAAAATTAATGCTATTTTGACTTAAATATGATGTTTGGAAAACTCAGATTATTTAAGAAAATTGTCTGTTTTTATACCTTTTTGCAGATTATAGCTTCAGTCCGAAGATTAAAACGCAGTGAAGGAGTCATTTCCGACCCTATAAACCATATATATTCTTGATCAGCATCAACAGCCCAATCGCTCTGGCCTTGTCCGGTCGAAAAATAAATGTTTGGCATTTTTCCGAAAATTGAAAATTTTATAAGGGGTTACATCATTAAAATTGCCAAAAATTGACAAAAAATTAAATTTTTTAAATTTGAAAACTGAGTATGCAGCTTTATTAATCTACTAAAAACTAGCATAGAACAGCTTTCCGAATTAAAATATATGATTTTTTGGCTTAGTTGTGAGTTTTTTAAACTATGATTTTTGGGAAAATTTGTCTGTTTTTATACCTTTTTGCGAGTTTTTATAATTTTAGTCAGAAACTTGTTACAGCATCAACAAACGCAGTATGCAGATTTGTTAGTGCTATAAAAACTTGCACAGAAAAGCTTTCCGATTCAAAATTAATGCTATTTTGGCTTAATTATGATGTTTGGAAAACTCAGATTATTTAAGAAAATTGTCTGTTTTTATACCTTTTTGCAGATTATAGCTTCAGTCCGAAGATTAAAACGCAGTGAAGGAGTCATTTTCGACCCTATAAACCATATATATTCTTGATCAGCATCAACAGCCCAATCGCTCTGGCCTTGTCCGGTCGAAAAATAAATTTTTGGCATTTTTCCGAAAATTGAAAATTTTATAAGGGGTTACATCATTAAAATTGCCAAAAATTGACAAAAAATTGAATTTTTTAAATTTGAAAACTGAGTATGCAGCTTTATTAATCTACTAAAAACTAGCATAGAACAGCTTTCCGAATTAAAATATATGATTTTTTGGCTTAGTTGTGAGTTTTTTAAACTATGATTTTTGGGAAAATTGTCTGTTTTTATACCTTTTTGCGGGTTTTTATAATTTTAGTCAGAAACTTGTTACAGCATCAACAAACGCAGTATGCAGATTTCTTAGTGCTATAAAAACTTGCACAGAAAAGCTTTCCGATTCAAAATTAATGCTATTTTGGCTTAATTATGATGTTTGGAAAACTGAGATTATTTAAGAAAGTTGCCTGTTTTTATACCTTTTTGCAGATTATAGCTTCAGTCCGAAGATTAAAACGCAGTGAAGGAGTCATTTCCGATCCTATAAACCATATATATTCTTGATCAGCATCAACAGCCCAATCGCTCTGGCCTTGTCCGGTCGAAAAATAAATGTTTGGCATTTTTCCGAAAATTGAAAATTTTATAAGGGGTTACATCATTAAAATTGCCAAAAATTGACAAAAAATTAAATTTTTTAAATTTGAAAACTGAGTATGCAGCTTTATTAATCTACTAAAAACTAGCATAGAACAGCTTTCCGAATTAAAATATATGATTTTTTGGCTTAGTTGTGAGTTTTTTAAACTATGATTTTGGGAAAATTTGTCTGTTTTTATACCTTTTTGCGAGTTTTTATAATTTTAGTCAGAAACTTGTTACAGCATCAACAAACGCAGTATGCAGATTTGTTAGTGCTATAAAAACTTGCACAGAAAAGCTTTCCGATTCAAAATTAATGCTATTTTGGCTTAATTATGATGTTTGGAAAACTCAGATTATTTAAGAAAGTTGCCTGTTTTTATACCTTTTTGCAGATTATAGCTTCAGTCCGAAGATTAAAACGCAGTGAAGGAGTCATTTCCGATCCTATAAACCATATATATTCTTGATCAGCATCAACAGCCCAATCGCTCTGGCCTTGTCCGGTCGAAAAATAAATTTTTGGCATTTTTCCGAAAATTGAAAATTTATAAAATTATACAAATTATAAAATTTTCAATTTTCGGAAAAGTGCCAAAAATTTATTTTTCGACCGGACAAGGCTAGAACGATTGGGCTGTTGATGCTGATCAAGAATATATATGGTTTATAGGGTCGGAAATGACTCCTTCACTGCGTTTTAATCTTCTGACTGAAGCTATAATCTGCAAAAAGGTATAAAAACAGGCAACTTTCTTAAATAATCTGAGTTTTCCAAACATCATAATTAAGCCAAAATAGCATTAATTTTGAATCGGAAAGCTTTTCTGTGCAAGTTTTTATAGCACTAACAAATCTGCATACTGCGTTTGTTGATGCTGTAACAAGTTTCTGACTAAAATTATAAAAACCCGCAAAAAGGTATAAAAACAGACAACTTTTCCCAAAAATCATAGTTTAAAAAACTCACAACTAAGCCAAAAAATCATATATTTTAATTCGGAAAGCTGTTCTATGCTAGTTTTTAGTAGATTAATAAAGCTGCATACTCAGTTTTCAAATTTAAAAAATTCAATTTTTTGTCAATTTTTGGCAATTTTAATGATGTAACCCCTTATAAAATTTTCAATTTTCGGAAAAGTGCCAAAAATTTATTTTTCGACCGGACAAGGCTAGAACGATTGGGCTGTTGATGCTGAGCAAGAATATATATGGTTTATAGGGTCGGAAATGACTCCTTCACTGCGTTTTAATCTTCGGACTGAAGCTATAATCTGCAAAAAGGTATAAAAACAGGCAACTTTCTTAAATAATCTCAGTTTTCCAAACATCATGATTAAGCCAAAATAGCATTAATTTTGAATCGGAAAGCTTTTCTGTGCAAGTTTTTATAGCACTAACAAATCTGCATACTGCGTTTGTTGATGCTGTAACAAGTTTCTGACTAAAATTATAAAAACCCGCAAAAAGGTATAAAAACAGACAATTTTTCCCAAAAATCATAGTTTAAAAAACTCACAACTAAGCCAAAAAATCATATATTTTAATTCGGAAAGCTGTTCTATGCTAGTTTTTAGTAGATTAATAAAGCTGCATACTCAGTTTTCAAATTTAAAAAATTCAATTTTTTGTCAATTTTTGGCAATTTTAATGATGTAACCCCTTATAAAATTTTCAATTTTCGGAAAAGTGCCAAAAATTTATTTTTCGACCGGACAAGGCTAGGGTGATTGTGCTGTTGATGCTGATCAAGAATATATATGGTTTATAGGGTCGGAAATGACTCCTTCACTGCGTTTTAATCTTCGGACTGAAGCTATAATCTGCAAAAAGGTATAAAAACAGACAATTTTCTTAAATAATCTGAGTTTTCCAAACATCATATTTAAGTCAAAATAGCATTAATTTTGAATCGGAAAGCTTTTCTGTGCAAGTTTTTATAGCACTAACAAATCTGCATACTGCGTTTGTTGATGCTGTAACAAGTTTCTGACTAAAATTATAAAAACCCGCAAAAAGGTATAAAAACAGACAATTTTTCCCAAAAATCATAGTTTAAAAAACTCACAACTAAGCCAAAAAATCATATATTTTAATTCGGAAAGCTGTTCTATGCTAGTTTTTAGTAGATTAATAAAGCTGCATACTCAGTTTTCAAATTTAAAAAATTCAATTTTTGTCAATTTTTGGCAATTTTAATGATGTAACCCCTTATAAAATTTTCAATTTTCGGAAAAATGCCAAAAATTTATTTTTCAACCGGACAAGGCTAGAACGATTGGGCTGTTGATGCTGATCAAGAATATATATGGTTTATAGGGTCGGAAATGACTACTTCATCCTGCCGGGGTATAAATATATGGAAAACAACCTCGAAAATATGTCATAAATAGTTAATCAAAGAAATATTAATATTATCTCACATTCAAGACCCCATCTTTAATATCTTTGCTCCGTGAACACTCTTTTAATTATAATCCCATTCTGCTTTAATCTATTATTCATTATTTATCAAACTCTTTATATCATTTGACAAACACGTCTGCGAAAGAAAATACCTAAACTAAAACTAATTAACCTGCTTTTGCCATAACACCATTAAAAGCCTATCACAATGTTTTTTTCTCATCTCCACCTCTCTTTTTTGGGTGTAGAAACCAAATCGCCAGACTGACTATTACGATATCTCGCCACGCCCCTTTGGAGTGCCAGCGGCATCGGCGGTATCTGGAGCTGGAGCTGGAGCGGGAGCGGGAGCGGGAGCCGGAGCGGGTAGTGGTGCATCGCTGACCAATGGCTTCACACGCTCGAAGGCGATACGGAATGGAGCGGGCAATAGCCTGAACGGAGGAGGATTCCAGCCGCAGACGCAGCGCGTCAATGTGCCCCACCAGCAGACGCAATTTCTGGCCCACTTCAGCGAGTCCGGGGTAAGGAAATCAAGATCGATATCGAGATCGAAGCGGAGATCTGGAGTGGGGATTCCAGAAAGTAAAAGCGGCAGAAAAGCAATTTCAATTGGCATAACAAGAAGCACTCGGAGTCGAACTCAAGAGCTCGGAACACGGGCAAAAACAATTTCGCAGCGCCAATTGCATAACAAGTTAACAAAACAATTGGCTCTGCTCTGATTTTAGCCAATATCTGTAATAGTTTTTTTTGTTTTCTTTTTATACCCTTTCAGGGTAGTATCAATTTGGTCAGAAATTTGTAACGTAATAAAGGAAGGTATCTGTTAATTAGTATCTGCAACCTGTCAGTCTGTCCGTTTCTAAACAAACTAGTCCCTCAGTTTTAAAACTATATAAATGAAACTTTGCAGTTAGTCTTCGAATGATTCACATCCACATAATCAAATCTATTAAAGTAAAAGAGATATCCATTTAGAATTTAAATCTGCAAATATGTGTAGAGATCAACAATATCATATTACACATTTCAACCGAAAAATATTGCGATTTTATTATGTTTCAATTCCAAACTGAAAAGTATACAAACTTCGGTGTGCCTAAGCTAGCTTTCTTTCTTTTTTTATATTTCTTGGAGTCTTACGTGACTCCCGAACAGTAAATGCTTTGAGGCGCTTTTTTCTCTCCCCTCATTTCAAGTAGCCAAACTTCAGAACCAGTTCCAAGAGTTTACTTTTTAAAAACAACCGCAGAAAAAGGCCAAATCGAATTATAGTTTACCTTTCACCCGATTGCATTTCATGCTCCACATTTTTTATTGTTATTTGCTTAACGTTTTGGCAAAGCCAACCACCAACAAGTTGCGTTCATAAATCATGTTCGCCTTACCAATTTCTGTTTATTTATAAAAATAAGTGTGCGAAGTAAGGAAGGCAAGTGTTTGCGCACATAACTTTTGGCAATCTTGAAGCTGTTTCTCTTGACTCCACAAATATTTACTCGTATATTTAAAACATTTCGAACTCTCATAACATAATTGAAATGTCAGAGCGGAAGATTGGTAGTAGTAGTTCCCTTTCCGTTTTCTCCATTTCTCATTTACCATTTCTCGTTTTGCCCACATAAATTTCTCAAGTTAATTGCTGCAATTTGTTGGACCATTCAGGCGAAAGTGCTGCCTTGATGGATGCCGGGCTTAAATATCAAATTGGTTCACGATTAATCGGCCATAATAATAACAATTGCTAGTGGGCGCTCAAAAACTCATTAGTTGGCATTACTTTTGAGATCATGCCTTTTAGCGGTTAACAAATTCATCCTCTCGTCCCCATTCTCCATCCAAACAGCCAGCCATCCGAAGCTTTGCCAATCTCCAATCATCTTCATGACTGCTAAACACTAACGCACACAGAAAGAAATAGGAGAGCAGTTGATTTTTCTATTATCTAGTATCTTTCACAGCTTTCAAGGGTTTATTTAGTCATAGATTTATTCACCTTTAAACCATACTGAAAAGCACTTTCATAGCTCCATGACCAACTATTTGTGAAGGTTTAAATAGAACACAGAAAGATACTAAATTATTTTTTTATACTTATAGAGTACAAATTCACAATTGCAACAATACATCATCATCTGCTCTTAAATCAATTACCAAGTACCCCTTTTTCTCTCTGTGACTGGGATTTGGCAACCTGCTGTGGGGATTCTCCTAACTTTGACAGTTGCGAGGTTGCCTTCACATAAAAATTAAATAAATACGAGCGCATAAATTAAAGATGAACGGATGGATAAATGGGGCTGGGAGGGAGGTATAAGGGAATGGGGATTACTGGTTGAGGAAAATTTGCACAAAACGCTTTAGACAAATTTGAGAATCACTTGAATGGCACGGCGGTTGAGAAGAGTTCGCACGCCATACAATTGACAGCAGAAGACGACGACGAGCGAACCGCAGAGATTGCGGTTCCATGGCGAAACTGTAACAGTTTCCCATGACGACGACGACGGCTCTCGAGGCTGTGAACGGAGCCATGGTGCAGCTGCTCCCGTGATCCGAAACAATGCACTGACTGAGCTCTCATTAATCCCCACATCTCTTCTTGCAGAACGACAAGCGTCCGGCGACGCCGTCCAACACTCGGCCGTATGGCAATGGCGGTGGCTTCTCACCCAGTCGGACACGGACCCAGGCCCCGGTTTCGGCGCTGCCCGAGAACCCAGCCACGCCCGCCTCTACGCCCTTTAGGCCAAGGAATCGGTATCAGCCAGGAAGCAGTGCCACTCCATCCAGCACCTCAACGACCACGGACAGTGCGGAGGTCACCAGCAAACGGTACAATCGCTTTGGCAGCAACCGGGTCAAGTCCACCAGCACCACCTCGACTACGCAGAACACTCCATCGGAACGTCCAAGCTTTGGCAGGAAGTCCCCGAATCCCCGACGGCCAGTGTTCATCAGTCGCGAGGTGAACGAGCCCGTGAGCTTGGTCAGCAAGAGGCCCTTCAACTACAGCGCAGCCAGGCTGAAGTTACCCGCCAGACCCACCGCTCGCACCACTAGCACCACCGAGAGCGCCGAGGAGGAGGAAGAGGAGGCCCTGGACGAGGATCAGGACGATGAGGATCAGGAGAACAGCGACGAGCAGTATGAGCAGGAATCCGATGAGGGACCGGAGGATCATTCGCAGTCTTCCAGTTTGGAGAAACTGCCCCTTCAGGAGGAGAATGTTACCCCAGTGACAGTGGCCAAGAGTGAAGCATCTCCACCTGCGGAGCCCTCCGAGGTCACCACCATTTCGGAAGTAGATAATGAGAGCAGCACCGCTAGCACCGAAGAAAGCCAAACGGATGTCTCGGAAGTAACCAACGCCGAAGTGGAGGCCACCACCTTGGTCTCTGCTCAGGAAGAGGAGATCGCTGAGGAAGCCACAACCATTATGCCGCAGGAGAACCAGTCCACCGAGGAACTCCAAGTGGAAGAACAAGCCGTGACCACTGAGACACCCGTTGAGAGCACCTCCGAGCAGGAGGAAGTTGTGAGCCCAAAGGCGGAGGAGAAACCAGAACAGGAGCCCAAATCCACGAAGCAGGAGGAGCACAGTTCGTCCAAGCAGGAAAGCCACAGCTCATCCAAGCAGGAAGAGCAATCCGAGTCCCAGTACGATGATGAAGGCGAAGGGGAGGACTATGAATACGACGATGAGGAAGGCGGCGAAGACTCAACCAAAGAGGTGGAAGCGCAGGACTCCAAGCCGTCATCCACTCCCAGTGCCGAGCATGTGGATGATCGCGAAATCATATCGGTTGTTACCACCAAGAGTGTGGTCAATGGATCTACCGTTCTGCCAGCGCCAGTCACGCCTAGTTCCAACACCATAACAGAGGAGGAGGGAGAGGAATCCCTGTCCGAGCTGAAGGTGGACACCACCACTCCCATTACCCTGGAAACGGAAGAAAAGGGATCCAATGCCACGGAGAACTATGTCGTGGTGGCTTCCATTCAGCCCAGTCGCAGCATCAATGGTGCCAGGTTCCTGCCCTTCCCCGCCATCGAGCAGGAGGAGACCAAGCAGACCCTATCTGAGCTGGAGCGGAAGGTGCACTCCAAGCAGCAGAAGCAGCCAGAGGGCAGTGAAGAGGTTCCCGTCGTCAGCTCATCCGTTCAGCCACCGGTGGCTGCCTCCACCGAGAGCATTATCGATAAGCTGGATCGCGTGCAGTCAGAGCTCTCCAGCGGCCTGCTTTCTGGCAAGTATCCCATCATCAGCCAGATGGACTCATCGACCCCGGCGACCAGCACCACCGCTGCATCGGGCTCTGGCAAGTTCGTGCCCCACATAAGGAAGTTCCAGCCCAGGACAACCTCTGCTCCCAGCACCACCAGCAGTGGCAGCAAACTCAAGGTACAGCACTTCGACGAGGGTGAAATGGACGAGCTGGCGGGACTCCTGCCAGTGGGCTTCAAGCCCAAGTCAAGCTACAAGAACCGCAAGATTACAACAACGACGTCCACGACAGAAGCTCCGCCGGCAGAGCTGGCAAAGCCCAAGCCAGGACGCAACTCTACCATCAGTCGGTCCTTTAAGAGCGGCCAGGTGACAGTGCAGGACGTGGGTCTTGCGGGACTCCTGCCCAAGGGCTATAAGCCGCCCAGGACAACTACTACCACGACTACGACAACGAAAAAACCGGATGCCAAGCCCTCTTCTGGCCTAGAGAGTCTCTTCAGCGAGGTGAAGTTCGACGATAGCCTGGCCGCCCTTTTGCCCAAGGACTACAAACTGAGCAGTACTCCCAAGCCGGAGGTTTCGGTGGTGGATGACATCTCCAAGTTCCTGCCGCCGGGCTACAAGGCGAATGCCAGCACTCCCAGCTCGACCACTCCCCGAAACCTGCCAGTGGCTGTGCCCTTCGATGACTTGAGCAAGTTCCTGCCGCCCGGCTATAAGGCTCCCAAGGAGAAGGAGCAACCAAAGCTGCCGGAGGGTGCAACGCCCATTAAAATTGATGACTTGAGCAGTCTGTTGCCGCCAGGATTTAAGCTGAATGAAACCAGCAAGACGGAGAGCGAGGCCAGCGATGAGATCCCTGCCTCGCTGCTGCCACCTGGCTACAAGTCGAAGAAGGTTCATCCCGCCTCTACGACCACAACGACAGGTAAGCCCAAGGCCGCGGCATCCAGCACCACTGAGGCAGCCGCTGTGACCGAGACTAGCGGGGGAAGCGGCCTGAAGGTTGTGTTCCCCAAGGGTTTCCACAAGCGATTGAGTGCCCAGCGCATCACAACTCCGCATCCCTCTCATGACGGCGGTGCCACTGAACCCAAAAAGGACGAAGGATCACCGCAAGTGGTGATCAAGAAGGGTCCTCCAACCAGAGCCACCACAGAGTTCACAGGCTGGCCAACTCCGCCAACTACTCCACTGTCCATCGACAAGCTGAACGCACAGACCATTAACTTTGAGGATCTGCTGACCGCCAGTGGAACAAGTAGCACCAGTAGCAGCACCACCACGACGACGAGTACAACGACCACGACGACCCCGCGACCCACGAAACCAGGTCACTGCACCGCCGACTGCGATCTGGCGGCCACCATCAAGATCATCGATGGCGTGGCCTGGAAACCGGAGCTGCTAGACCACAACACGCTCGAATGGAAGAATCTGGCCCACGAGCTGGAGGCACAGCTCAATGAAGTCTACTCGGGAGCTTCGCAGCTGAATAAGTGGTACAAGAAGGTGCGCATCGATAGCTTCAGCAAGGGCAGCGTCCTGGTCGACTATTACGTGGAGCTGGCCAACATCACCGAGGATGTGGATACCCTGGAAATACGTCAGCTGTTCCATGATGCCCTAACCAAGCCAGCAACGCCATCCGTGCCGGATAAGGATGCCCAGGAGAATGAGACGGACAGTGTGTCGGGACCGCAGGAGGAGCATTTAGTCACCGCCAGTTATCAGATGGGCAAATACATTATTGATCCGGTGGCCACAGATTTTAGTGGTGAGTCGGGGAAACTTCATTACTGAACTATAGTGATTAATGTATAATCTCATCTTACAGTCATAGCGAAGAATGTGCACACCAATGTGGAGTATCCCGAGGAGGATCTGCTTATACCCCAATGGGCTATTGTGGTGATCGTTATTGGAGTGGGCTCCCTGGTCTTTGTCATCATCTTTGGCGTTACAGTGGTGAGTGATTTACAATTCTTGGGCCTCTTGGAGAGCTTTGTGTAATCTTTTATCTTCTTTTAGCTGCTGAACCGCCAAAAGAGGGCCAAGAAGGCTCCGATCCCTTTGACCAATGACATGCTGAACGAGCTCAAGGTAAACCATATGGGCGGTGTGGATAACTATGGCGTGGATGACTTCTACAACATAGACGATCCCTGGAATGATACAAAACAGCCTATCAAACCAAAGGTAACATCACTATCTTAATTATTGCACCTTTTTGTTAATTATTTAATTAAATTCCTGCAGCGCTTCACCAACTCCATGCACGGCAGCAACAGTTCCAACATTTATGACAGCTGGCGCTCCACTCGCCATGCGCACACCAGCGGTGACTACTTCTATGACCAACAGCCGACGTACTCCCAAAAGGGCGACTCCCTGAAGAGGCCGCAGCATCACCACCATCACGGAAGTCACAGCAACCACGGCCAGTACAGTGGGCGGGATCATCACCAGCCGCAGCAGCATCAGCAGGCGTACGGACACCAGTATCCGGATGCCTTTGCCGATGCCCACCAGATGTACAGCTACAACAATCATGCGAGTAGGACGCGCTACTCGCGCGACTACGATCCCGACTTCTGAGCTGCTTCGGAGACCTCCTCCAGCCAGGGCACCAACTAGCTTTAGTAACCTGCGAACGACTCGAGTTGTAACTTAATAGTGTAAAGAGCGAGGAGCAGAGAGAGTATCGTATTTGTAAGGCTGCTATAATTTATCGTATATACTGCCCGCTGGCCACAGCCATAGCCTAGGCCTAGGCGTTGTGGTCAAGCAAAGCTATCTACTTCTTACACCCAATATATGGAGCTGCTATATCCGGATGCCTTACACTTCCTTACACACTTAATATGTATACGTTTGAAGGAAATGTTCATTAATAGACCTTTGGGGCATGCCCCGAAATTAAATAGTCATGCACTCTTAGTTAATCTTAGCGAGTAAGTAAGAAATAGATACACTACATATATACTTTGTATTATTTAAAGTACTGGCGGCTTGCTATAATACTAATAATGTCGAAAAATAGACTAATAAATGAAAAAATATATTATATACGAAGAAAATGGGATTTTGTTTGTTCTTGGTTTTCTTTACCACGTGCAGAGGGCAGAAGATGGAGGATTCATTTATTTGCATACTCTAAAAGCGCCATCTAGGGGCAGACTTTGCACTAATTGAAGTTTCAAAAGCTAATTCAAATTTGGCGGTCAACTGATATGGCGGCAACTCATAGTCTGTTTAAATTCGAATTCAATTTTGGCGGTTAAATTAATATATTTTATTTTTCTTTTGTTGTTGTAAATTGCAAATTGTTGTTGTACAAGAGTTCTTGTTGGTTTTTGTTGTTGTTGGCAAAAACACGTCTTGAAATCTGGTCATTTTCAGTACAAATTCGTCAATTTCTGGATATCAGGTACCAGGCAAACAGAAGTCAGTAGATGGAGGATGAAATTTTGCAGGCTCTAAAGCGCCATCTACTGGAAGAGTTCAGAACTACTTAGCGCAGTTTTGAACCATCCTAAGGTCTTGAACGTTAGCGCAGACTCAAACCTCATGCTAGCTCGATTTTTCTACCAATGTATCGTTATCGAGTTATCGTATGTTATTTTTGAATTCGAATTCAAATTTTGGCGGTTAACCTAATTTATTTTCTGTGTTTCATTACAATTCTAGTGTTTTTGTTATTTTACTCATAATTAAATAATATTATACAAATTTTAAAAGTTGAACAAAGAATTTTATAAAAATAAAAAAGCAATTGCCGAAACCCGGGATTGAACCGGGGACCTTTAGATCTTCAGTCTAACGCTCTCCCAACTGAGCTATTTCGGCTGATGTCGTTTCAGTGTCCGAAGTGCCATTTCAGTCAAGCGGTTTGCGCAACCACAAGCAACGGCAACACTAACAATTAGTCACACAAAATGTGTAACTTTTAACTTTTCACAAACGGAAATAAATAAGAAAGTTAAAATAAATAAAAAAAAAAAAGGTTTTACCTTGCAGAATAAAAAAGAATCTCTTGCCGAAACCCGGGATTGAACCGGGGACCTTTAGATCTTCAGTCTAACGCTCTCCCAACTGAGCTATTTCGGCTGTTGTGCACCCTCTGGCAAATATTCCATAAGGCGGCAGTAGAACCTGAGCACTATTCCTTATCGTGCTGAGTTCTATGGCGTTTTCTCCTCTTTTGTTTTTCCGATTTGGCGTCGCGTGTAGAAGTGCTTTGGTCGGCGGCGCCAGGAACGTGGTTCTGAGCTGTTTATGCATAACTATCTCTCTACCTTATACAATCTTCTTACAGTTTAGGTCAACTAAATAGTATTTTTTTCAGTCTTAAAATTAATTTTAAAGAAAGTTAAATATATTTTGTATACGTGAGAAAGATAAGAACTTATTTTAAACAAAACTGTACTTGTTGAATTATTACATTTATTTATATAAGTTCTCTTCACTTTCTAATGATGCTCTTTTTTTTCTCTCATATACTTATTGCAGCATTATTAAAAAAGGTTGGGGAGGTTCACATAATTGCGAAAATTATACACGTATCTTAAATTGGGTATTTGGGACACACTGCGATACCCAGCTGCGGTGTCCGAGTGGTTAAGGAGATGGACTTGAAATCCATTGGGTTCTACCCGCACAGGTTCGAATCCTGTCCGCAGCGAAGATTTTTTTCTTTATTAAATTTAATTTTTTATAATTTGTTTTTATTTTTACTATTTATAAAGTTGTAGTTCCAAATTTTGATCTGTGATGAATTTAATTGAATAAAATGCTACTTAGTTTCAATGGCAGTAAAATAAGGAAAGTGTTAAATCAAGAATAAAGGAAAGTATAGTTAAGCTTTAAGGCAATGAACTTAATTATAGTAATTTCCTTTATTTGGCAACAATTAAAAACCTGTGAACACTCCCCGATTCAATTACTTTGGGTTTCTGGGTTATTTTTTGTACGTCTTTGCTACAAAAATAGTTTGCATTTTGATTTATCTTTACAACTACGGTTTTATATTTAAAAAGAAACTTAATACAACACGTCTGTATTAGTACAATAGCCTTAAAACTAGAACCCGGCACCAGACAGATGCTTACTGCTTGGGCGGTGGTCGGTAGACGCCGACAACGACGGCGTGGTCTCTTTCATAAGGCTCCAGCGTGAGCTGCTCCTGCGGCTTCAGCTTGTCCGCCTGCATTTTCTTCACCTCGGCGGCAAAGACAGCTTCAGGTTGCGCCGTCGAGTCAATGCAGGAGGCCTTGATCGAGATGACAAAGTGTCCGCCGTTCTTCAGGAAGTGCTGGGCATTCAACGCCACAATACGTCCCTGATCCGGCTGGGCAACGTCGGCGAAAATCGTGTCCACCATGCCGACCAGCATGCGGTACTTGTGGGGATGTCGAGCGTCCTCAATGATGGGTATGATATTGGTGCGCTTTTTGGCCACGTTGATCAGATCGCGACCGGAACGGTGAGAGAACTCCACGGCATAGACGAGACCCTCGGGGCCCACAACGTCAGACACATGGGAGACTGTCGTTCCGGAAGCACCGCCCAGATACAGGACTTTGGAGCCCGGCGGCATATGAATCTGCTCAACGCCGCCCAGAATGGCAGCGGCCAGCTTGGATCGGAAGGGATTCCACACACGGTACTCAATCTTCTCGCCATTGGTCTGCAAAGGGAACACAAGTGTGATTAGGAGATAATATGGTTTACTTTTTTCAAATATAGTCTCTGGAATAGCGCCTCAGTTGTGCATTAATCTAAGCAAACCTTGGAGCCGCCGCAACTGCTTCACGTGCACCTGAAGTGCACACAGCCACAGGTGGCCGCCGAGGATGCTCATGGCCACATAATGCCATGTTCTGTACCCCTGCACAACCTCATCATTAGCGGTGAGACAAAGGGAAAAAGCGGTAAATAAACAAAGGAATAACCACTTACCTCGACAGAGATGCGCTTCTCGCCGTATACTTCCGATCCGGGCACAAAGTTCCTGGTGACCAGGGCATCCTCCTTGCCGCGGGCAATGAACACGCCCTCGTGACGATGCGCTTCAATGGTGACTGTTTTGCCGCCCTTGAAGCCTCCGGCGCCGCCTCCACGTCCGCCACCTCCACGTCCTCCGCCGCCACCACGACCACGTCCGCCACCGCCGCCTCGTCCGCCGAAGCCACCACCTCCGCGTCCGCCGCCACCACCACGGCCACCGCCGCCGCCGCGTCCTCCAAATCCTCCTCGTCCGCCGCGGTCTCCACCACGGTCGCCGCCACCGCGTCCACGGAATCCACCGCCACCTCCGCGGTCGCCGCCGCCGCCGCGGCCACGGAATCCACCACCGCCTCCGCCGCCGCCGCCACCACCGCGTGGACTAAAACCTGCAAAAAGAAGATGTCACGTTTAAGTATGCACCTTACATAGGTTAAGTTTAGCGCTCAATCGACAATTTAATAGCGCGGTTTAATGTCACTTAATAGCTGCTTGGTATTCCCACCTGGCTTGCCCATATTTAGTTGCTGTACTTGCACTTTTTAACACAACTTTCGAGGAAATATGAAGAACGATGCTAAACACGCGGCCGAAATCTCGAAAAGAAAAACACGTGCAGAAACCCGAGTGACCAGATGCAGGAACTGTAGTTTATGACTAAAATTGGTTGGATAAATTGTCGGATTTTCGCATTTACATTATCTGGTCACACTGTCGATAGTTGTAAGTCTATCGATAGTGCTATCGATGCGACTGACCAGTTGCAGGAACTGTAGTTTATGGCTAAAATTGGTTGGATAAATTGTCGGATTTACCTTTTTGCTGCCTCTAGTCACACCGTAGATAGTTGTTGGTCTATCGATAGCGATATCGATGCATATTTGCTACGTAGCGCACTACGTAGTTTGATACGTTCTTTCGGGAGTGTCATCGCAACTTACTAAACTATAATTCCAGCAGCTGCTATGGCCATCTTGCTCGTTCTTAGAGCTGGGAGAAAAACAATTTAATTATCTCGATGTTTTTAAGAATTGGACATGGAAACTATACATTTTTAAGCTATGCACATGTTTTATATATATTATGTTGAAGAATTACTGTTATTAGTGTTTAATTTATAATTTAATTTGTTTATTTTACTTATTAAATTATATTAAGATTTTACTCCGAAAGCGAGATCCGTAAACGTGCAAAATCGTTCTATACACGTGTAAAATGTAAAATGTTAAATAACACAATATTTTTAAAACATTGGTACAACAAATCGATGTTTTGATAGCTTTATCCAACCATCGATAGTATCGATATTGCCCGATGTTTTGCCAGCACTGCTATCTCGCTCTTTCTTTTATTTCCGCCTTTTGCCGAGAAAGTTGAAAAATCATGGGTGAGTTGCGAAAAAGATTGATTTTTGCGTGAAATAAACAAACTCACTTGCTAAGCAGTGAACAAATGGAGCTAGCAGTGCAATTCGGCTGAAGACGTAAGTGAATTGATGCCGAAACGGGCTCAAAGTGGCGAAAATGCAGACAAGTCGGAGACATTGAATTTCTTGTGGCCAGAAATCGTAGAAAATCGAATTAATCTCCGGGTGTATCAATAAAATATTTTGTTTTAACCATACAAGACTGTTATGTGCACCATATTAAAGTGTTATTTGCGGAGAATTCGCATTTGGAGATATTTACAAGAGTTGGTTCGATTTAACCTCAAAACCGAAGCCGCATAAGCAAGCTGCCATTTGTTTACATTGTGTTGCGCCGTTTAAATAGTGTTCCTCCAACTAATGAGTTGTATTGATTTATTACAGGCAAGCCAAGAGGTCTGCGCACTGCCAGGAAGCATGTGAACCATCGCCGCGACCAGCGCTGGGCCGATAAGGACTACAAGAAGGCTCATCTGGGAACCAGATGGAAGGCCAATCCCTTCGGAGGTGCTTCCCACGCCAAGGGAATCGTGCTCGAGAAGGTGTAAGTACAGAGTTCCTCTGCCCCGGATTAGTACCTTCCCCCCAAAGTGTTTCCTCTCCGCAGATCCCACGTCTCGACGCCTCGCAGTATACTTTTGTGTTTTGTTGTGTTTGAAAACTCAAATCACAGGATTATACTGTGAGATGACAAGCGTGCCAGCAACAGCAGCAGCACATATATCATAAAGTACACCTAATTAATTAATAGTCCCAGTGTTATGACCAGTTTCTAATATACATTCTTTCTGCTTCCACAGGGGCGTTGAGGCCAAACAGCCCAACTCTGCCATCCGCAAGTGCGTGAGGGTGCAGCTGATCAAGAACGGCAAGAAGATCACCGCCTTCGTGCCCCGTGACGGTAGCTTGAACTACATTGAGGAGAACGACGAGGTTCTGGTCGCCGGTTTCGGTCGCAAGGGCCACGCCGTCGGTGATATTCCCGGTGTCCGTTTCAAGGTTGTCAAGGTGGCCAACGTCTCTCTGTTGGCTCTCTACAAGGAGAAGAAGGAACGCCCAAGATCTTAGATGACCATGCATCTAATCTTTTTCCAAACAAGCAGAGTTAGGGTTTTACAAAACTAAATAAAAAAGAAAAGAAACAAACGATGTGAATGTTTCAATTAAATGTGATTTTGTTTAAAACCCGATTTGGTTATCAACTTTTTGTTTGCTAATAGCAAATGTTTTGTTAAATTGAACAGATGATTGTTTTTGAAAGCCGAAAGAGGGAAGCTTTTATATATATTGTTTATATTATATATAAACAATTTTTTAAATCTGCAACTAATTTAATTGTTGCTGGTCGAAGTTACAGTGTATATTTACCTCTTGTATTTTATACGTAACCCTTATCAAACTTAAATACTAAATAAACTAAAAATACATAAATTAAACAATCATATTAATAACAAATAATTTTTAAAGTCTGGCAACCCTGACAGTGCTACAAAGCGTTGAATTGCACATGCCTTGCAACACTGTTTGCCGCCTTTTTCAAATTCAAAATCTTTTGCAGCTTCAATTAAAATTAGTAAGAAACATAACTATAGCCCGTTTAATTAAAACAAATCATATACCGCTAATAACTTCATTGTCAACTATTTCCTTAGCTCCATTGTGCAATGCAGGGACACACCCTCTTCGGGAAGTATGTACAGCGCAGCAGTGCCTCCATGGCAGTCGTACCTACCGCAGTGGCGGCTGCTTACATAACAGAACGGCAAGAGAGCCTCAGAAAACTGAGACAGCCATCATCAATGTATGAGGCCGGGACCTGGACCAACGTGTGCCGAGCTTCAATCAGCGATAAGGACTCGCAAACTGCACCTCCTACCTGGCGGGGCACTGGGAGAAATCAATGCGGGCAAGAGCCGCGGTGGAAACTGGTTCGATTCGAGGGCAGTGGCTGATTTCTTTCAGTGCTGCTGGGAGACCCCCGATCTGCTTATCAATAATTTGTTTTTTTTTATTCCTTTTGCTGCGTTTAGGCCGAGATGCGCTGGCGATAGCCGCTCAAGTGTCACACGCCCACATTTTTGGAGCAGTCGATGGAGCCGAGCGAGCGGCTATTTGCACATACGCCACGCCAATAAACTTGTACCCACCACCGAGGCACGCTTTGATCCGATCCCCATACCCAGTTCCCAGTTCCCATTCCCATCCGCAATCCTTATCCCAGCCCCGTTCTCGGTCTTTAGTCTTTGGTCTTTCAGTCTTTCGGTCCTCTTCAGCCTTCAGTCTTCAGTCTTCCGTCTTCGGTCTGTGGTCGGCACACGCTTGCGCAGTATCTTTTGGGCTTTTCATTCTTTTGGTCTGACCGATGCTGGAACCTTTTGCCTGACTTTGGCCCCTCCGCACATAAATCCAAATCCGCATCCACGACTTCGACTTCTCGACTGCGGCTTCAGTTCGCCGGCGGCAATTATCGCGATGTGATAAACAAATATTTTGCATCTAAGGTACGAAGCGAAGGCTTTCCCGGCATTCTGGCGCTTAATTATGAACTCCGTTTGGTCGGCGGCCTCCTCCACCTCCTTTCCCCGTCCACTGCGCCCCCGAAGCTCACAACTATGAGTATATTAAATGCCCTGCACTGTTACCTGCCAACGTACTTGACTCGTCTTCTGGGAGGTTCGCCGATCTTTTGGGCTTGGCTTGGCTCTTGGCTGCTCTTGGCCGCTGCCAGCAGTTGTTGCAATATGCAATTTGGTTGCTTATCTCCCGCTGGATACCAATCACAGCTTGGCCCCTCTCACTGGTGGGTGGAGAGTGAAATAAAAATTAAATATGGCTCTATTTGAATATTCCCAGCTTTTTACAGCCTCACGGGGCGTATGCGTAATGGGGCCAAAATGTAGGGGAGGGAGAATGATTTTCTGAGAGGCAATTGAATTGGCATGGGAAAAGCCATTTGATTTATTGATTTATCCTGACGGTATACATTAAGTTCTTATGTAGTACTGCTAATTGTTTTAGTATTAGTTTGCAATTAAAATTGACTTTAGATAAGCTTTATATATAGGTTCAATGGATTTGTATTGTAAGGTATATTATAGTACTAGTAGTATATAGTAAATTTGTAAGGAAATCATTAATAAAGCATTATATTAACCATACATTGATCATATGGAGTTTTATTACTTAAGGGTCAGTTGGGTGAACTTTTAATGGAGGTAATAATGACTTGTTTCTTATAATTTGGTAGATTGGACATTGTTAATATTACCAAGACTGAGTTGTTTATAGATCAGTTTCTCATATAATTTTGCTATGATCATCTTTGTTGATTCTTTTCTATTTAAGGAACCCTTGGTTAAACCCCCTAACACCTTCTAACTTAAACCTTTCTGTTTATATTTAAATACATATATTTCCCTTCGAATATCTCTGCTGCAACTCTTTGTGCCCCATTTGATCCACATAACACCCTTTCCCAAATGGTTCCGCCGCACACATTACCATGCCTCTTGGCGTATATTTACATACGATCTGTTGCCCTGTTGGTATGGGTGGAGACCCCCTGCTCGGAGCGTGCTCGTGTGTATTTGTGGCCCCGGCACTCACACAGTGGCAAGTGGCGTTGAGTAGACCCCAGCGACATTGGGGCCTCCAACCAATTGAAACAAACCAAATGCAAAGTCGTCTCTCCCACAACAAATGAGTCGGGGAACAGGTTTTCCCTGTCCGAAAGTGAGACTCTGCGGCCCGAGAGAACGGGAGAGTGAGAGAGAACGAATATTAAATAAGGCTTGTTTCATTAGACTCAAAGAACCCGCCGCTCTAGCTGCTCGGGGTCTCGGCCTGGTTGCTGGTGCCTGGCCAGCTCTGGCCTGGCCTGGGAGCCAAGTCACCTGGGCCACTTGCTCGTTCCGCTTTGCTGAGCAGCTGCCGCTCTCTGGCCGCTCTGGCCCAAGACTGCGAGTTGCGCGAAAGGTTTCGCTGGTGCTTTTCGCTTTTTGGCCTTATAGATCGCAGATCGGGTCTCCGTCTCCGAGGCTGAGGCACTGGCAGAGGCAGAGACACCTCTCAGGTTCAGTTCACAATCTCCGAGCCCCAGGAGAGCGACGATCAGTTGGCTTGCGGTTCGTCATCAGCGTGGTTCATGCGGCTCCGACTCGGTCTCTCGGACTCTCGATATCGGGCTTTAGCTTTAGCTCCAGCTCTGGCTTTGCCTCTCCATTGACATCGCCATCTGCGTCTCCCCGGTTGTAATCATAAATATATCTACATACAGCGACCGACTACTGACTGGCCGCCGTGCATAGGCCCAGTTACTTACTTAGTTAGTCTCTTGGCTGCTGGCTGTGCATTTTCATTTTCCCAAGAGTGTTGTTGCTGCTGTCACAGCGTCCGCTGCCTCGAGCGGTTTGTGCTTAAAGTATCTTGTGAAATGTCGTCGAAGCCCTTGATTTTAGGCAGTCGATACGCTCATTAGTAGTTGTGTCCGTCCAGACTCTCGCGGATCGGAAAAGCGTGTTCATTGAGAGCTAAAAAGTGTTTGCCAAGAGCTCGGGTCACTAGTTGGGAAATCTAACTTGGAAAACCAAGCTAGGAAACGTTCTAAACAGTGTGGTCTTATAGCTCTAAAACAGACCTACAAAGCTATATTAAAGATAGTTTCTGGAAACTAGAGTACGATCATTACAAAAATTGATCTTGCTTTGAAAAGTGTGTTTTCCCAGAGCCAGCATCAATCCTAAGAGGAGAAGTGTTTCTCAAAAGTTTATAAAGTTTAAGTGAATCTCGAAAACCTTTAAACAAGGCTTTTCCTGGAACCAAAATTCAACGTAATACCCTAAAAAAAAGTGATTTTTAAAATAATCTGGCAAACTAATTCCCTAAAAACTAGGACTCTACCATCGAATCTCCATCAAGAGTATCCCCTTAAACCAAGTGCCAACAAACTTTAACCCGTAAAGCAACAATCGAATCCAAGTGCCAAGTGACCCAAGACCCCATTGAGTGTGTGTTTCAAAAGGTATCAGTAAATCGGTAGAGAAAAACCAAGTGAATAACCCTCTGATAGAGTGCAAAATAAAAGTATCCACATCATTAGCCGATTGCAAAATCGTAACCGAAAAATGTGGGTTAGGGTCTAGCAGCGGCAACAGTAGCAAAAAAAAAAAAACAACACCAAAATCTGACAACAAATGGACGCAAATTCACACATGCAGAGTGCATAGATTTATGGTTGGAACTGTAACGGGGCGAAAATGTTGGGACCGGCAAAGGCAATGCAGTAGTGGTAGCAACAGCAGTCCGCACCTGCCCCACCGACAAAGGGAAAAACCTAACGGAATAATGCAACATTAAGCAAAATGCTGCTGGCCCTGCTAAAGCAAAGCTCCAAACAACAACAACAACAACAACAAAAATCTCAACCTGCCACCGACAACTGCAACAGCAACTGCAACTGCAACAGCAACAGCAACAGCAACAGCAACAACATCAACATCAGCGTCACCGTTACCACGAACACCGCCGTTGCCGTATAAAAATGGAACCCTCATATGATCACGAACATCCACATCATCTGCTAACAAATTACAAGTAATATTTACATTTTTCCCATGCTAAAAATTTTTTTCCTCGCTGTTTAATTATATCCAAGCGAAGCGAAGATACATATCTTCAAGATAATAACCATAATGAAAAATGGAAAAGCCGTCCGTGTAGTGGTGAAGAAATTCTCTAGATCGTGTGTATGTACATATATACCGGAGTAAGCCGAGTTAGAGGGTGTATATATAGCCCCTGATGACTGGGGACTTTTCAAGACTTAGTCACAGTGAGACATGGAGAGAGAGATACACAGATAGAGAGAGAGAGACACAGAGATACAAATACTGAGATACTCGCACTAGAGATACTAAAGATACTGGCACGACAGCGAGAAACACCGTCGGGGATGCCATAAAAACGGGTGTATATATGGGGGTATATACGGGGGCATATACTAGTAGTACCTGGTACCTGGGAATTTTGCTTAGATTTTCCTTGGTGTGGCCCCAGTTTCGGTTTTATTTTTCCAGACCCACAACACACTTGCACTTGTGCTCGTATCCGCTTCTTGCCCCGCAGTGTGTGAGCCCTCCATCTCTCCCCTCCGAATATGTAAATGGACGGCCGCGAATAACTTAAGAACTTCGTCTTTCGCCTTTGGACGGCGGCTCGAAATTGGTCAAGTGGAAAGTAAACCAAGACTCCGGGCCCGGGTCTCGGTCTCGGCGGGGGTGGAGAGCCTGGGAACGAGCACAGGGCGAGCGGCGAGGAGAAAAGCCCCGAAAAGAGGTTTTAATTTCCGTATATATTTCGGCCAGAGGTCAAGCTGTTTTGACCATTAAAAAGATTTAGCTGAACAGATCTAAACAGCTTGATAGCTACGCATGAGGTTTTGATATACGTCTATATAGTATACCTATATACACCCCCATAGTTTATGCCTCTGACTTTCATAGTTTCCGACGGGAAATTCCCGTCTACAAATTAGCTTGGAAATTATGAATGGAAATGTAGCCATGAAATTGAATTAAGTACAGATGGAAAAGCTATGATAAATCGGTAAAAAGAAATTTGTAAAAAAATATCATTCAAGGGATTTCGGGGAATCTCTAGAGACATTTTCGGGCGAAAGCTTGTCGCATTTTTCGTCACATATTTCGAAATCTTCCTGCTAGGCTTGGCTCACAAATCAACTCCATTCGGTTCGATCTTTTATGGTTTCCCCCATAAATCAAGTCAAGGCTTCAATCTAAATAGTTTTCCACATAAAAATAAAATTCAATGACCAATAAACAAGCGATCTGTATATGTGGATTTCCAATCAAGTTTGGCAATTAATTAAGATTTCATGGTGACTAAGCTGGATGTAGGAAATCTTTAATGGCTTAAATAAATTCTGTAATATCCATAGTTCCTGGTTGGTCAATATACTATGCATAGATATAAACACAAGTTCCCCTTTTTAGCTCCAAGCAGGAACTAAAACCTGGCATTGACGTAGAAGGAGATTCCAAGCAGCTGTAACTTCTTGGAAGAGCCAGAGATAAATCTTTCGTAAATCTTTGTATAAATCGCGTGTCGACAGTTTAATTGGTTAATTGTATTGATGAATCTGCGCAGGGTATGTCAGGAAAAAGTGCAAAAAGGTGAAGTTTGGAAAGTTTTTCAAGAGACATAAGTAATCAAGGAATTTTTCCCACTCAGAGATAAAGGTTTCTTATAAAGCACTGTTGAGTTATTCATAAAAGAAATAGGGAGCTCAAACTAAAATTAAATTAAATTAAAAAAGATTGTCAGCGTCGACTTCTTATTGAAGATTTAAAATGCATAGAATATTATCCAATTTAATAATTCATAACAAATATGTATCTGTATCTTAAGAGTTAGTAATAAAAGTATTTCAGATATATTCGAGAACGGGGTAAATGCTATAAGAATGTTTTGAACTCATTCGACTTGCCTTAAGTTGGCTAATTTTCAATCATAAGTATTTAACGTTTAATTATAATAGCTTAAATATGTTCACAAGGATCTACTTGAGAATCTCCTCTTAGTTATCTTTCACCAAGTTTAATATTTACCTTCATTCTATTATGAAGTATCTCCCCGAACCTCGGATACGTTATGACCAATTAAAGATCACAAATTTAAGAATGAGGCATATAAACGTTTCAAGTTAATTAATTTTAATAACCCCAATTAGTGGTTTTCCAGACATTCAAATCCGTTGGCACCCTATAACCCCATTATAACCCCATTATAAATCAGGACTGCCTGGTAACTACTGAAAATGTGGCGAAACTCCCCCTAGCTAGGGCTTATTATCGAAAACCCTGGGTCCGGCTGCCTGCCATTTAAATTTGTACTCTTATTTTAATTCGAAATCAACCAACTAGCTAAGTACAGAGATCCTCCACATGCAATTACTCTAGTTACTGGTGGTACGCGCATGTACGAGGCAGTACTGCCTCCATTTCCATGCAATCCATATAATTTAGGGCCCGGTCTCCAGTCCCCGGTCTCCGGTCTCCGGTCTCGTGTCTCGGATCCCTCTCCACCTGCGAGGGAGTCGTAGTATGGTCGATGTGTATGTGCGTGCTAAAATCCATTAAGTTTTTGTATCTTTTTTATGCTCTTAAAATCGCTTGTGTGAGAACTGGGTCTTCGCTGTTTCTTCTCGGCGGAAAATGGAGGCGGATGGTGGTGCCAGAGGTGGCCGGGTGGAGATCGGGCGACGACAGGCCGCAGTAAACCTCATTAGCCGAACGAATCCGAAGTCAGCTTTGCTGGCTCAGCCCTCGAAGAGTGATGGTGATGATGGCGACGACGATGATGATGATGATGATGATGCTTCGCTTGCTTCATTAGTTTAATTATGTTCCCTGGGTACATATACATTTATATATAGCAGGTATATATACCATATATATTGGTATTACCAACACAAAGAGAAGACCAATACACCTGGAAAAAATTAGTATGCATTTTAGGAACTCGTTTTGGTATTAAGGCATTTGTCAACAGGTTTCTGCTGATGGTCACTCGTGTTTCTTTAAAAATTTATACCAAAATGGAAAGAAAGAAGTATAAAATAATTGCAAGAGAGATAAAATTATTAGTTTTTGATCGATTTAGGTATAGATCCACCAACTCCTAACTTTTGACAAACCGGAAATGAAAACTAAGTACAATCTCGGCATGTCGTGATCTTCTCTATTTCAATCTTTAAGAACCCTTTGTGATATATCCCTCTCATTGTATCTAAAAATACCTAGTACCTTGAATTATCCCCAGTGTAAACCATCTCCTCCTCCATTGTGCGTGTCGCTTCGATCTCATTCGCCCAGGTAGCGCGTCCGCATCGTCCGCATTCACGTTCACGTTCATTAAAGCTAAGATGGCGGCTCTGCTGGCCCGGATGCTGGGCTGTTTATGCTTATTGGTCAGGCGGCATCTACATATAGGCTGGCAGCCATATGTATGCACATACATGCTGGCATGCATATGTATGTATGCGTAAATGGCCGATGCGATGCGATCCGATCGGCCGTCGACAACTGTGGGCCTGCGTCGTTAAGTTATTCAAGTACATCACACCTGGGCCGCCGCCGCGGAGATACAGCTCGGAGAGCTCCGGCTGCTGCAACTGGAACTGGCCCAGGTCGTGCCGTCGGGTTGCTTGGGCCAAACTCGTTTTCCGGCCTCTTGTAAGCCTCTGAAAACTTTGTTTTTTCTTGTTTTGGTTCGGGTTGGGGCGCCTGCAGCCACACAGCAGGCAGCCAATAGACTGCAAATGGAGCAAATGGAGAGCCGCCGCCGCCGAAGATGCCTCTTTGCTGGCCACACCCACCTCTGGTCCCCTCGTCTCGTCCTCTTGGCCAGCCGAAAACCAAAATGGCTTTTATTACCTTGCCTTGACTTGGCCCAATGCCATCGCATCCCCACCGAGGCGCCAAATGATTTGCCATTCTAAACAGGCAGGCGGACAGGCAGCAGGTTTCGTTCTGGACCAGAACTTCTGGTTGACTCTTTCGAGGCGCTAAGCTGGAGTCCGATCCGTGCACTCTAATTAGTTTTAAATGCAGCTCTGTGTTAGTTTCTATATGAATTATAAATCAAGGTTGCTAATTAGCATATCTCACGGGAGAAGCTTTCTAATATATGAGGCAGTGTAAGCATTTGCTACGGGAGGGTTTTTTAAAACTTTACACAACTTGGATAATTGTATGATTAAGAGTTATATTTTTATGGGAAACTGTAGCAAATTATTTAATTTTTTTTTTTCAAATCTATAGTTTGGAACTATTTATCTGATATATTCTAAGTCTTAACCTACTTTTCGACATTAATACACTTTTGTAAATGATTTCGAAGAGGTTATCCCTTGGCTTTACTTTCGCTTATGTCCCAGACAAGCATTAATTTTAATTATGCTAAAAAATACTATTTGATAAAGCCAACTGGAATATGGGATATGTTTAATTTTAAAGATTTTCTTAATATTTTTAATAATAAACATATTTTTAATACTTTCTTGAACAATGCACAATACTATAGTGCAGGGTTTAAGCCAACTCGACTCGTTAATATGGAAATCAAGACCAGTGCCTACTTATCACTAATTAAGCATTAAATTGAATATTATCTAATTTAATACATTTTCTTCAAGTCTCTGATAAATTCTCCTCTTTGAGTAACGTGTAAAGCCTTCTTCACTTGCCAAGTCCATCGAAATAAAACCCAGAAACACTGACTAACCATTGTCCCAATGGCATGCCGGGGCCACCGCGATTGTTTGGAAGCCGAGAGACAAATCTGCCCAATCGTTGTCACATACCTGTCCAACTGCAACTCGGAGAATCCCCTAACCACCAGACCATTCCTCCAAATAGTCAACTGAGGCTAGACAATGGTATTGACAGCTCACCGCAGCGGTTCAGCGGTTGGATCTGTCTTAATTACTGTCCTATTTGCTGGAATGTCAGGTTGTCAGGCCAAAGTTATGCGGCCCCCGAAACGCTTTCTAAAATTAGCCAGGAATATGGAAAATATAGTATAGATTGGGGGAGTAAAGGGGTTCTCTTTATTACCCGACTTCTACTTCTGACAATTGTCTCCGAAATGGGGATCGGATCAGGATCGGTTTCGGGAACCAACTTAAAAGGCTGTCTTCAGCAGCGCGGCAGAGCGTCACATGAATCACAATATGCTAAAGCGCCTGACACTCTCCAGATCAATGCGGCGGCTTCTGAATGAAGCTGGAGTCGAAGCTGCTGCTTCAGAGCTCCGGGGCTTGTTAAAAGGGAGGAGTTGCCTACTTTTGTGGCAGCCACAGGAGGGAGTACCCTCGGCTTCAGTACCCTCTCCACCTTTTCTCACTGGACTCTCCGTGGCAGCCACCACCAGAGAAGTCGCTGTGCTCGTAAACAAAACGTTCCACGGTCCCCAAGTCGGCGGCGGACATCGAGTACTCTTGAATAGGGGGGACACCAAACGGAGGAAGGAGGATGCTGAGGACGAGGACTGGGGACTGGGGACTGGGGACTGGGGACAGGCAGTAACAGCGGCTGGCTGGCCGCAATGTGGAATATGTGGCATTTTGCAAAGATGTTGACATTTTGCGCGCATAAAAATGCCAACTTACCGGCCACTGTATGTGTCCTATTTTAAAATCAGGGCCATGGCTAAGCAGTCCGCGCGGCCACAAAACTGAAGCTGATCCAGTGAAGCCACAGCCAAAGCCAAAGCCAAGCCAATACCAAAGCCAAAGCTAAAGCCTCAGACTGAAGCTGGCTAAGCCGCATCTGCAGGAGCAGCGCGGAGCTTGGATCGTGAGCGCGCTTAGGATAAAGCCAGACCGACTGCGACCAGACAGCCGACAGTTGGGACAGGTTGGACAGTGGCGGACACAGCGGACACAGCGGACAGACGGACGGACAGACCAACTCGGGACGGTATAATTTTGTGTACCCCTTTTGGCCAGGCGAAGTATTTAGCAGCGGCAGCCGCAACCGAATATCAAAAACGTAACGACGTCACCGAAAACCCTCAATAAATTATCAAGACTTCAGCCGGGGCTGCCGGGCTCCAGCCGTTGCTTGGTTATTGGGGAAGAGAGCGAAGGAGGAGGATGCGCTGGTACCCAAGTTCGCTAAGGGTACTGGGTACTGTGTACTGGGCCAACTAAAATTTGCAACTTTGGCGGCATTGTCAAGGAAGTCGCCGGAACTAGAGCGCCTAGCTCGAGACAGAGTTGAAACTGGATGGAGGAACTAGGTTTTCCTATATGAAAAATATTCAGAAGGCTATAGAATTAGAGGAGAATAGGAGTAGGAGCTTCAGAAATCTTGCAACTAGAAGCTGGGGTATTTAAAGCCAAGAGGCCAAGATTCAGACACTTAGGTATATAGGTCTCCTATAATTTGGATTTGTAGGGTCCAGAGTCTTCTGGTCCTTCCTTTGGGTATGTGAGCCTTCCTATTGCCTTAGAGTCATTAGAGCCTGCAAGTCTCTGTTCCGCCGACTCTTGGAAGTCAGGAGTCACCCAGAGAATTAGAACTTGGCTCAGACCAGAGGCGCGAGTCCAGTTCCAAGCTCGACAAACAATTAGGCCCAGGTTGCCAGGGCAGACTTAAGGTAGGCAAAACGAGGAACACAATAGACCAAAAGTGTAGTGGGCAGCAATAAATTCAAACGGTATCAAGAGCGAAAGGAAAGGCGGTCCAGAGTAGAAGCAGGAGCACAGGCGGCAACCGAATCCCCAAAGGATCGCAGTCGGGATCTCGGCTATCCACTAGCGGGAGCTTTGGCAATATTTAAACTTGTCCATGCTCCATGCTCCGTGCTCCCAATGCTGCCTGAATTCTTGGAAGGCGAATTACTTTGAAATGTGTCGATATGTCGCAAGTTTTAAAAGTTATGCATAAAGGTCCGGCAAAGGCAAGGCAAGCCAGACTGCTCGTTCTCATTCTCAGTCTCGAGTCTCCTTTGCGAATCGCGGCCTGGGTCTGATCTGGGTCTGGCTCTGGCTCTGGCTGTGCCTCTGCCTCTGGTCTGCCCCTGGCTGGGAGGGTATGGGTTGGGGGATCGGGCTCCATTCCAGCTTCTGCTCCAGCTTCTTTGCTTACTCCGCCGACTCCGACTGCGACTGGGACGACTCCGCGACGGTGGCTTGTCGGAGTTGGGGCGGCCTCCTTTGATAATACAATAGCTGCACGCGCCCAATTTACATTTATGTCCGCTGACATTAAGGAGCGCACCGATGCAGGCAGCCGGCCCAGGGAGCTATCCGTTCCGATCCGTTCCGATCCGTTCCGATCCAGGCCGAGAGATCCAGTTTGTGTCTCTCTGGTGTCTGATAAATGCAAAGCTCTGCTGCTCCTCCTCCTCCCTTCACCCGAGGCCCAGACCCATGTGCGTGCCGGCAACGCGAAAATTGTCAACGTATTTAGCAGCCCTTTTAAATATCATTATAAAGAAACACTGCGACGGCGGCGGTGCATTTTTGCCGGCGGAACGTAATTCCCAGCAGTAGCCCCTTGGGTGAGCGATTAACAACGATCATGAATGTGATACGAGGCTGGGGAGGGACTGGAGCTGGGATTGGGATTCGGAATTGGAATTGGAACTGCAACAGGGGTATAACTCCATCTTTGTTGGCTGCCATAGATGCCATCTTGCGTTGAGCCACTTAACTTAATAAGTAATTCGTAATTAGTAATTGGTAATTAGTCGTGAGATTCTTATATTTCTGTAAGACTTTTAGGTCAGCTTTCTTTTAAAACAAAAACACATTCAGTTGAAATAACAATCAATAACTTTTAAACACTTTATGTCCTTGCAGAGTCATTTAACTTTAGTCAGAAGCTTAAAACGCAGTGAAGGAATCATTTCCGGACCCTATAAATCATATATATTCTTGATCAGAATAAACAGGGAATCGATCTAGCCAAGTCCGGTCAAAATTAAAATTTTCAACATTTTTTTCAAAATTGCTAAATTTTATAAGGGGTTACATAATTTAAATTGCCAAAAAATTGAATTTTTGAACATTTTAAATTGAGTATGCAGATTTGTTAACCTGATAAAAACTAACATGGGACCGATTTCCGCTTTGAATTTAATGCTTTTTTGGCTGAGTTATGAATTTTTAAAAATTTGATTTGTTGACAAAATTGTCATATAAAAATATAAATAATATCGACTAAAAAATGGTATTATAATTATAGTCAGAAGCTTAAAACGCAGTGAAGGAATCAGCATCAATAGGCGAATCGATCTAGGCATGTCTGACAAAAATTAAATTTTTCCAAAATGTTAAAATTTTATTAGGGGTTAATCGTTAAAATTGTCAAAAATTTACTTTTTCAACATTTAAAATTGAGTATGCAGATTTATTAGCCTAATTTAAACTAACATAGGACCGCTTTCCGAATTAAAATTAAGGCTTTTTTGGCTAAGTTATAGATTTTTTAAACATTGATTTGTATTGATTCAAAGAAAGCAAATATATTAATCCTAATTATGATTGATTTTCGATTCGATCCTAAAATATATCGCAAGAATATAGAATGCATTCAGAAAATATATAATATAACTAACCTAACCATATTCACCTCTTTTTCTGCTTCATTCCAGCTCAAAGAAGTATCCGCATGTCTCGAGAACTCCGGAATATAGCCACTCGACGGGCAGCGACTACCCGGATCATGGCGGCTACCTCACCACAGATGGCCGGCTGATGCACGAGACGACCAGTGATGCTGGGATCTACCATGTGCGCCAAGGCAGCGAGCACTCCTCGCCCAGCCTCCACTCCCCAGCCATACAGAGCGCCGGCTACGAGAACGAGCACTCCCTCAACGAGGCGGTGCTGGCGGCGCACAGCCACAGTCACTCGCCCATGCCGATGGTGTCCAGTGCCTATATGACTGGAGGCACTGCATCAGGTTCCCTGATCAACAGCAACATTCCCTTATTGAGCGGCAGCGGCAGTGGCGGCGGCGGTAATTCGGTCTTGAATAAATTTCTATCGCATCCGCATGCTGGAATGGTAGCCCAAGGAGGAGGCGGAGGAGGATCTGGGCCCATGGAGGACTGTGCCTCACACTCGCCCATCGAGCCTTCGTCCATGTGGAGCTACGACTACAAGGGCGACCTGTGTGCCCCCAATTGTGGCTATCTGGAGCGGCACAAGCCGCTGCCCACGGACCTCAAGTACCGACCCGGCGGAACCCAGTCAAAAAGTGCCAAAGAATCGCGCATCCGGCGGCCGATGAACGCATTCATGGTCTGGGCCAAGATCGAGCGGAAGAAGCTGGCCGATGAGAATCCCGACCTGCATAATGCCGATCTCAGCAAGATGTTGGGTGAGTTGGGTTTGGATTTTTGGGAATATAATAGGTGATATAACCTCCTCTTTTGGAAGCTAAAAAGTGTTTTTTTTTCATGTCTGACTCTCTCCACCTTCTCTTCTCTCCTTCCCGTCTCTCAGGAAAGAAATGGCGCTCCCTGACACCTCAAGATCGAAGACCTTACGTGGAGGAGGCCGAACGCCTGCGGGTGATTCACATGACGGAGCATCCCAACTACAAGTACCGACCCCGGCGACGCAAGCAGTCCAAGCTGAGGGCCATGCAGCCTGGTGGCAAGGATCAGGGCGAAAGCTCACCAAATCCCACGGGCAGTGCTGCCTCTAAAGCAAATCCTAAGCTGGCCACGCCTCCCCTGGCCACTGGATCCTCTAGCTACACAACGCCCACCACCGACGAAAGCACCTGCAATTCCACGAACCAGAATCTGAATCAGAGCCAGGTCACACCCGGAGGCGGAGGCCTCTATGAGCAGCCACTGAAGCCAACGTACTCGCCCAGTTCCGTGGACTGTTACAGCAATGCGGACAGCTCGGAGCAGATCGAATCCCTGGCCGCCAATTGTGCGCCTTCGCCCACGAGTGGCGGTGGTGGCGGGAGCTACGATAGCTCCCTGCTGCTCAAGAAGCTAACGAAGGCAACGAGTGGGCGAGCGGCCAAGTCCCGCCAGGATAATAAGCTCACCAAGGCCGAGGACAAGGGCAAGGTGCAGGCACAGCAGGCCCATCAGCAGGGTGTATATGCCGCCACCTCTTATCCACTGGCCTCCACATCCGTGGCCGTGGTGGCTGCCCGGGGCATGTATGTGACCTGCAATAATCGAGGTCTCCTCGACCATGGCCACTCCGTCAAGGGGACCTTTTACCCGCCTGTTTCCGTGTCCGAGGACGAGGGCAGCTCCTCGATGAGAAGCAGTGTGAGTGTCCTGCAGCAGCACTGCAATCTGGCTGCGGTAACATCCTCCAGCTCCTCAGGACCCATACCGGCCAGCGAAATGAGCAGCTACACGGTCTCCATGGCGGATAATTGCGGAAATCTCCGGCTCAGCATGAACGAGCTGTCTGCCCAGGAGTATCTGCCCAGCGCCAATGCCTACGGGATGCAGTACGAAGACTTCCTGCGCTATCAATCCAACGATTTGGATTACTCCACCTCATCGTCGGCGGCATTGGAGCACAAGGACCCTTCGCCCGAGGTAGCCAGTGGAGTCCAGAAGTGCCTCAAGTATCCGGATACGAATCAGAACTACGACGACTACGAGGCGGAAGCCTACAGCAACGCCATGCTGCCGGCAACAGCGGCCAGCTACTACACCCAGCTACCCTATGCGCCCACCTCGCTGGCCGCCTTCCCCCTGCAGCTGGCGGTGCCCTTCCAGCAGGCCACCACAGGTGGCTACGGTGGGCAGCCCATGCAGAGCAGTTACCTGCACTATGGCAACTATGGGGGCTACGAGAGCATTCCGCAGGCTCAAACCCAGCAACACCAGCAGCAGCAGCAACAACATCAGCAGCATCAGCAGCAATCTTCGCACTCTGCTCCTCCTGTGTTGACGGCTCCTCCTGCCCAGACTGTGACCTCCAATTCTGCATCAGCAGCGGCAGCATCTGCGGCCATGCAGCAGCATCACCATCATCACTTTGGTCCCGGACCCGGCATGGTTGGCGTCGGTGTCGGAGTGGGCGTAGGAGAGATGCTCTTCGAGCAGCAGCAACGCAAGGACGATGAGATTAGCAACATTCTGGCTGGAGTGCGGAAGACCTGCTACAGCAACTGACTCGGAAGCGAAGACATTTGTAATTTTGGTAACTAGTTTAGAGAAAGAGAACTTAGAGAACGTGGTTATAGGTAGTCTTAAGCCTTCTCCCAGTCCCCCCAAGACCCTTTGTATTGTAAAATGTTTTAGAAATGTATAAAAAAAGAAAGAGATATAAACAAATGAAATAAAGTAAAGCCTAAGAAAGTAATCGAATCGAATCGAAAGTGTCTCTGGTGTGGAACGCATCTCCCAGTGACAGTCACAGCTACTCCCGGGGTGGAACGCGGGTCCAGGCCGTGACCATATGACACAGCCACCCGATATATACACGACGACCGGAGTCTGCGCACAGCCCAGGTTCCATCAGGTTGTGTGTGGAGTGCAAAGATTTTTCTTTTCTCATTCGAACACACGGCCAAAAGATTTTTCCCACGTTACATAAATTTTCGCACACACTTTTCCCCCAAAATAAGAATTTCCTGGTTACCAGTAACTGGCACTGGCTGCTCCAGCTGCTCCAACTGCTCCAACTTTCGTTCGTGACTGGATTTCGAGAAACGTGTGAGCAGGATGTGCAAGTATCCGAGAAACGCATGAAACGCACACGCTGGGCGCCAAGACGAAGAGTCACCATCCATTCCACCAAACGAAATCTGAGTCAAAATTCCAGTTTTATTTTCTAGATCTCTAGATCGGCGTCCGTAATTTGAGCAAACCGGAAACGGAAGCTGCAGCGAGTCCTGAAATTGTCACTGCAACAAAATTCTGGCCATCGACAAAATCGATAAGCCTCAGAATCAGCCTCAGCACATTCGAGCCAAGCGTCGCACGACTTCTTGACACCACCACCGCTTGCGGCCGCCGCCATCCGATTCAACCACCTTGAACACCACCTAACCATACCACCGTCATCGCCATCGCCATCGACATCGACATCCCACCATCATCAGCAGCGCCGTTCGTAGCCAGCATCCAAAATGTCATTCATAGCCAAATTGAAGGCCACGCCATTGCCGCCCCTGAGAAACATACTGAACGTGGCCGTGCAAACGGCCCGACAGACAATTCCAGAGCGCAAGGACTACGAGCAACCGCCGGGCAGCACACAGCAGCACCATCAGCAGCATCCCCACCAGCCACAGCCCTCCTCTGGCATGGAGGAGAACACAGAGATGAGCTCGAATCCCTTTCGGAATGCTGGCAACTGGACCGAGAACGATGGCGAGGGCGATGGCGAGTACAAGGGCGAGTACCAGAGCACATCCTTCAATGAGTACGACGGCAGGTATCAGCAAACAGACGGCTTCAGGTGGGTGTAGCACTCAGAGAACCCTCACAATTCCCCAACTAACCTTGAATCCATTTTCATGCAGGCAAGGCAGCATTGCCTCCGAGGGCAGTTCCTTCGTCTGCGAGGGAGAAGGTGGCGGCGGCTGCAAGATTGACGAATTCCAGGCGGCCTGGAATGTGACCAATGCGATCCAGGGCATGTTCATTGTGTCGCTGCCCTTTGCCGTGCTCCATGGCGGCTACTGGGCCATCGTGGCCATGGTGGGCATTGCGCACATCTGCTGCTACACGGGAAAGGTGCTGGTGCAGTGCCTGTACGAGCCAGATCCCACCACGGGACAGATGGTGCGGGTGCGTGACAGCTACGTGGCCATTGCCAAGGTATGTTTTGGACCCAAGTTGGGCGCTCGGGCCGTGAGTATCGCCCAGTTGATCGAGCTTCTGATGACATGCATCCTGTACGTGGTGGTGTGCGGCGACCTGCTGGCCGGAACCTATCCGCAGGGTTCGTTTGATTCGCGTTCGTGGATGCTGTTCATCGGCATCTTCCTGCTGCCCATGGGCTTCCTGAAGTCCTTGAAAATGGTCTCGACCCTGTCGTTCTGGTGCACCATGTCCCACATCGTGATAAACGCCGTGATCCTGGGCTATTGCCTCCTGCAGATCGGAGACTGGGGCTGGTCCAAGGTGCGCTTTAGCATCGACATGGAGAACTTTCCCATTTCCCTCGGCGTGATCGTGTTCTCGTACACCTCCCAGATCTTCCTGCCCACGCTCGAGGGCAACATGATCGACCGATCCAAGTTCAACTGGATGCTGGACTGGTCCCACATCGCGGCCGCCGTGTTCAAGGCCGGCTTCGGCTACATATGCTTCCTGACCTTCCAGAACGACACCCAGCAGGTGATCACCAACAATCTGCACTCGCAGGGCTTCAAGGGCATGGTGAACTTCTTCCTGGTGATCAAGGCCATCCTTAGCTATCCATTGCCCTACTATGCCGCCTGCGAGCTGCTCGAGCGTAACTTCTTCCGGGGTCCGCCGAAGACCCGGTTTCCCACCATCTGGAATCTGGATGGAGAGCTGAAGGTCTGGGGCCTGGGCTTCCGCGTGGGCGTCATTGTGTCCACCATCCTAATGGCCATCTTCATACCCCATTTCTCTATTCTGATGGGCTTCATCGGGAGCTTCACGGGCACCATGCTCAGCTTTATCTGGCCGTGCTATTTCCACATCAAGATCAAGGGCCATCTGCTCGACCAGAAGGAAATAGCCAAAGACTACCTCATCATTGGGCTCGGCGTGCTCTTCGGCGTCATTGGAATCTATGATTCCGGAAATGCCCTGATAAACGCTTTTGAAATTGGTCTTCCCTTCTAAGTCCTGCATTTTCTTTGTGGTTCCTTGCTCTCTTCTGGCCTGACAAGTCTTCCAGGTGCTTTGGCATCATTTGGTCAGGTCTGAAAGAGTAAGGATTCAGTTATATATATATATATATATACCATACACGAGAAAGAATATCGAAATCGAAAACAATAATGTTTAGTCTGTAAGAAAATCGCAACGCAAGTCTTCCAAACAAGCGAAAAAATGTCTTCCAAACATGAATAATAATAATAACTATTTATGACGATATATAAAAAAAATTAATTTAAGTATATACAAAAGAGAATATTTATTGTATTAACATGCATTATATAAGAAATAGCGAAATTGAACAGAGACAAAGGGAAAACAATAAACTGCATATGTACACCATTATACAAAATACGAAATACAAATCGAAATGTACTCGTGCTCGTATGTTATAGATAGAACCCATTGTTTATATATACTTATTATAGTCGAATGGATTTTTTAACGTTTAAATATACAGTTATCTATACATACTAGCCTTTAAAAACGACACTAGCATCTTTTAAACTCTCAATAAAGACGTCATCTCCAGTTGATCCCAATAACACAAAGATAGTATATCGAAATTTGAAAAATATTACTTTATCTTTATTGTTAATCATCGTTCTCGAATTGGTTTGTATAATAATTGCATAGAAAACAAATGTAAAGTATATTGTCATGGAAGCTTAGGCATCTAGTGTTATTGTGGGATATGTATGTCTTGTTTGTTAGTGAGGCAAAGGGATAAGCTCGGCTTTCGCGTTAGTTTGAGGTCTTGAAGAACTTGTGTTCTTGAGTACTCCTGGTATGCTGGAATGCACCTTTGTTTATCTTATGCACCGCACAGGTGGTGGTGCTCGGGGCAGTAATGTATTCGCTCTTGTAGAGACTGGCGCCGGTGAACTTGTCGTTGCCCAGGCTAATCGAGGACTGATTGCCGCGACGGGTGGTGGTGACCATGCGCTCGGTGTGATGGCCATGATGGCTGTAGGAGGGGAAATCGATGCCCCCGCTGGAGCTGGACACATGCTGGCTTCCCCGATGACGCGTCGTATGGGAGTGTGTAGATTGAGATGGAAAATCGATGCCACCCCCGCCCGAGACATGGGTGCGTGTCACAGTTGTTCCGGTGACTCCTCCTCCTCCTCCTCCTCCTCCTCCAGAAATTATTCGAGACATCGAGGACGACGATGATGAGTTCTTGACGTTCTCCTTGTGCACGTTACAGGTTCGACGCTCGGTCGAGAAGCTGGTATTTAGCTCGGAGTCCCGATTCTGCCGGTGAATGCTGCTGTAGCTCTGACGCTGCTCCCCGCCATGGGGGCACTGCTGGAGGGTTGCTCGTGCAGATTCAGAATACTCTTCCGCATCATCTTCCCGTTCGAGGTGAGGCTGCCGTTGGCTGTGTTCGAATCGCTGGTGACATTCTTGCGATGAAATATCGTATTCGAGACATCGGCCTCCGAGGAGAACTCGCTTTTGCGGTGATGGAAGTGCTTGGAACTGGTCATGTTGGAGGTGGTGGAGCTACCGGTCACGATGTTGTGGCTAGAATTCCTGTTGCCACCGGAAACCACTCGGGTTGCTGAGTCGTCGGTGACTCGACTTGTCGCATCACCCCCGATGATATTGCTGGAGGCATTTCTTCCTGTAACCACACGGGATGTTGATGTAGTTTCCCCAGTTATGTTGCTGGAGACGTTTCTGCCGGTTACTACTCGTGTAGTTGAGTCCTCCGACACGTTGCTGGTCACATTTTTACCCGAAACAATGCGAGTGGATGATGTATCGCCAGTTACGGGTCCTCCTGACACCACTCGTGAGGTAGTATCGCCCCCTGTGATATGCCTGGTGACATTTCCCTGATTCGTTTCGATGGCTCTCGTGGATAGATCAGTTTGGACTAGGTTATGGTTTCTCTGCATAGACGTGGTCTCCTTGTGAATGTTTTGGGTGTTCTCAATATTTGTCGTAGTCGTATTCTTCGCCACATTCTCGATCACATTGATCTTCGCTGGCCTCTTGACATATTCGGTTTCGGGTTCCTTCTTGTGGCGGCCACCAATCACAGTGGTCACCTTTTTCGTGGACACTACGATGAGACCGTCCACAGGGTTTTGACTGTTGGAATCGACTTGCTTCACTGCGTCCTTGCCGGACACGAAGTTCATCTGGTTGGTAGTCTTCAGGATTGCCGTATCACTGCCCAAAGTGATGGATGAACTGTTGTGCTTGTATTTTTGAGTGCGTTGAACCTTATCCACGGTTGTCTTGTTGGTCGTCGTTTTGTAATCATCCTTTCTGGTAACTGTCATCGAGCCTTCCAGCTTCAAGTTGTCAACAGGTCGCTTGGGCGTTTCTCGTTTAATTGTCTCAGTAAGTGTCGTGCTATCGGTCTCGCTTCGATCGGTTCTCTTATAAAATTCTCCCTCCGGCTTCAGGTTGTCCTTGGGTTTCTTTTGGACCGGTCGCTCCGCAGGCCTGAAGGTCGTCTTATCTGGTGTGTAAAACTCGCCTTCCACCTTTAAGTTATCGCTTGGCTTCACCTGTTCGGGTCGCTTGACATGGTGGTACTCCTCCTTCTGGGTGAATGTCATTTCACCCTCACTTCTCAGATTGTCTTTGCGAATTACAGTCTTTACCCTATCTGCCGGCCGGAAGCCTTCTTTGTCGGGGATGTGCATCTTACCCTCGGGTTTTAAATTGTCGACGTACCTCTTTTGCTCGGGGCGAGACCCAGGCTCATATTTTGGCTTTTCAGGAGTGTACATAACGCCTTCAGGCTTCAGATTGTCTTCTGGCTTTACTGGACTTGGTCTTACAACATGCTGGTATTCAGTTTTTTCCGTAAAAGTCATTTCTCCTTCAGTTCGAAGATTATCCTTGTGAACAACTCGGGTCACCTTGTCAGCCGGCCTATACTTGGTCTTATCTGGGATATCTATCTCGCCCTCTGGTTTTAAGTTGTCCTGCGGTTTCTTCTGCTTGGGTCTCTCACCAGGCTGGAAGCTCTTTTTTTCTTGAACATAGAATTCTCCCTCCATCTTCAGGTTGTCCTTATGCTTTACAACGGTTACCCGCTCTCCAGGTCGATATTTGTGCTTTTCGGGACTAAAGAATTCGCCCTCGGGCTTCAAGTTATCAGTTGGCTTTACTTGCTCAGGTCTGACAACATATTGATACTCTTTCTTTTCCACAAAGGTCATCTCGCCTTCAGTGCGTAAATTGTCCTTTTGAATGATCTTTTTAATTTTGTCCGCTGGTTTATAGACTTGCTTCTCAGGTTTAACAAATTCTCCCTCAGGCTTAAGATTATCCACAGGTTTCTTCGCTACCGGTCGCTCACCTGGCTTATAGCCTGGCTTCTCTGGTGCATAAAAATCGCCTTCAGGTTTTAGATTATCCTCATGACGAACTTGGGATGGTCGCTCGCCAGGCCTGAATGATTGCTTTTCTGGACTGTAAAAATCTCCTTCCGGTTTCAGGTTATCATGTGGCTTCTTCTGCACAGGTCTCTCGGCAGGCCGGAATCCCGGCTTTTCCGGCGCGTAGAACTCTCCCTCTGAGCGGAGATTATCCTCTGGTCTTACTTGAGTCGGTCTCTCGCCTGGCTTGTACTTCGGCTTTTCGGGGCTGTAGAATTCTCCCTCCGGCTTCAGATTGTCCTCTGGCTTTTTCTGGACTGGCCTCTCAGCAGGACGGAATCCTGGCTTCTCTGGAGTGTAGAATTCTCCTTCTTGTCTGAGATTATCCTCTGGCCTGACTTGGGAAGGTCTTTCTCCAGGTCTGTATTTAGGCTTCTCAGGGCTGTAAAACTCTCCTTCTGGCTTCAGATTATCGGTCGGCCGTACTTGATCAGGACGATCAGCAGGACGGAATCCTGGCTTCTCTGGAGCGTAGAATTTTCCCTCTTGTCTAAGATTGTCCTCTGGCCTGACTTGCGAAGGTCTTTCGCCTGGCTTATACTTGGGCTTCTCGGGGCTGTAGAACTCTCCTTCAGGCTTCAGATTGTCCTCTGGCTTTTTCTGGACCGGCCTCTCAGCAGGACGGAATCCTGGCTTCTCAGGAGTATAGAATTCTCCTTCTTGTCTGAGATTATCCTCTGGTCTGACTTGAGAAGGTCTTTCTCCAGGTCTGTACTTAGGCTTCTCAGGGCTGTAAAACTCTCCTTCCGGCTTCAGATTATCGGTGGGCCGTACCTGATCAGGACGGTCAGCAGGACGGAATCCTGGCTTTTCTGGAGTGTAGAATTCTCCCTCTTGTCTGAGATTATCCTCTGGCCTGATCTGAGAAGGTCTTTCGCCTGGCTTGTACTTCGGCTTCTCGGGGCTGTAGAATTCTCCTTCCGGCTTTAGATTATCGGTCGGTTTTACTTGTTCAGGACGTACAACATACTGATACTCTTCCTTTTCAATAAATGTCATTTCGCCTTCAGTGCGAAGGTTATCCTTTCTGATGATCTTCTCAGTCTTCTCAGCAGGCCTGTAGACTTGTTTCTCAGGCTTCACAAAATCTCCTTCCGGCTTCAGATTGTCCTCTGGCTTTTTCTGGACTGGCCTTTCAGCAGGACGGAATCCTGGCTTCTCTGGAGTGTAGAATTCTCCCTCTGGTTTTAGGTTATCTTCTGGCCTGACTTGGGAAGGTCTTTCTCCAGGTCTGTATTTAGGCTTCTCAGGGCTGTAAAACTCTCCTTCCGGCTTCAGATTATCGGTTGGCCGTACTTGATCAGGACGATCAGCAGGGCGGAATCCTGGCTTCTCTGGAGTGTAGAATTCTCCCTCAGATCGAAGATTATCCTCCGGCCGGACTTGAGAAGGTCTTTCGCCTGGTTTGTATTTAGGTTTCTCGGGACTATAGAACTCTCCTTCGGGCTTCAGATTATCAGTTGGCTTTACTTGTTCAGGACGTACAACATACTGATACTCTTCCTTTTCAACAAATGTCATTTCGCCTTCAGTGCGAAGGTTATCCTTTCTGATGATCTTCTCAGTCTTCTCAGCAGGCCTGTAGACTTGTTTCTCAGGCTTCACAAAATCTCCTTCCGGTTTCAGATTGTCCTCTGGCTTTTTCTGGACAGGCCTTTCAGCAGGACGGAATCCTGGCTTCTCTGGAGTGTAGAATTCTCCCTCTGGTTTTAGGTTATCTTCTGGCCTGACTTGGGAAGGTCTTTCTCCGGGTTTGTATTTAGGCTTCTCAGGGCTGTAAAACTCTCCTTCCGGCTTCAGATTATCGGTTGGCCGTACTTGATCAGGACGATCAGCAGGACGGAATCCTGGCTTCTCTGGAGTGTAGAATTCTCCCTCAGATCGAAGATTATCCTCCGGCCGGACTTGAGAAGGTCTTTCGCCTGGTTTGTATTTAGGCTTCTCAGGGCTGTAAAACTCTCCTTCGGGCTTCAGATTATCAATCGGCTTTACTTGTTCAGGACGTACAACATACTGATACTCTTCCTTTTCAACAAATGTCATTTCGCCTTCAGTGCGAAGGTTATCCTTTCTGATGATCTTCTCAGTCTTCTCAGCAGGCCTGTAGACTTGTTTCTCAGGCTTCACAAAATCTCCTTCCGGTTTCAGATTGTCCTCTGGCTTTTTCTGGACAGGCCTTTCAGCAGGACGGAATCCTGGCTTCTCTGGAGTGTAGAATTCTCCCTCTGGTTTTAGGTTATCTTCTGGCCTGACTTGGGAAGGTCTTTCTCCGGGTTTGTATTTAGGCTTCTCAGGGCTGTAAAACTCTCCTTCCGGCTTCAGATTATCGGTTGGCCGTACTTGATCAGGACGATCAGCAGGACGGAATCCTGGCTTCTCTGGAGTGTAGAATTCTCCCTCAGATCGAAGATTATCCTCCGGCCGGACTTGAGAAGGTCTTTCGCCTGGTTTGTATTTAGGCTTCTCAGGGCTGTAAAACTCTCCTTCGGGCTTCAGATTATCAATCGGCTTTACTTGTTCAGGACGTACAACATACTGATACTCTTCCTTTTCAACAAAAGTCATTTCGCCTTCAGTGCGAAGGTTATCCTTTCTGATGATCTTCTCTGTCTTCTCAGCAGGCCTGTAGACTTGTTTCTCAGGCTTCACAAAATCTCCTTCCGGTTTCAGATTGTCCTCTGGCTTTTTCTGGACAGGCCTTTCAGCAGGACGGAATCCTGGCTTCTCTGGAGTGTAGAATTCTCCCTCTGGTTTTAGGTTATCTTCTGGCCTGACTTGGGAAGGTCTTTCTCCAGGTCTGTATTTAGGCTTCTCAGGGCTGTAAAACTCTCCTTCCGGCTTCAGATTATCGGTTGGCCGTACTTGATCAGGACGATCAGCAGGGCGGAATCCTGGCTTCTCTGGAGTGTAGAATTCTCCCTCAGATCGAAGATTATCTTCCGGCCGGACTTGAGAAGGTCTTTCGCCTGGTTTGTATTTAGGTTTCTCGGGACTATAGAACTCTCCTTCGGGCTTCAGATTATCAGTCGGCTTTACTTGTTCAGGACGTACAACATACTGATACTCTTCCTTTTCAACAAATGTCATTTCGCCTTCAGTGCGAAGGTTATCCTTTCTGATTATCTTCTCAGTCTTTTCAGCAGGCCTGTAGACTTGTTTCTCAGGCTTCACAAAATCTCCTTCCGGCTTCAGATTGTCCTCTGGCTTTTTCTGGACTGGCCTTTCAGCAGGACGGAATCCTGGCTTCTCTGGAGTGTAGAATTCTCCCTCTGGTTTTAGGTTATCTTCTGGCCTGACTTGGGAAGGTCTTTCTCCGGGTCTGTATTTAGGCTTCTCAGGGCTGTAAAACTCTCCTTCCGGCTTCAGATTATCGGTTGGCCGTACTTGATCAGGACGATCAGCAGGACGGAATCCTGGCTTCTCTGGAGTGTAGAATTCTCCCTCAGATCGAAGATTATCCTCCGGCCGGACTTGAGAAGGTCTTTCGCCTGGTTTGTATTTAGGTTTCTCGGGACTATAGAACTCTCCTTCGGGCTTCAGATTATCAGTCGGCTTTACTTGTTCAGGACGTACAACATACTGATACTCTTCCTTTTCAACAAATGTCATTTCGCCTTCAGTGCGAAGGTTATCCTTTCTGATGATCTTCTCAGTCTTCTCAGCAGGCCTGTAGACTTGTTTCTCAGGCTTCACAAAATCTCCTTCCGGCTTCAGATTGTCCTCTGGCTTTTTCTGGACTGGCCTTTCAGCAGGACGGAATCCTGGCTTCTCTGGAGTGTAGAATTCTCCCTCTGGTTTTAGGTTATCTTCTGGCCTGACTTGGGAAGGTCTTTCTCCAGGTCTGTATTTAGGCTTCTCAGGGCTGTAAAACTCTCCTTCCGGCTTCAGATTATCGGTTGGCCGTACTTGATCAGGACGATCAGCAGGGCGGAATCCTGGCTTCTCTGGAGTGTAGAATTCTCCCTCAGATCGAAGATTATCCTCCGGCCGGACTTGAGAAGGTCTTTCGCCTGGTTTGTATTTAGGTTTCTCGGGACTATAGAACTCTCCTTCGGGCTTCAGATTATCAGTCGGCTTTACTTGTTCAGGACGTACAACATACTGATACTCTTCCTTTTCAACAAAAGTCATTTCGCCTTCAGTGCGAAGGTTATCCTTTCTGATGATCTTCTCTGTCTTCTCAGCAGGCCTGTAGACTTGTTTCTCAGGCTTCACAAAATCTCCTTCCGGCTTCAGATTGTCCTCTGGCTTTTTCTGGACAGGCCTTTCAGCAGGACGGAATCCTGGCTTCTCTGGAGTGTAGAATTCTCCCTCTGGTTTTAGGTTATCTTCTGGCCTGACTTGGGAAGGTCTTTCTCCAGGTCTGTATTTAGGCTTTTCAGGGCTGTAAAATTCTCCTTCCGGCTTCAGATTGTCCTTTGGCTTTTTCTGGACCGGCCTTTCAGCAGGACGGAATCCTGGCTTCTCTGGAGTGTAGAATTCACCTTCCTGCTTCAGATTGTCCTCTGGCTTTTTCTGGACTGGCCTCTCAGCAGGACGGAATCCTGGCTTCTCTGGAGTGTAGAATTCACCTTCCTGCTTCAGATTGTCCTCTGGCTTTTTCTGGACTGGCCTCTCAGCAGGACGGAATCCTGGCTTCTCTGGAGTGTAGAATTCACCTTCCTGCTTCAGATTGTCCTCTGGCTTTTTCTGGACTGGCCTCTCAGCAGGACGGAATCCTGGCTTCTCAGGAGTGTAGAATTCTCCCTCTTGTCTAAGATTATCCTCTGGCCTGACTTGAGAAGGTCTTTCCCCTGGCCTGTACTTTGGCTTCTCGGGGCTGTAGAATTCTCCTTCGGATTTAAGGTTATCTTCAGGCTTCTTCTGAACTGGCCTCTCAGCAGGTCTGAATCCTGGCTTTTCTGGTGTGTAAAAGTCACCTTCAGGCTTAAGGTTGTCTTCTGGTCTAACTTGGGTAGGTCTTTCTCCAGGACGGTACCTAGGCTTTTCAGGACTGTAAAACTCTCCCTCTGGTTTCAAATTATCAGTTGGCCTTACTTGATCAGGACGAACCACATACTGATACTCTTCCCTCTCCACAAATGTCATTTCCCCTTCTGTATGCAGATTATCTTTTCGAATAATTCTTTCGGTTTTATCAGCAGGTTTGTACACTTGTTTTTCAGGCTTTGTGAATTCACCTTCCGGCTTCAGGTTATCCTGAGGCTTCTTCTGGACTGGCCTTTCTGCTGGTCTGTATCCTGGCTTCTCTGGTGTGTAGAATTCTCCCTCTTGTCTGAGATTATCCTCTGGCCTGACTTGCGAAGGTCTTTCGCCTGGCTTATACTTGGGTTTCTCGGGGCTGTAGAATTCTCCTTCGGATTTAAGGTTATCTTCAGGCTTCTTTTGGACTGGCCTCTCAGCAGGACGGAATCCTGGCTTCTCTGGAGTGTAGAATTCACCTTCCTGCTTCAGATTGTCCTCTGGCTTTTTCTGGACTTGCCTCTCAGCAGGACGGAATCCTGGCTTCTCTGGAGTGTAGAATTCACCTTCCTGCTTCAGATTGTCCTCTGGCTTTTTCTGGACTGGCCTCTCAGCAGGACGGAATCCTGGCTTCTCTGGAGTGTAGAATTCTCCCTCTTGTCTGAGATTATCCTCTGGCCTGACTTGAGATGGTCTTTCGCCTGGCCTGTACTTTGGCTTCTCGGGGCTGTAGAATTCTCCTTCGGATTTAAGGTTATCTTCAGGCTTCTTCTGAACTGGCCTCTCAGCAGGTCTGAATCCTGGCTTTTCAGGTGTGTAAAAGTCACCTTCAGGCTTAAGGTTGTCTTCTGGTCTAACTTGGGTAGGTCTTTCTCCAGGACGGTACCTAGGCTTTTCAGGACTGTAAAACTCTCCCTCTGGTTTCAAATTATCAGTTGGCCTTACTTGATCAGGACGAACCACATACTGATACTCTTCCCTCTCCACAAATGTCATTTCCCCTTCTGTATGCAGATTATCTTTTCGAATAATTCTTTCGGTTTTATCAGCAGGTTTGTACACTTGTTTTTCAGGCTTTGTGAATTCACCTTCCGGCTTCAGGTTATCCTGAGGCTTCTTCTGGACTGGCCTTTCTGCTGGTCTGTATCCTGGCTTCTCTGGTGTGTAGAATTCTCCCTCTTGTCTGAGATTATCCTCTGGCCTGACTTGCGAAGGTCTTTCGCCTGGCTTATACTTGGGTTTCTCGGGGCTGTAGAATTCTCCTTCGGATTTAAGGTTATCTTCAGGCTTCTTTTGGACTGGCCTCTCAGCAGGACGGAATCCTGGCTTCTCTGGAGTGTATAATTCACCTTCCTGCTTCAGATTGTCCTCTGGCTTTTTCTGGACTGGCCTCTCAGCAGGACGGAATCCTGGCTTCTCTGGAGTGTAGAATTCACCTTCCTGCTTCAGATTGTCCTCTGGCTTTTTCTGGACTGGCCTCTCAGCAGGACGGAATCCTGGCTTCTCAGGAGTGTAGAATTCTCCCTCTTGTCTAAGATTATCCTCTGGCCTGACTTGAGAAGGTCTTTCCCCTGGCCTGTACTTTGGCTTCTCGGGGCTGTAGAATTCTCCTTCCTGCTTTAAATTGTCCTCTGGCTTCTTCTGGACCGGCCTCTCAGCAGGACGGAATCCTGGCTTCTCTGGAGTGTAGAATTCTCCCTCTTGTTTGAGATTGTCTTCTGGCCTGACTTGAGCAGGACGTTCGCCAGGGCGATATTTCGGTTTCGCGGGGCTATAAAAATCACCCTCTGGCTTCAGGTTATCCGTGGGCTTAACTTGTCCAGGACGCACCACATATTGATATTCCTCTTTCTCCACAAAGGTCATTTCACCTTCTGTTCGCAAATTATCAGTGCGGACGATTTTTTCTGGTTTCTCTGCTGGGGTGTAACCAGGCTTCTCGGGGGTGTAGAACTCGCCTTCGGATCTCAGGTTATCCTGATGCCGCACTTGAGTTGGCCTATCTCCTGGTTGGTACGTTGGCTTTTCCGGACTGTAGAATTCGCCTTCGGGCTTGAGGTTATCTGTGGGCTTCACATATCCAGGACGGACAGTATACTGATATTCTTCCCTTTCCACGAAAGTCATTTCTCCCTCCGTACGCAGGTTGTCGGTGTGCACAATTTTCTCCCGTTTTTCTCCGGGCTTGTAGGGCTCTTTTGGCGGAACAACAAAGTCACCCTCGGGTTTTAAATTATCTTGTGGCTTCTTAATGACTACGTAGTCCACTAGAATGTCTTCATTTTGCTTGGGAATGTTTCCATTTTCTTTTTTCGACCAGGTATTCGTACGTATCCTCGTATATGTTTCGTCTAAGGTATCTGCGGTAATTTAAACCTCATTAGCAAACATTGAGTTTATTGAGACACTCGAACTTACCATCGGTTTCAATAATGGTTTTCTCTGTCGATTTCGCAGTGCTGTTTGAGCAGTGATGTCGTCTGTAAAAATAGTAATTCAATTAAGATTTTAAAGATATTTTATCGAAAAAGGTAACTAAACCTTACCCGCAAGTGCAGATTTCACAAATACACCTTTCGCTGTGTGTTGTCGTCTTGTTCTTTGCGACTCCCCGCTATAAAATAATTAAGCAAAATATATTTAATTTTCACTTTATTAAAGTTTACTTTGCTAACTAATCTACTAACGGTTCTTGAGTCGTCTAGGCGTTGCTTATCAGTGCGCACATAATCGATTTCATCATAAATATTTTCGGTAATATTTTTGTGTTTCGATGTCTCTTTGAGGTTCAGGGTTATGTTCTCATTGTTCTCCGATATCGAGGTGTTCTTCTCAATCTCCACAAACTCGTCCACGTAAATGGTCTTCTTGGGAGCCTCTACGATCTTCTCAATGACATCCGTGTGCACCTTCTCATCCAGAACGCGCCAGTCGTTGATGCTAGCATCGAAAATCTGTTAAGGAAAAGTTCCTTAATTACGAAAATTGGTAAACACACCCAGTGGGAGTTGCTCGTGGACTGGATTCTTTCGGGGTACGGTCCGTTGAGGGACGCACGCACTAACGCACTATCATGGATGTGGACTTACCTTCGTTACCTCCGTGGTAGTCGTTATGTTTGCAACATCGGTATTATCTTTCTCGATTTCCCGAGCAATGTCATTGGGCACGAAAGCTTTCGTATCAGTGAACGACTTCTCGTCGACAACCGTCCACCTGCCGAGCTTCGTGTCATACACCTTGGTGGTGTACGTTGTCCGTGTTGTGTTGATGACATCATCCACTATTTCGGGATAGCCCGTGTCGGCGCTGCTGTCCACCGTCCGTTCGTCCACGACCCGCCACCGATTGTTGCGTCTGTCGTATATCTTCTTCTTGTACGTCACCTTGGAGCTGCCATCGGTGTCCTTGCTCACATACCGCTCGAAGGCAGGACGGCTCTTGTTTGCCGTGCTGCCATCGCTGTACTCTGTCCAGGACTTGGTCTTCACATCGTAGACCTCCTTCTTGGACGACGACTTGGACTGTTTGCTGCTGCTGGAGCTTTTGAGGACGGTGCTCTCACTGACCTCTTTGCTGGACTTTAGCGTCGACTGGTCGACCAGCGAAGAAGACGATGACGTAGCTCCACGAACAGCTGTGGTGGCGGTGCGTGTGTCTGTGCCCGCCGCTTCCACTTCCAGTTTATCGTTGCGTCGCGTGGATGACGTCGTCGCCGTTGCCTTTGTTGTGGTCGCGCCAGACGTCGCGGAAACCGGTTGCGACGTCACGGATGCAGGCCCATCAGCTGTTCCGCGGACTGGCGGCAACTTTGGCACACTCTGAGATTCGCCCAAATTAATAACCCCGCCGTTGCTGCTGCTGCTGCTGCTGCTGATGATGTTTGTGTTTGTGATGTTGCTGCTGCTGATGTTGCTGCTGCTCATGTTGGTGCTGCTCATGTTGGTGCTGCTGGTGTTGGTCTCTGTCTTGGTGTCGAAGCCAACCTGTTTCCTCGGCTCGGATGATGTCATACCGGTAGCCGTGTCGGCTCTCTCGCTCGCAATAAGCGTTTCGTTGGCGCTCCGACTGGAACTGGTTGTGGTCTCGAAGTACGAGCTGCTGGCCTGCTGGTGCTGCTGCTGCTGGCTGGTGGAGATCGACGACGAGGAGGCGGCGAACATTTTCGAGACACTGCCCCCGCTGGCGGAGACGGATAGCGTGGGCGTTGTGATCTCCACCACCTCAATGGGCACCGAGAATACTGGCTCTTTCTTTTCACTCTCCAACAGATCAATCGAGGAGATGATCTTGGCGTTGTTGGCATAATCCCGGGAGGAGATCTTGCTGCTCTGCCCGTGGGTTAGCTGAGATTGCTCTGTGTAGGTTGAGGAGGAGTGCGACTGGGAGGCCTTGCTCTTGGAGCTGCGGCTGCTATAGCTGCGGACACCAGCTGCCGGCAAGGAGGCGATACCTTCAACACCTGCAGAGGTGCTGGCCACAGGCTCCATGTCGCCCCCGCCATAGGACACAGATTCGTGCTCCATGGAGGAGGAGCTCTGGTTGGTGGTCAGAGTGGCAAACGCATCGGGACCCAGTTTTTTCGTGAGCTTCGTGGCCGAGGCCGACGATGATGTGGTTGTGCTCGAAGTTGCTGGTGGCTGCGACGACGACGAAGCCTGCTGCTGCTGCTGCTGAGACACTTGTTTCTTTTTATTGCTTTTTGATACCATTTTGCTTTTTGAGCGAGCGGGCTGACACAGATGAGGTAATCACCGAATATTGCACCTGGCTGGACTATGGCTCTTTGCGGGCTAATTAATAATCACTCTTGGCTTTTTTCGTTGTTGTTTGTTTTTAATCACAATTATTGACTCGCTTCGTTGCTTTTTGGCACTCGGTTAAAAAATATTTGCGGTATGAATGGGACGTGGTTGTTGGGGATCTGGACTGGTGTATGTTGTGTTGTGGTGTGTCACATAATTTCCACCGCCGGAATGTCGAAATACTTATTTTTAAATATATTTATAATACGCGCACGAGCACGGGAGCCATAGTTCAAGTTGAGGCCCCAAAACACACAACGACGACAGTTAGACGTGTGAGCAGAAAAAAAGCTTAGCACTCTCGCTCACTTCACACACACACACCTTGGAGAGAGAGAGAGAGACACCAGAGACGGGGGATCGCTCGGATGCAGTGAGTTAGAGATACAGATACTCAGATACAGATACAGATACAGATACAGCTAGAGGCGGCGACTGCTTAGATGCCAAAAACCGAGAGACAACCTTTAATTCGAATTCGTATTTTTCGTTCGGAGCACTGTTAAGATCACCAACCGTCGCGAAGCACAACTCAAAACGTACTGATCGCCTCTGGAACCGCTTTCGACCGAGCGACCGACTATCTGTGCGCTGACAGCGGAGCAGCAGCAGCAGCAGCAACAGCAGCAGCAGCAACAGCCGCAGCAGCAGCAACAGCGTTTTGTGGGTTTGTCGGCGCAAGTGGAAGCGGGACACACGACGCCTGCGACTTCGACTTTGCCAGCGCCTTCGCAAAAACGGCTAAAAGCCAGGCCAGGCAGCAGCGTAGGTTTCAGCTCTCGCCTGTATGCGTGCCAGAGTATCTGACGGATGCGTAGGCCGAACTACGGACGTCTCCCTGTATGTGCCCAGTTTTGGCTGCCACGAAACACCGACGACGACGACGACTTCCACCGAGTTCAATAAGCCAATAAAAGCTGCACGCACACCTAACCGCATCGCATCGGTCTTTTGTGAAAGTGCCAATAAAAACATAAAAACAAACAGATGTCTGATGCTCGATGTCCGAAGCCGGGCGGTCTTTTCTGTTTGAGTTTCAGGTACACAAAGCCGAGCAGCACGATCATCCAGGGCGTGCGCCGGCTTAGCTTCCTCTAGAGCAAACAGTTTTTTGAAATAATATTAACTTAAAGCCCATAAACTGAAATTGGCAAAGACCAAAATTGGCCAGACTAACGGCTGTATCTGTTGGATGCACAATTAAATTTGAATAACATCTGACACTGATTAGTCAGCACATGTCTACCAGGGGCGCTACGTGGGCGTCCGTCTCCGTCTCCGCCGGAGCTGTGAGTAAGCCCCATTGGGATCAAGATTTATTCGCCATAATGCTGCCAGTTGGAGCTCAATGGCCGCCCAATTGATTTATAACGGCCTTTGGGTGGGTGCAATATATAATCCATAGCCCAAGTGGTTATGTCCAAAACGGGGATAGACTGCAATAGATCAGCTGCATAATGTATGTAAGAGAGAGAGACCGATCCCGAGACCTACTTGACCTCCAAAATGTTCGCTCGTCAAGCTACAAAGAAAAGCTATACCAATTCTTGCTTAATTCGAACCTGACGTCATACACGGCGTATGAGCAACGAGCGGCGGCGGCGGCGGCAACTGAGACTCATTTTCATGCGAAGCCAAAAGCAATCAAAACTTGTTTGCTGGCCCGGGTACACACACGAAAAAATAAAAATCACGCAAATAGAGAAGTAAGCCACAAATGCAAAATTAAAGTGGAAAATAAAAGCGCCACAGTAAAGCCTGCTTAGCAATTCACCGAGCATACTAATGGACATAAAACAGCAAATTGCAAACTACAAACTGGAACTAGAACACACTGCAATTCAGAGCAAATGGCAATTGGGAACTGGAACGCACTGGAACTGGGTGCAAGGGAGACTATAGCTAATTAGAGGCTATAGTAGAAGCACAGCTCTCTACGGAGCCCGAGTGATGATCACATCTCTTGCTCATCTCACAGTGTTTCCTTGGAAATTGAAATTGAATCGAAGTGAGGCGACGACGACAGAGGCGTTCTCGAAATTTATGCGCAAGTTTCGGCTGTCGCCTCAAGTTCAATTAATTTTAATTCAACAAAATAAAGCGAAATGCACATCAAGGTAACGTGTCAGCCCTTATTTGGCAGTTGGCCGAAATGCCAACATATCCGAAAATGTGTCTGTTTTTTACTGCAATGCACTTTTAGGGCAGACCTGCTACAGGTTGCTGCAAGCGACATTATTATCCAACTGGCTCAGGCCTATGCCCATATGGGCATGGAGGTCCCAGTCACGTAGCTTGGCGTATGTATTATTTATTCGCTCGCATCTCTACAAAAAATTAAAAACAATTAAAAGTTACGGCGCCGTATGTACATATATTGTAACGACTACCTTGCTCATGTTGGACACTTGCGACGTGCTCGCGGGCCTATCAATTGAGGAAGGAACTGAACAAAAAACAACGTAAAGTCCAACAAAGTCTGTAATATTTTATGATTCCACTTCGAGGCACACCTGAAACCTCAAAAAAAAAGCTTTGCCTAATATCTCTCAAGCAACAATTAGACAAAAATTTGTGTTTAACTTTTATCTTATCTGGCTTTTTGTTTTCGCCTTGGCATTCTACCAATTTGCATACAAACTTTGTCTCTAGTTTGGATATTTTCCCTCTCTCAAATTATTACCACAAGTGTCTAAGCGATTTTCTTGCCAACCCATTGCAGTTGAGTTGACTCACAATTGGAATGGCAAAAATATTTGTTATTGTTTGTTTAATCAGCAAATCTATAAATAAGTTATTCATTCACTTATTTTGACAAAAGAAAGTTCCTTGGGCGGTACGCTGCGTGACACAAGTTTAGTTCTAGGCTAAGTTGAGGGTCGAAGCTTGGTAAGAAACATCAAGCTTGAAGACCATTAGCCATATTGGATGTAAGAGCTTATGTACAATGCCTTTTTGTAATTTTATATAATTTATAGGTTTTTTTTTTGCACCTCAATGCACAATATTTCTCTTGGTAAACCTCTTAAAAGTCCTCCTAAATTATGTTACAACAAGAAATGAAACAAACTTCAAAAAGCCTATGCTTATATACCCTTGCAATTTGCAATTTAATTATAGGATCAAATCGGAAATCGATTATAACTAAGATATATATATTCGTATTCTTTGAATTAATATTTATAGAATTTTTCATGTGAGAATTGTTGTTCAAATAAATGCTTAAAAAACGCATAACTGAGCCAAAACAGCATTAATTTTAATTCGGAAAACTGTCCTGTGATAGTTGTTAATAGTTTTATAAAACTGCATAACAAATTTCAAATTTTAAGAAGTTTAAAAATTTAGCCCATTTTTTGACAATTTTAACGATGTAACCCCTTATAAAATTAAAAAAAAATTGAAAAATTTTGTTTTCCTCCGGAGACATCTAGAAAGATTCGCATTTTGATGCTGATCAAGAATATATATGATTTATAGGGTCGGAAATGACTCCTTCACAGCGAAATAAGCTTCTGACTAAAATAATAATAAGATTCTGAATAAAAGAAGTCGACGAGCTGAAATGAAAAACACATTTCACAGCCATAGGAAACACTTTCATATTTCGACTAAACTCCACTGCTGATTAAATCCTATTAGTTACCAGTATCTGGCACTTTTCTTATCAATAAATTGAATGATCGGTGCGTTTTTGCAAAAAGTTTAGATAAGAGCCGGGACCCCATAGTAATAGGTAACTTTTTTTGCAAGAGATATCACTTGTGAACATTCTTTTCCAACTTTAAATGCAATTATACTTTTTTTTTATATTATAATTCATATTTTTCCGCATTTGTATTTATTCCTTTTCTTTTTTTAAGGCTTACATATTAAAATATATGCTTAGTGTGTAGGTTCATTATTTATTGTTTCATTTTTATCCGATTACGATATACTTTTACCAATTATGTTCTTCTGCACTCCTAAGACTTAAGGTAGAATTTTTTACAGTGTGATATTCGTCGCCAAGCGTGCATTGATTGGGTGATTTTTCTCGGGGTATATATAAGTATGTGTGTTATTGTTTTAACTGCTGCTTCTTCATCTTCTTCGCCTTGTGTGTCACTAATTTCATTGAATAATTTTTAAGGTTGCAGTCCCCTTAGGCTAGAGAGAGATATATCTTTGCTGATCGTGTTTGAATATCTGTTGTTGGCTACTCCACATACTCCCACAGATCCGCCCCCAACTCACAGATCGGCGGCAGGCTCCCGTGTCTGTATGTACAATCGAAATGTGCGAGAGCCCACGCAGTTCTGGGCAGGATTGCCCACGCCAAGTCCGGTTGGGGGAGCCGCTTCTTACGCTGTTTGGTTACGTATTCAAGTGCAACGCTTGCTAGTGTCTAGTTTCTAGAGCCTAACCGAAAGTCGTCTAGTATATACTTCTTTTTTTTCGTGTTATTTTTTTTTAGTTGTTTACATTTTACAATTAAGCATTTATATTTGTCATCTAGTTTTGAATATATAAGTTTTTGTGAGTTTTATAAGTTGTTGTGTTGTTGTTATTGTTATTTTAAAAGTCGGGTTTGTGTAATCCATAGAACCAATAGAACGTAACGCTTTAAAACTTTGCAACTCATATACCGGCGGTTGTTCTTTTAGATGCGACCAACGCATCGCAAAATTAATTAACAGATACTTTCTACGTAATCCTATATATATGTCTGTGTATACATATTATATATATATATATAAATATATATATGTATATATATAAGGTGTTTTCCCATGCTAGTTAACTATCAATATGTGTACACTGCGATTACTTAGCCGCTAGCCTAGGTTCTAACTAAAAAATATTACAATTAAGGGAATCGCTTATCTCTTCTCCGGGAGGGATCCATCTGGATAATGCCTGTGTGCTGGTGCTGCTGCTGCTTCTGGTGTTTATGCTACTAAAGTTGCTGCTCCTGCTGTTCCTGCTGTCACTGTTGGTTGCACTTGCCACGTATTTACAGTCGCTCTCGGTTATTCCCCGTCTATGTCCGCCTGCTGCTGCTGCTGATCCTCGGGCAGGACACTACGACAGATCTCGTACTTGATCACCTTGCCATGAATCTGACCATCAGGCAATATCTGCACTTGAACCTGCGCCGGCTGCTGTCCACCGCTGGCCGACCCAGCCGCCTGTTGTTGCTGCTGCTGCTGGGCCGAGGACGCCTCCTGCAAGAGTGGGGGGAACAAGGTTTAGCTCAAGCCAGGAGGAAGAGACTCTATTGCCTCTCGAAATAGACGAGATATGCGCAAATAATACAAACTAAACTAAAGATTACGCTTGCAAGAAAGAAATATTAAGATACGAGGGAGATACATTTAAAGAGAGACAGAGGAGACAGGAGACACAGGCGGGATCAAATTAGGAACATTTGGATCTCTAAGCATACGACAAACAACAATAACAACAAAAGACATACATAATACATCGTGATATACATATATATTAGCGATAATTTTGGGATATATTTCATACACACCTAAAACCGCGCGCAAACTGAAGCCTTTTCGACACGAATTATTTTGGGTTTATATTCACTGCAGAGTTATGGTTGTTTTATATCGATTTTCTTTTGTTTTTTGTGGCAACACACAGGAGACACACATTCACAGGGGGCAGCAGTAGACACACCTCAGATCTGTTGGGATCAAAGATGCCCAAGATACTGGCTGCTACAAGTGTGTCTCAACCTGCTTGTTGTTGTTGTTTTTTTTTTTTGTTTAGGCTTTTAACGTTCATTTGTGGTTTATCTTGATCTTGTTTCTGTTTTTCTCTGTTCTGATTCGTTTTAAACTCTTAGTAAGAAGTAGTTGGTACAACAAGCTGCAAAGTATTGGAAAAGGTAATGCGATTATGTTTTAAGATTCGAATTCATTGGGAATCAGTGAAATGTATATAAATATTAGGGATGCTACAGGATTTATATAAATTGGTGTGATATAAGCGATAAATCTGTTATCTCTTTAATATATCGCACCAATAATACATTTTTATTATATTTTATGCAATAACAAAGATATTCTAATCATTTTTGGTTTCATTTAAGTTCAATTAAAATTGTTTTATTCTGTATCTACATTAATAGCGACATCAGTAACTTCACGTTAAATGTAATCTTCGACATTAAAATTTTCAGAAAACCTTTTCTTTTGAATATTTTTACGTTAAATGCTATATACTTCAATGTTTCAAGTTTCATAGATAAAAATTCACAATAGACTCGATATGATATCAAGCGCTATATATTTATATATAGATATATATTATCATATTTTAATTGTCCACCTCATTATACATCCCTAATATATATAGGTAGATATGGGACAGAGATGGAAGGGTAAGCAAAACAAAGGGGAAACACATTTAACTTTTATGAGTAGGCTAAGAATGCCGCTGACCGACTGACCGACCGACAAAGCCTCTATTGCTGATGCCAATAAGAATCGTTTATTGTTGAATTGGATTAACATTGCTTAGGTGCTTAGTGTGTGTTTTCTTTTTACAATTAACGTTAGGGGCCGTCGCCTAACTTTTTCCCAACTAGAATTAGACTTAACACTAACTAATTAGTTGTAAATCAAAAGCATAAAGAACGGAACAGAGCGGATCGGGATATCAGGTGTATATATCTGATTTATCTGATTATCGGGCTATATCGGAGAGGCACTGGACACACTGGGGACTGGAGTCTCTAGCATACCTGTTGCTGCGATATGGCTGGCTTCGTCTCCAGATGCTGGCGCTGGTGCAGCATCAGGTGGTTCTTCTGGAAGAAGGCCTTGCCGCATTCACACACATGAGTGCGCACCGTACAGCCGCCGTTCGGATGCCGGCGATTGTGCTGCATGAGACCGTGCTTGGCGGCGAATCCTTTGCCGCAACTGGCGCAGAAATGCGACTTGGGCTTGTTGGCCGGCGCAACAGATACGACATGCTGCTGCTGTTGCTGTTGTTGCTGCTGTTGCTGCTGCTGCTGTACGTGCTGCAGGTGCTGCTGCTGGCCATGCACAGGCATGGTCGGCACTGCGGTGACCACGGCTTGCGGATGGGTCGAGTTGGCGGCCTGCACCAGCGTGGTCTGCGACATCACCTGTCCGGTCGACGATATAATCTGCACGGGCACTGGGCTCTGGCCCACTAGATTCGGGTTGGCCGTGACTACGGTACCCGGATTCAAGCTGGCCGTGCTCAAGAAGTGACCCGGCAAGGCGGCTGTCAAAGCGCACAGATCGGTCATTAGACTCTTGTCGCCAGTATGAAGGCGCAAGTGAAGTGCTAAGGCTTCTCGGCTATTGAAGGCGCTGCCGCATTCGCTGTGGAAATAGAACACGAGGATAAATACCTTTTCTGCTAAAGGATTTTGAGTTGATTACTTACCGGCACACGAACTGTGGCCTGGCCACGCCATTAGCATCCGTAGTAGACACAGTCAGCAGCGTGGAGTTGGCCGGATTGCTTACCACAGTAATCGTCTGTGGATGCGGCTGTCCGGGATGATGATGGGCCTGTTGCAGCTGCTTGATTTCACATTTAAAAAGAACCTAGTCAGTCTATATTTATAGATTTTATATTAAGGAGCTTACCTGCTGATTGGCTATGATGGTGGCACTGCTCGTATTTGGATTGACGCCATTATGCGCCGTCCTCACATGCTGGTGCAGTTCGGCCTTGGTGAGGAAGCCCTCGCCGCAGCTGACGCAGGGATGCGCCTGCTCACCGGTGTGTACTCGTCTGAGGGATACAAAATGTAAGGATTGGGGAATGCTACATCGCAAAGTGGAGGCGGCTCACCTCATGTGGGAAACTAGCGTTCGCTTTTGTAGAAACTCTTTGCCGCACACCGTGCACGAATGGGGGATCTTGCCGTGAATACGTCCGTGGTTAACCAACTGGAACTTGCGTGGAAACGAGGCTCCACACTCGGCGCAAACGAATGGATTCAATGAACCATGAAAGCTGTGTGCGAATGAAAGGTCAGGTTTAATCATTACTGGGACTTATGTACCATAGTCACACGGCTTACCGCGAGTGCATAATCAGGTGATTCTCCTGGGCAAAGCTCTCACCGCATTCCTCGCAAACGTACGGTCGCTCGCCGGCGTGAAATTTGCTGTGCGTGACCAGATGACGCTTGAGCGGAAAGGCGCGCCCGCACTCCTGGCAGACAAAAGGTCGCTCCCGGCTATGGACACGCGAATGGGTCAGCAGATGGTGCTTGAGGGTGAAGCTCTTCTTGCACTCCTGGCACTGATACGGTCGTTCCGTCGAGTGCAGCAGCAGATGCGTGTTGAGACAGTGCTTGTGCGCGAAGCTCTTGCCGCAATGGGTGCAAATGTGGGGACGTTCACCTGCGAATTAGAGGAGACGATTAGGCCCGCTCTTCGGTCAATGGTAGTCTGCCAGGAACAAGAACAACCACCTGTGTGCACGCGTGCGTGGGTTGTCAGATGATGCTTGAGCAGAAAGGACTTGCCGCACTCGTCACAACTGTACGGTCTTTCCTTCTTAATGGTGGCGTCCGTCTGTGAATAGACCCGTAATTGACATAATTATTGAAGTGAAGGAGCTTTGGATGCACAGATAGGCTCTACTCACTTCGCTGAAATGCATTGATTCCTGTAGTTCGGTCTTCGGGGACAGCTCCAAAGTGCCTGGCTCCAACTTTAAATTGGGTGCTTCGCCCTGCGAGTCCTCGTTATCCTCGAGTCCCTGGATTACTTTCTGTACTTGAACTGAAATACCAGGAAGTATGTCACCTAAGAGTGTTGTTGCACCGCCAACGGAACAAAAACCAAATGGAATTCAAGAAAAAGATACAAAAAAAAACGGGGGGCGAAAAGAGAAACAAAGGAAAAAAATCAAAGATACGAACGCAATATACGCAAAAATATGCAAATAAATTATCATCGGTGGTGGGTTAATCAAAACTTAAAACAAGGTTAGAGGCCAAACGAAACCAAGAACTACGGATTACAAACTAAAGAACGTAATTTAAGCAACCGTAACCGATATTATGTGCCAATTAAACGAGTATATGCCAAGAGGGACTACACATCGAATCGGCGTGGGCTGTGTGTGAGTTGAGGAGGAGTAGGAACAGGAGCAGGAGCAGGAGGAGGAGGAGCGGTTGGGATTTGGGGTAAACAAACACAGATTTGAGATGCTTACTTGGTGTCCCGCCAGACGCATGATGGTGCGTCCCATCGGCAGTGGTGATCGTGTGCGTCTGATGATGGCCGGCAGCGATGGCGCGCTTGATCAGGATCTCGTTGCACTCCTCTTGCGTTAGATGCAGCGCTCCGATGGAGCTGAAGTGCGACTTGGCTGCCGCCGCCGAGCCAGCGGTTAGCACCGTCTGTCCGGTCTTGGCATCGACAATGCTGCCATTCGCTAGTGTGTGGTGATGATGGGCCACCGACGGATCGCCACCCGCTGCCGCTGCAGCTGCTGCTGCCGTGGCCGGATCCACAAGCAGATCTGAAGGTTTTTTTCGTTTTGATTTTTGGTTGTTGGTATCGATCAGCCCGCGCCCGCCGCCCGCCAAGTGATGAGGTTTTGGTGTGGTAGTGATGATGAGTTCGTGTATGGTGTCGATTGTGGTGTGATAAGTGTGGTGCAGTTAGAGATGATCGATGGTGGGTTCGGGTGCAATAGCAGTATTACGGGCAAAACACACACAAGCACAATGAGAAGTTTGGAGGGTTTTTTGGGGTTCGGTATTCGGGTTTTCGGGTTGGATTCAAGGGCAGCGAGATCGAGCGAGAATTAAACAAAAAAAAAAAAAGAGACAACAAAATAAGTCAAATATATATTTAATATTTAAATAAACGGGAGTAGAGAGAGAAAAACAATCGATTAACAGAAAACCGAAAAGTATATAGAGATAATCACACAGTAAACACAGTAACACAGTAACGCGTGCAACACTGATTCGATTCGACTTGATCTTTGATTCGATTCCCACTTACAGTTCTTGTCCAGGCTCAACACCTGCTGATTGGCGTCCTGCTTCTTCACCACCGTCGATGATCCTCCCGCGGTAATTACCCTGCAAGTGGATAAAGATATAGAATCGGAAAACAAACATTAGCCATAGCAACTCACCTCTGTGTCCCTGGTGGAAATGAGGCATCGTTTACCACAAACATGCGGCGCACGACATTCTTATTGCCGGCACCGGTGAGCCCTTTGACATCCTTTTGAACTGCCAACGATCCATCCGTGGATAACAAATAGGGCATCTATAATGGAAGGGGTTGTAAGGCTTATTGAGGGAAACTTCTAATAGGGGTTTAGTTAATATACTATAGATTATACAACAAATGTAATATATACTCTGATATAAGTCGGAACGGGTCAGATCGGACGGCATATAGCTGCCATAGGAACGATTGGAAAATTTTAAGAACAATCATTATAACTTTGATTCAAAGCTATCTTTTATTATTATAGAAATTCGTTTTTAGTCTTATGAAAATCGGAATACTATATAAAATTACTGCCAGAGCAGGGGTTGTAATATGTAGTGGATCAGTATGTATCTTTCAACGTTAAGTAACTATGATCACAAAATAACTATGAGCAGTAAATTACTATGATCAGAATTAACTATTAGCAGTAAGTAAATCGGAACAGTAAGTTTCTATGACCAGGAAGTAACTCCGAACAGTAAGTATCTATGACCAGTAAGTACCTATGATCAGTAAGTTTCTATAACCAGTAATTATGTATGATCAGTTACTAACTTTGAACACTAATAAACAATGACTTGCAACTTTTGTAACACAACACTCTTCTGACACTTGGCCGGCAGCAGTCACTTCGTTCCGGGGATGTTTGAACCAGTTGGGAATCATATGCACAGAGAGATTTGTATTGGAACAAATTTAAGACCAAGCTATTTGAATGAAACTATGGAGTTATTCTTCTATATAATTTAACTAGTACATAAGTCGGAGCATGGCGAATCGGTGGACTATATATATACATATATATAGCCGCCTTAGGAACGATCGGACGATTTATAAAACAATGATCAGTAATTAACTATGAGCAGTAAGTAGCTATGAGCAATAAGTAACTCTGAACAGTAAGTATCTATGAGCAGTAAGTAACTCCGAACAGTAAGTATCTATGACCAGGAAGTAACTATGATCAATAAGTATCTATAACCAGTAATTATGTATGATCAGTTACTAACTTTGAACACTAATAAACAATGACTTGAAACTTTTGTAACACAACACTCTTCTGATACTTGGCCGGCAGCAGTCACTTCGTTCCGGGGATGTTTGAACCAGTTGGGAATCATATGCACAGAGAGATTTGTATTGGAACAAATTTAAGAGCAAGCTATTTAAATGAAACTATGGAGTTATTCTTCTATATAATTTAACTAGTACATAAGTCGGAGCATGGCGAATCGGTGGACTATATATATACATATATATAGCCGCCTTAGGAACGATCGGACGATTTATAAAACAATGATCAGTAATTAACTATGAGCAGTAAGTAGCTATGAGCAATAAGTAACTCTGAACAGTAAGTATCTATGAGCAATAAGTAACTCTGAACAGTAAGTATCTATGAGCAGTAAGTAACTCCGAACAGTAAGTATCTATGACCAGGAAGTAACTATGATCAATAAGTATCTATAACCAGTAATTATGTATGATCAGTTACTAACTTTGAACACTAATAAACAATGACTTGCAACTTTTGTAACACAACACTCTTCTGATACTTGGCCGGCAGCAGTCACTTCGTTCCGGGGATGTTTGAACCAGTTGGGAATCATATGCACAGAGAGATTTGTATTGGAACAAATTTAAGAGCAAGCTATTTAAATGAAACTATGTATTTATTCATCTATATAATTTTACTAGTATATAAGTCGGACCATGGCGAATAGGTGGACTATATATAAACATATATATAGCCGCCATAGGAACGATCGGACGATTTATAGAACAATGAGCAGTAATTAATTATGACCAGCAATTAACTATGAGCAGTAAGTAGCTATGAGCAATAAGTAACTCTGAACAGTAAGTATCTATGACCAGTAAGTAACTCCGAACAGTAAGTATCTATGACCAGTAAGTACCTATGATCAGTAAGTTTCTATAACCAGTAATTATGTATGATCAGTTACTAACTTTGAACACTAATAAACAATGACTTGCAACTTTTGTAACACAACACTCTTCTGACACTTGGCCGGCAGCAGTCACTTCGATCCGGGGATGTTTGAACCAGTTGGGAATCATATGCACAGAGAGATTTGTATTGGAACAAATTTAAGAGCAAGCTATTTAAATGAAACTATGTATTTATTCATCTATATAATTTTACTAGTATATAAGTCGGACCATGGCGAATAGGTGGACTATATATAAACATATATATAGCCGCAATAGGAACAATCGGACGATTTATAGAACAATGATCAGTAATTAATTATGACCAGCAATTAACTATGAGCAGTAAGTAGCTATGAGCAATAAGTAACTCTGAACAGTAAGTATCTATGACCAGTAAGTAACTCCGAACAGTAAGTATCTATGACCAGTAAGTACCTATGATCAGTAAGTTTCTATAACCAGTAATTATGTATGATCAGTTACTAACTTTGAACACTAATAAACAATGACTTGCAACTTTTGTAACACAACACTCTTCTGACACTTGGCCGGCAGCAGTCACTTCGTTCCGGGGATGTTTGAACCAGTTGGGAATCATATGCACAGAGAGATTTGTATTGGAACAAATTTAAGAGCAAGCTATTTAAATGAAACTATGTATTTATTCATCTATATAATTTTACTAGTATATAAGTCGGACCATGGCGAATAGGTGGACTATATAAAAACATATATATAGCCGCAATAGCAACAATCGGACGATTTATAGAACAATGATCAGTAATTAACTATGAGCAGTAAGTAGCTATGAGCAATAAGTAACTCTGAACAGTAAGTATCTATGACCAGTAAGTAACTCCGAACAGTAAGTAACTCCGAACAGTAAGTATCTATGACCAGTAAGTACCTATGATCAGTAAGTTTCTATAACCAGTAATTATGTATGATCAGTTACTAACTTTGAACACTAATAAACAATGACTTGCAACTTTTGTAACACAACACTCTTCTGACACTTGGCCGGCAGCAGTCACTTCGTTCCGGGGATGTTTGAACCAGTTGGGAATCATATGCACATAGAGAGATTTGTATTGGAACAAATTTAAGAGCAAGCTATTTAAATGAAACTATGTATTTATTCATCTATATAATTTTACTAGTATATAAGTCGGACCATGGCGAATAGGTGAACTATATATAAACATATATATAGCCGCCATAGGAACGATCGGACGATTTATAGAACAATGATCAGTAATTAACTATGACCAGCAATTAACTATGAGCAGTAAGTAGCTATGAGCAATAAGTAACTCTGAACAGTAAGTATCTATGACCAGTAAGTAACTCCGAACAGTAAGTATCTATGACCAGTAAGTACCTATGGTCAGTAAGTTTCTATAACCAGTAATTATGTATGATCAGTTACTAACTTTGAACACTAATAAACAATGACTTTTTCAGTTTTCAACAAATTTTCAGCAAATTTGATAGGACTACTATGTATATCATATAGCTGCCATACAAACGATCGTTAAAAAAAAGAGAAAAAAGCAAAACGGTTAATGTAAAACTGTATATATAAAATGTATAGGTTAATGAAATGAATGCAGGTATTACGTTATTGTTTTTTAACATAAATAACTATATATAATTTATATTGTATTGTATTAATTCCTAGTGATCGAATTTCAATCTGCCAGGTGGCAGTGCAAAACGTAGCTTTCTTGTATGTTTGCTTGTTTTGTATGTTTTTGGCAAACAGTTGTAACTAATTTTGATTGAGTTGAGTTTTTTTTTAATTTGACTTTAGAATAAACTGTCGTAAAAAATAATGGTATTATAATTTTATTCAGAAGCTTGTAATGCTTAAAAGAGTCATGTACGGCCCGATAAATCTTGATCAGCATCTAGCCATCTCAGGAAAAAACTTTTTTTTTTAATTTTAAAATTCTCAAAATTTGGGGTAATATTTAATTTTTTTTAGATTATGCAGATTTATTAACCCTATAAAAATTAACATACGACAGAGTTCCGAATTAAAATTAATGCATTTTTGGCTTAGTTATGATTTTGTTTAATTTCAAACTAATAGGGTATATAAACTTTGGGTTTGAACCAGTTTCATGTCTTAAGCTTTTAATTTATATTTTGTTCACATTAAACCTAATTATTGACTGTTTTCAGTGGTAAAACTCTCGCAACGTTTTTCTTTTATTTGTTATTCATTTTTTCTCTTATTTTTTGTAAAGGAGAAAATGTATTATTTTTGTAACTTATTTGGTCTCCAAATTGGACCCCACATTTAGTACAGTTGCCACTCGCTATGCTAAGCTTCTCCACAAGCGGCGCCGCTTAAAGTTGCGGTTTATGCTTCTAACCGCATTATGCTTTTGTTTTGGCTCTTGTTGTTATTGTTGCCAATGCTGCTGCTGCTTGTTGTTCGCTCTGATTGATAACCACGCTACACCTGCGCAGCGCAAGCAGCAGTGCGGCAACAGATGATAAAGCCCGTGGAAAGGGGGTTGGGAGATGGGAGGATGGTCGGTGAAAAAAAAAGCGCGCCTTTTTCACTCTTTAGTGTGTGTGTGTGTGCAATTGGACATCGGCGAATGCACGTTTGTTGTATTTGTGTGTGATGTGATGGGCGCCAAAACGGAACGCAAAAGTAATCAAAACACACGCACGCAAAACGCAACTCACACCAGAAGAGCACACGTCATTTCTGGGCGTGTATGCGTGCGTATACACACACACCAAAGTAAATGCGGCGAATTCGCCACTGACGCACACAAGTGCGAACGAATCGGGCGCGCAAGTGCGGCGAATTCGCAGAGTCCGCATTTGTGTGAGTGCGCGCAAAAGTAAAGAAACAAAAAAACAACAAAAACAAGGTTGCCTGTCCTGTCAATTGCACAACAACAAGAATTGTTGCTTTTCCCACTTCCCCGAGGGGAATAAACAAACTAAGCTCGCATCGGCACAATAACAAGAACAAGACCAGAGAGCAAAGGCCATATATGTAATTATTAATAGAACTCAAAATTGGGTTAGCGATATGTACATAATCAAGCAAAATATCGATTAGCATCGATTGCCGCCGCTTCGCCAACTGCCAGACTGCTAAAATATTTCACGACCTTCCCGCTGCTAATTAATTGGGCGGGAATGCGAGTGGGGCAGACGCTAGCTCACTTGCATATTCAGTTATTCAACGATTTGGCACCGCCACCACCTTTCCCATCCTCCAGGTGCGTGTGTTTTTATTTGGGAATTTCTCCGCACACACAGAGATGGCTGAATGAATGTGTACGCATTTGGGCTTACGACTACCAAATTATGATGTTTACGAATGAAATGGAAACGAAAAAAATCTGTATGGATGTATGGTAAAAGAATTCTAACACACTCGCTCCATTCCGTATTCGCATGACAACGCAGTTACATAAAGTGTGGCGTATGTATATGCATGTACATACGTCTCATACATGTAGCTATGTTTGTATGTATGACGTCGGCCCGCTCGTTCTCCACGTATACCGTACGTGAATACCTCTCGGGCCGTATACATACACAGTTCGTTGCCGCGAAACCAGCGAGTGTTGGTGAGGCCCAGCAGCGAGCGAGTGTATTTCTGTATGTATGTATGTATGTATGTAGCACAGAGTGCGTGTATTCTGTGCGTTTGTGTGTGTATGCGGTGGCCACAACACGATTTGGTGTGGGAAAGCAACAGCAACACACACACGCACGTAAGCCCAAGGAGGTTTAGTAGGGGGGTGGGGCGAGAATCCTAGCAGCTTGCACTTGCTAAGGCTAATAAGCAGGCAGCTCCTGCTCTACAAAAAATAAAAACTGTATAAAATGTAGACGTGGACTACTCACCGACTCCCCGCTGACCGTGTAGTTGATGTTCGGCGATATCTCCAGGACAGATTCGGCGTTGCGGCTGCCGTTGTCTGCAAAGCCCCAGGTATAGCCGAAGGGCGGCGGATTCTGGGCGGCGCACATTATTTAGCACAGTGCGGTGCAGAGGCAAACGGGGGAACAGAGAGAGAGAGAGAGATTGGGGGGTGGAGGGTTGGAAGGAGGCGGAAGAGAAAAAAGCGCAAAATTTCCAAACGCAAATGTAATTGCACACTTCTCGCTTGCTTGTGGTATATGTAGGTATGTATGTATGTATTCTAAAGCACGTACAAAATACTAGCCTCCTTTCTAGTAGTAGTAAGTGGAAATTGGTAATGGTAATTTGCGGCTGTGTGTTCGAGCCGAACAATATACAACACAACAATAATATTTCGATTTGTTTCGTTTCGTTTTGGTCTCTCGTTTGGTTATATTGGCACTTTTCAATGTATGTTTCGAGGGGATCGCACTGCGACGAAAACGCCAACGAAAATCACCGCATTCGTCCGCCGACGACGAGACTGGGGCGAACTGAACGACTATATAGATTCCGAACGAAAAGAAAGTCAGCCAGAGTCTGCTGCTGCGGGCGCCATTTTTTTCTTTGGCGTTTGGAGCGCCGTGTTCGCTCCACTGATAACACTTTCGGGTGGTGGCCTCAGGGGGGCGTGCGGGTGCGGTGCGTTGGTGTGTGCACGCGCCGTGTGCCTATGTGCAGTTTTTGCAATTAAAATTATAAACAAAACACTCTTTTTCCAATATATTTCACACAGACACTATACCACTAAAATTCCTTAGTGTTCGTTTCTCTGACTCAAGATGGCGTGCGCGACCGAGGGTTGCCAGTTCTGTGGACTATCGGCGGCACTGTACATATGTACATAAGCGCCAAATCTGGCAACTCTGCGATTATTGCTATGTTCTTGGTAAACTATCGTTGAAGCGATATTTCGTCTGCATATGCGGTAACCTCAGCTGCAAAGTAAAACATAAATAAGTAAATAGCTTTATTAAAACCGAAAAAGTTAAGCATGCCTCTGTCTCCGGCTAGTGGTATCGGGCGATTCTACGCAAAATCAGCCAAGATCATTCGCTTCGTGCGCCTGGGTTGCACCAATCGTCCGTTTTACCACATTGTCGTCATGGAGGTGGGTTGTGTGCCTAAAAAACATATAACAATTAAATTAACTCTATGTTATATTTATTTAGAGGAGAAAAAACCAGCACCAACCCGTGATCGAACAGGTAGGTTCCTACGATCCACTGCCCAACGATTACAACGAGCGCCTGGTGGCCCTGAACACGGAGAGGATCCGTCATTGGCTTGGCAAAGGTGCCCACCTGTCCACACCTGCGGCGGAGCTACTAGGAATCGCAGGACTGCTGCCCATCCACCCACGCACCTATATGTCCGCCTGGCGCAACCGAAGAGCAGCCGCCGAAGAGGAAGCCAGCGCCGAAAAGGCGACATCAAACGCTTGAAGATGGGACCTTTCGGTCGTTAATAAAAATCACTGTGTTCGTTTTACGTTTAACAAGCGGAGACTTCTTTCATACCACTGGCGTGCTCTTATTAACAACAAAATGAGTACAGATTTAAAATTTATTGCAAAACGTAACCGATACGAGGTGAGGTGGTGACCTAATCCAAATGCATGGGGAAGCAAGTTTTAGCTACGGACGGAGCTCCCTAGTCCTAGTCGCTCTTCAGCACTCCAGCGGCCTTCTTCATGCCATCATCAATGATCCTATCGACGGCTGCAAAAAAACCGAAAGTGAATTAGAAAATCTGAAGTGCTACGAGGTTAGTGGGACTCACATTCGTGGTGTTTTAGGAAGTAGGGTCGCACCAGCTTGTGGTAGATGATGGTGGAGCCATTCTGCTCCGTGGGCAGCATGCACCAGATGAGGAAAGCACACTGCAAAACGGAAAGCAAGATTGTTAATCAAGAAGTCATTTGAGAGAGAGAAGTCCAGAACTTACCTTAAGCAGCCAGTAGAAGGGAATCACCGAGGTCAGCAGTCCCGAGAAGAACTCAATCACAGTGAAGATGCCAAAGGTGACCCAGTAGATGAGCCACTTGGTGTCGTCCTGCTTTGTGCTGGACTCGATCGCATGGATCGAGATGTAGGCGGGATACAGCACTCCGATGATGTTGCACAGCAGCTGGGCGCCATAGCCAAAGATCAAATAGAGGGCGCAGAAGCCGGCGGCACCTGAAATAAGCAATAATTAAGTTGGTTATCAATCTAAACCTGTGTTAGGCCCTCTCCCGAAACTGTACCATAACGCAGAAGGGCATTCTCAACGAAAAGCTCGATTATTTTGCTCTCCAAACCCTCGACTGCCATGCTTGCCATCTAGTTGGTCAACTGCTGTGGCTGTGCCGGATTTTCCTGTAGGCCTATGGTAAAGTATACAGGCAGGAGCGGTTCTATTAGGCGCTGGGGTACCTAAGCATGTCTAAGGGCAGCTATTTTCCATTTTCTTTTTAAGTTTCAAGTCAAATAATTCTTTGCTAGGGGACCCTCTACCTGTGCCCTTTTCAAGGACGCCCCTTCTGGGATCCCTGGGATTCCTAAACCGCCCCATGGTTCGGCTAATTATAAACCCTTAGCTGTTGTCACTGAGATGTTGTCTCGACCTGCTTCTGATCCCGGCCAGTTGCAGTTTGCCCGCCCAGATGATCGGACTCGTTGCCCCGAACGTATGCGTGATGTCATTCACGCTAGACCCGAGGCTAATTATACTTATGAACGTATTGTACTTTGTCTGAGGAGGAGAAGCTGCAGCAGCGGCAGGAGCACTCACCTGTGCCTATGTAAACGAGTGGAACCCTGACATTGCGTCGCGCCGCCTGTCGCTGTCTGATTTGCATAATATACTCCCAGAGCCACATCGGTGACTCCGTCGTGGGAGCTGGATCCAAAAGCTTTCTATGGGATTAATCTATGCAGCCAGCACACACACTCATACAGACGCGCTCACACCTGCCCAGCTAATTTCTATCCACGTGTGTGTCAAAACGCCACGTCTCAATGGCAACCTTTTGACCCGTTCAACGCTGGACTTTTGGAGAGATCGCGGAATGGAATGCTTAGACAAGCGACCGATGAATCGCTCACCGCGAGCACCAAGAAAATGTACTTTCGATAAAGTAAACAAAGAAAAGCACAAAAACACGAAAACTTTTGTGGATAACGCTCACAACGCACACAAACGCACTCACACCGGCTGCTGCCTACGTAGGCTGCCTTACATGCACATATCACATGCTCAATCTCACCCGGGAATGTGTTGGTGTGTGCAAGAGCGCGCTTGGCGATAAAACACAAACCGAATTTAATTCCAACTTAAACGGAGTGATTACCGCCTAATTGGTCACCGGCCAGCGGGCGGCGGAAAGCCCCAACAACCCCCTTGGACAACATCAGGCAGCGCCTGACTATATATAACAGGTTGCTATTTATAAATGTCGAGAAAAATTCCACTGCATCTCGATGAGTTACGCAGCCACTTCGGCAGGGGTCAGCTGCGTAATGGGTGTGCGTTTCAGGGAGTCAGGGGTCAGGCAGGAGCGAGACAGATGACGTCGCCACAAGGACAGGCGGACAACTTACCAAAGAATATATTAACTCGGTCTACGCCGGTCTTCTCCTCCACGGTGTCGAAGGCCTTTGTCCAGGGCTTGTTGGCATCGCGCAGCGACCTGGCCACGTTCTGCTTGTAGCCGTTGAAAATCTGTTGCACCTGAGCGATTTGGGTGGCCATAATGGGTGATTTGGTAAGTTGTCAACCGAAAAAATGCGACGCCGACTTCAAGAATTTCCAATTCCAACGACAGTGTGACCGACGTTGTTTTTGCTAATAAAACCAAGACGCACTGCGAGGGTGGCTGAGAAAAAGCTAGCATTTTGCACTGTCCAGCCATGGGTATTACTAATTGGTTTTTCGGGCGGGATTTTTTGAGATTTCCTTAATTCGTCGGCTTTGTAGGAATTTTTGGTGTATGAAAAGTAAGCAGATAATATGGACATCAAGTCTTTAAAAGCAGTTAGTAAATTGGTCAAAAAGACCGTTCTCGCTATAATTTTCACCAGGGCTGGCTTGTATAGGGTTGCATGGCGAAGCGGGCTTTCGAATATAAAGGTATTTATTAAAAATCTATAATAAAAATGTTTGGGACAATCTGTAATATTTTAGACCGCCTTCTTGAATTTAACAGAGCGGTTGCGCAATTGCACTAACTTGTCAAAAAAAATAAAGGTTAAGGTGGTGTGGGGCAAACTACGGCAGTATACGGGCCAGAAGCCCTTGTATATTCCATGCAGTCCCTCCTTTCGCAAGATCTTTAAAAAGCAGTCCACCAAACTGCGGTAGACGAGGCCACGTCCATTAGCATCCACCGGCTGGTTATACATCCGCGTTGTTACCACGTCGAATGGTGTGTTGGCAAGGGACACAACGGATCCCGAGATTATGCCGGAGCAAAAGGAGAGGAGCACTGGGTGCGTAACCCAACCGTTGCCCTGAAGGAAGGCCTTTGCCTTGGGGAACGTGCCGATTTGGAAACTGGAACCCATCAAAGCCTGGGTAACGCTACTCGTTGCTCCGCGCCAGAATCCCCTAAACCCGCGCGACTTGTAGATTTTTAGCATGGCGTCAATCATCGATGTGTGCTTGTGCTGGAAACCCACTGATATCGCCTCGGCAGCCTGCGCTTGTTGTTGCGCTTTTATCTGCAAGGGACTAACATAAATATGGGAGTATTTAATTAAACATCTCTCACTCACCATATAGAAAGGACTGCCCAGAAATGTACCGGTTCCTCCGCCCAGTGCACCAAAGAACATGCCCCGGTAGAAGACAATGTGTCCATCTTTGTTGTGCAAGTAACCATATTCCAAAGCATTCGAGTAAACGCTTAGCCTGCCAAGGAGACATTGAATGATTATGGGTAGAGTTATTATTATGTAGGCTTTGAGAAACTGGTGACACTATCAGGGCTGATAGCTAATTCACCCCGAGTTATATTTCGTGCTTTGAATTTCGTACTTACCTGATGGCGTTCAGAATAAACTGGTAGTGCATCGCCGGCAGCAAACCCTTCTCCAAGGCTAGGAAGCCCTCGTTACGAACAATCTGCACCAAGCCTTGCGCCAGATGTCTGTAGGGTTTCACGTAAGTTCCGCGAGCGGCTAATTCACCCTGCAACTGGATTCTTGTCTTAACTACGTCGATGGGGTTGGTAAACACCACCGCGCCTACGGCAGATAAGCCGCCCAGCAGGAGATCCGACTTGACCATGATCAGCATCAACTTCTACTTTAAATTTTGTCGATGTTAGGTTATCATCGTCTGTACTGTCTTGTTTGAGCTAGTAAACAAAACTGTCGTTTATATCAGATAATTGGAGCACTATAAAAATACATATGTACATATATAATAATTATTGGATAAAATAAATGTCCTTTTTATACCCTTGCAGGGTATTATAATTTCAGTCAGAAGTTTGCAACGCAGTGAAGGAGGCACCTCCGACTATATAAAGTATATATATTCTTGATCAGGATCAACAGCCGAGTTGATCTAGCCATGTCCGTCTGTCCGTCTGTCCGTCTGTCCTTCTGTCCGTCTGTCCGTCTGTCCGTTTCTACGCAAACTAGTCTTTCAGTTTTGAAGCTATCTGAACGAAACTTTGTAGTTAGCCTTCTATATACTCTCACTCGTATATATGTCGGAACGGGCCGGATCGGACGACTATATCATATAGCTGCCATAGGAATGATCGGAAAATTTTTAAAAAAAAAATTTTAACTTTTTCAGTCTTCAATAGAATTGGATCAAATTTGAGATATAGCCATTTTCCTATACTCTACAATTTTGCATAAAATTTTATGAAAATCGGACTACTCTATCATATAGCTCCCATAGGAACGATCGAGAAATTAATACAATTAAATTTATAACTTTTTTAGTTTTCAGCTGATTTTCATCAAATTTGAGGTATAGCCTATTTATATTAGTCTTAAATTTTGTGTCAAATTTCATGAAAATCGGACGACTATATCATATAGGTGCCATACAAACGATCGTTAGATGTAGAGGAAAAATGCAAATCTGCGAATGTAAAACTGCAAATATAATATGTATAGGTGAATGAAATGAAAGCAGGTATTACTTCATTGTTTTTTAACACAAATAAATATAATTTATATTGTTGAGATTCCAAGTCATAGAAGTTATATCTGCAAGGGTATATAAACTTCGGCGTGCCGAAGTTAGCTTCCTTTCTTGTTATTAATTATGTTTTAATTTTCTAGGTTAAATAATATCGATAGGTAGGGAATTTTAACTGAAATAAAAGCAACTGATCGGTTTCCGAACAGGAGGTATTTTTTAATTTCAATAGAATGATCAGTTCGCTACTTTATTAGAAGATTGATCAACCTTGTTTACTTTTAAAGGATTTCCCTTCTTCAATGAAAAACAAAACCTTACCCAAGTTTCTCCTAAGAGTGGGATTGATGTATAATTATTAAAGATTATACCTCTCACGCAGAGCGATCAGTTCATCAAAGAACAATAGCACCAGGGTGGAATACGGAGCACTCCGCAGATAAATAGGCCAGAAGCCTTTGTACAAGCCATGCACTCCTTCTGATCTGAGGATCTTCAGGACACAGTCCAGCCAGCCATTGTAGTAAAGCCCGCGACCATGAGCATCCACACCCTGGTTGTACAGCCTCGTCGTAATCACGTCCAAAGGAGTAATGGCCACCGACACAAATGACCCAGCCGCTAGACCAGAGCAGAAGGACAGGCCCGTGGGATGAGTGATTAGCCCACTTTCCTTCAAAATCGACTTTGCCTTCCCGAAAGTGGCGATTTGAAAGGCCGAGGCTGTTGTGGCTCTGCCCACATTGGCCATGGAACCCCGCCAAAGTCCAAAGACGCCGTTCTTCCTGTATATCTGTCGTAACGCATCATTCATCGAGGTGTGCGGATGCTGATAACCGACGGCGATCTGCTTGGCTGCCTGTGCTTGAAGTTGCGTCTTGATCTGAAACGGAAAAGTTTACTATCAGCAATCAGGCGAACTTGAGCTTATCTTATCTTCGCCAGACATTGTCAAGCGGCGGCAGACACTTCTGGAGTTTGATTTACATAATCGCTTACCAAGAAAAAGGGGCTGGCACAATAGGAGCCAACAATGCCACCTAAGGCGCCCCAGAACATGCCACGGGCAAAGGAGATCTCGCCCCTGCTGTTGTGCACCCAACCCTTCTCCACGGCATGGGTGTAAATACTCAACCTGTATATAAAATAGTTTAGAATTTAAGGACCTTTTAGGCTTAATATCGGTCAACTCACCTGAAGGAGTTAATGACAAACTGGAAGCATAAAGCTGGCGCCAATCCCTTCTGCAAGCCCAAGATGCCATCATTTTTAGCCACTGTAACAAAGGCCTGAAAGACGCTCTTGTAGGGCTGGGCATGCGATCCTCGGGCGGCCAGTTCTCCCTGCAGTTGGATGCGAGTTTTGATCACTTCTACCGGATTGGTGAACACTCCAGCTCCCATGGCAGCCACACCGCCCAGCACAAAATCCGACGTAGCCATCGTGCGTTCTCACTCACAATCTGGCAATCACTAACTGTAGCCCAACAACCTCCTTATGATAAGGGAGAGACTGAGACAAGGTGTGGGTAAAAAGTAACAAATGAACGGGGTTTTATTGCACAGTTACTAGCTAGGAGGAACAGCTCCGAATTTAAGTTAATTTTAGCTTACTGAAGGCACATTTTGGTTTTGGGGGCTATAGTAATCTATATGCTAAGCATAAGAGATTGGATCTAGGAATTCTAAGCTACTTCCTAACAAAACAAACAAGTGAAACAACTTTTGTACTTAAAGTAAAGCTAGACACGTCTCCGGCAGCTCTATTGGGGGCCATACTTGTTTCGTAGGGCAATCAGCTCGTCAAAGAAGAGCAACACCAACGTTGAGTGGGGGGCAATGCGTAGGTAATTGGCCCAGAAGCCCTTGTACATACCATAGACTCCCTCGGAGCGCAGGATCTTAACAAAGCAATCGACCCATCCCCGGTAAAGCAGGCCACGGCCCTCAGCATCGACGCCCTGATTGTACAATCTCGTGGTGATCACATCTGGCGGCGTTATGGCCACCGACATAATAGAGCCAGCGATTAATCCCGCCGAAAAGGAGTTCAACGTGGGCTGCGTCACCAGATCGTAGTGCACCAGCATAGCTTTGGTCTTTCCAAATGTGGCTATCTGGGCACCCGATCCAAGGGCAGCCCTGGGTAAAGCAGCCACCGATCCGCGCCAGAGTCCAGCAATGCCATTTTTATTGTAAATCTGCTTGAGGGCGTCGCTCATGGAAGTGTGAGAGTGCTGAAAGCCAACAGCGATTTGCTTGGCGGCCTGCGACTGCAATTGGGTTTTGATCTGAAATTTTTAAAAATAAATAAATAAATAATGTATTTGTAAACCTACTTAACAAGATTTTAAAGTAATTATTTGTAAGCCTCGACATTTATAAGACTGTCTAACATAACTCTTAATTTGTTTACCAATTAATAAACAAATTAAAATGCTCGCTTTATATCTTGGGCGAGCTATTGTCAATAGAGGTCTCTTATCTTCGACGAAGTCCAAAAAATGTGATGAGCATGCGGCTTCTCCGCTCGGATAGATAAGCTTGTTTGTTTATGTAACCCCTACTGACAAGGCCGCAGCCGTGAGACGTACCAGGAAAAAGGGACTAGAGCAATAGGAGCCCACAACGCCGCCAATGGCGCCCCACATCAGTCCCAAGCCATAGGATACCTCGCCCTGCTGGTTGTGCATCCAACCCCGCTCCATGGCCTCCGAGTAAATGCTGAGACTGTAAAAAACACAAAGGAGTTTTAATACCAAGGATTGCAGGGGAAAAGCCAACACCTACCGGAAGGAATTGATGATGAATTGGAAGTACAACGCGGGCGAAAGGCCCTTCTGCAAGCCCAGCAGTCCGTCGTTTTTGGCCACCGTGTAGAAGGCATTGGCTATACCCTTGTACGGCTCCACATATGTTCCCCTGGCCGCCAACTCGCCCTGCAGCTGGATCCGCGTCTTGACCACCTCGATGGGGTTTGTAAAGAAGGTGGCGCCGACGGAGGCCAGGCCTCCCAGCACGAAATCCGAGGTGGCCATATGTAGGTGCGATGTAATCACGAGTTGCTTCTCCGAGGAGCGGACTGATATTGACTAGAAACTGTTTGCCGCCTGCCGCGGGACTCTGTGGCCTCTAAGAAGCCGCGCGCTGTGCTGCTCTCGAGTATTTCATAATTTCCTGCTTAAATTAGCAAGCACGGCGTGCCCCCTACCCGTTAAATAAATATAATAAAACGTTATTATGCGGAATAATGCAGCTTTAGTTTCAGTATGACCATAACTATGGAAAGTAAAGAGAAAAATACTAATCGGATCTGGACACTCTAAAGAGTAGATACATCTAATTAGCTTTATTTCTGGCTGCAAAACCGCCAAAACATTAAATAAATTTCAATATATTAAGGAGGCTTGCAACAATTATAAACTTTTCATGATAACATCAGAAATCCCATGTAATTTTCCATAATTAAATGCGTGCATTCAACATACAGAAATTTATCAATTTAAAATCTCCACTGCTGGCCAGTAAAAAAGCCAGACCGCCAGCTCTGCCGCTCTCTTTCCTTTCGAGCTGTCAGCCCCAAAGACGTGTGCGTGTTATTTTCAACTGCATTTGCCTAAATAATTGAAATAACATTTATAAAACCATGACTTCGCATCCGGTATTCATAGACCTGTCCCTGGACGAGCAGGTAAGCTGGCGCCACAGAGAGTAAACCATGTTTTCAGGCGGCTGTTGAACCAAAATTGAGGTTATGTCTTCCTCTTCCTGCAAAACAATACTAATATTTTGCGAAATTTCGAATTCTCCGAATAGGTTCAGGAGCTGCGCAAGTATTTCAAGAAGCTGGGCGCCGAAATCTCATCGGAGAAGTCCAACAAGGGCGTGGAGGATGATTTGCACAAGATCATTGGCGTCTGCGACGTCTGCTTCAAAGACGGCGAGCCCCCGCAGATTGACGGCATCCTCAACAGCATTGTGTCCATCATGATCACGGTGAGTAGACGCCTAACAGAGCAATGGGTGTTAACTAATGGTTCTTTCTGTAGATTCCCTTGGATCGGGGCGAGAACATTGTGCTGGCCTACTGCGAGAAGATGACCAAGGCACCTAATCAGCCGCTGGCCAAGGTGTGCCTCCAGTCTCTGTGGCGCTTGTTCAACAACCTGGACACCGCCTCACCCTTGCGCTATCACGTCTACTACCACCTTGTGCAGGTGGCCAAGCAGTGCGACCAGGTACTGGAGGTCTTCACCGGCGTGGATCAGCTCAAGACGCAGTTTGCCAACTGCCCGCCCTCGTCAGAACAGATGCAAAAGCTCTACCGCCTGCTGCACGACGTGACCAAGGACACCAACCTCGAACTGTCTTCCAAGGTGATGATCGAGCTGCTGGGCACCTATACCGCTGATAATGCCTGTGTCGCCCGGGAGGATGCTATGAAGTGCATTGTGACCGCTTTGGCCGACCCCAATACATTCCTGCTGGATCCCCTGCTGTCGTTGAAGCCGGTCCGTTTCTTGGAAGGCGACCTCATCCACGACCTCCTGTCCATCTTCGTCTCAGAGAAACTGCCGGCGTATGTGCAGTTCTATGAGGACCACAGGGAGTTCGTCACCTCTCAGGGCTTGAACCATGAACAGAACATGAAGAAGATGCGTCTGCTGACCTTCATGCAGCTGGCGGAGAGCAGTCCCGAGATGACCTTCGAAACACTGACAAAGGAGCTGCAGATCAATGAGGACGAGGTGGAACCCTTCGTTATCGAAGTGCTGAAGACGAAGCTGGTCCGCGCTCGATTGGATCAGGCCAATCGCAAGGTTCACATCTCTTCCACCATGCACCGCACCTTTGGAGCTCCCCAATGGGAACAGCTGCGCGATCTGCTGCAGGCCTGGAAGGAGAACCTCAGCTCAGTGCGCGAGGGCCTCACAAGCGTCTCTTCGGCGCAACTAGATCTGGCCCGCACCCAGAAGCTGATACACTAGAAACACACAGCCCATCAACCAATCTGTTGAAGGATAAGGAACAACAAATGCAAGCTTCGGGCAATTGAATTACGATCTAAATTATTTTCAAGAGAGCGTGCGTGGATAACTTGAATAAATTTATAAGTAAAATCGAAAGACAAGTCTCGTTGATTGCGAGGAATACTTTTCTAGCTTACAACTAAAGAGTGTCTTCAAAGGCTGTTCGGTTTTCATTCATTTCTTTCAATATAAGTTTAACAAAACGTTCTAGTTAAGCTTCAGCAATGTACTAACAAAATTTTAAGTGAAATTTAAAAGAACAATTTAAAAGGTAATACAAATGGCAAGATAAAAATTGTATAAAATCCTTCTGTGAATGTGAAAACCGAAAAATGGCCAAGTTGAGTATTTAAGTAGATAATTACTGATAATCGTTTACAGCTCCTCATGCGCCTTGGACGGTTGGCGGTCCTTCTCCTTAGGGAATCCCCAGAAATATGAGGGAAAACCATGCGAGTCGCGCTCCCGCTTAACAAATGCTGAGTACGATGAAATGCAGTTGCCGATAAAGTGGTTTGATTGTCCGAGTATGGCCAAATCCAGGTAGGGGTCATCCTCTGGCAGCTTGTGTACACTGATCCCCATCCGTGTGAGCGCCGTGCTGAGCTCCCCAACCATGTGGTTCGAGTCCGACGCCACGAAAACGGACTTGATCTCATTATTGGGCTGAGTTTGACGCACATTCTTGATGGTCCTCTTCAACTGTCGTACAATCGCCTCCTTGGAGGGCATGCAGAGCTCCGGATAGAGGGGACCCCGCTCGTTTTTATATCCTAAGCATTGGGGCGAAGCAAAGAGGTGTTGGCTATCCTTGACGTGCTCGCAGGCTCGCACCCAATCGATGCCGTTGCGCAGGTGAATGCCCACGAAGGCGCCTCGCGGCAGCTGCTCTCGGATAAACTCCCTGGCCGCCTCCCTGTACCTCTGGCTCCAGTGCATGTACTGCTGCAGTTGGCAATTTTCCAACTGAACGGGGAAACTGGCCGGAGCTCCGGTGAAGGCCAGAACGGGCCACAATTCGGGTGGATACTTCGCCTGCCACTTAGCGGCGACGGCACTGTGGTGGACATCGAAGTGAAGGGGCCCATAGAACTCGGATCGCACGAAATCAATGTGAAAAGTGTCCCAAAATGGGCCGAACGGATTCCCATCCTTGGCATGACAATTGGGTTTTTCCGGATCGTTCTTCTCAATCTGTAGGCTCTTGCGTTCCATGTAGCAGAAGGATACGCGCTCGGATTCCGGCCAGACGTCGTCGGCCAAGTGCCACATGAAGTCCGCCATGGTGATGACGCGATGATACTCCTGCAGCGGTTCCACATCAAAGTACGTGTTGAAGGGCACTTGGCGGGAGCGTAGCTCTCCCTTGCGATACTCCACCCATGGCGGTAGGATCAGGGTGCGATTTAAAGCCTTGGCAAAAGCTAATGAGCCCAAAAAGTGGTCGGCCTGGTTACCAAAGCGTCCTACCGAAATGTGTGGTTTTTATGTGTGCCAAAAGGATGTAAAGCCCGACTTACCCATGCAGGGACAGTAGGTGAGGTAGCCGTTGGGATCCCGTCCTAATTGGCCGCATGCTGAGCTTATTAAAATAAAAATTAAGCAAATAAATCGGAGCTTCGGTTTAAGCCACTGCATTCTGCCGGCTTCGTTTCCCTGTAAAGTTTGGCAGCCCTGGCCATCAGGGTGCTACACTGTTTTTAAGCTACATTGTAAACTCTTTGTATTCATATCAACTAATATTTACTCGCTTACAAAAAAAAAATGTTTTTAATGAAACTTATTTGATTGATATAAAGTAGTCTTGTTGTTTTATTTATTACGATTTATTTTCACTGACAACTGATACACCCCAATAATACTGGCAAAAGAAAAAGTGTCTGGCAACTCTGCCATCTCCCTCATATAATATTGTTTTATTTCAAAAGGTAATGTTATATTATCATCCAAATTTTAGAATTTTGACTATGCTTGTTCTGTATGTATACCGCTGCCTCAAAAGCTCAAGATCTCATCCACTTACTTACAGCAAAGAGACGCTCAGGCTCTTTGGGAGTGCACGGCTTGGAACCGCTCGGATCTGCCGGCGAAGCTTCTCGGATGACGAACAGCCAGTGAACCACCATGTTTACAAATGGCGAAAACCGCTTGGACAGTACACCGGCATCAATATCTACAACCATGCAATGCGGCAGAAGGTACCGCTGGTACTGCGCAACCCGCAGATGGTCACTTGGTACACCTGCGGTCCAACGGTCTACGATTCCGCTCACCTGGGCCATGCCAGCACCTATGTCAAGGTGGATATTCTGCAACGGATTCTGCGGGATCACTTTAAGATCAATCTAGTGACGGCTATGAATATCACGGACGTGGACGACAAGATAATCAACCGAGCACGTCTGTCGGGCATCGACTGGCTCAAAATGGCACGCGCCTATGAGACCGAGTTCAGGCAGGACATGCTCCGCCTCAACGTCCAGCCGGCGGATGTGCGCTGTCATGTGACCACCACAATGCCGAGCATTTTGCAGTTTATCCAGGATCTAATACAAGACGAGATGGCCTACGTTACGTCGGACAAGTCAGTATACTTTGATGTGTCCAAGAGCCAACACTATGGCAAGCTGCAGAGACTGGGACAGAGCGAGGAAGAGAAGTCGGATCCTGCAAAGAAAAATAGCTCCGACTTTGCCCTGTGGAAGTCGCGCCAGGCGTCAAGCAACGAGCCAACATGGAAGGCTCCTTGGGGCGGGGAGGGGCGTCCCGGCTGGCACATTGAGTGCAGCGCCATTGCTGGACTCTTTTTTGGTAGCCAGTTGGACTTCCATGCCGGCGGCCTGGACTTGCGCTTTCCGCATCACGAGAACGAGGAGGCACAATGCTGTGCCCGCTACAAAACGGAACAGTGGGTCAACTATTGGCTTCACACTGGCCAGCTGAGCATGGTCGGAGACAAGAACAAGATGTCCAAGTCGCTGGGCAACACCATCTCAGTTAGTGAGATGCTCAAGGACTATTCCGCCGACGAGTTTCGCATGGCCTGCCTGCTGTCAAACTACAGAAATGCCATGCCCTACAGTGAGCAGTTAATGCTGACGGCCCGCCAGACGCTGCAACGCTTTAAGAACTTCCAGGCGGATCTCAGCGCCTACACGCAATTCCTCAAGCCAATTCATCTGCTGGACGAAGGTGCACTGAAGGCTCAACTGGCCCACACAATTAACGAATTCGACAGCAGCCTGCGGGATGACTTCGATACGGCGCGAGCAATCAGCATTCTGATGGACCAGATGAGCAGCATCAGCCGCTGCATCAACGAGCAGCAGGTGAACGCTGAGAAGGAGCCGGCCTTCTGCATGGATCTTCTTATGGCGGCTGGAAACTTCATCAACCGCGCCATGGTTACGTTTGGAGTCTCTGAGCTGATTCAAAGCGAACCCCTTCAGCAGATCTCAACCCAGACGCACGGCATTGATCCATCTGTGTTGGTGGATGATGTCTTAACTGTCCGAGGAAGAATGCGGGAAAAAGCCACCTCTGGGGAAGTCAAGAACTCTCAGTTACTGGCTGCTTGTGATGAGCTGAGAAATCTGCTGCAACAGCACGGCATCCAAGTGCGGGACCACAAGCAGGGCAGCTCCTGGGTGTTTGCCGTGTCCTGTACCGCGCCTGATGATAAGAGCAAGAGCTCTGCTGAATAAAAGCAATGTTATTTTTTGTCACTTTATTACATAAATGCATCTCTCATGCGTAGTCGGAAGGGTTGATCGGACGCCACGGCGTGCTCTGTCTTGTACAGATCTTTGGTGATGAGATAGTCCCGAACTAGCTTAAAGAAGGCGCCCATGCTAGTGAAGGCCACAAAGCTGATAGAGAGCACAAAGTGCCACTCTACGCTCTCCGCGCTTAGCGAACCGATCTCTACCAGGAGCACGGCCGCCTGGAGGGTGGCCAGCGTGGAGTAAATGATGGTGGGATTGTGAAAGAGTTTCTAAAAGCGGCGATATTACATATGAGCGTTGGAAGAGTAAAACAAGACATAAGACTTACATAGAAACGCGCATGACTGGCATTTCCCGGCGTGGCCACTGTGACTACTCCCTGACTTCGGTATAGACCCCCGTTGTGCTTCACCACAGTTCCATGGCCATATGATGAATATTTCGACCAGGACAAAGCGCTAGCGGCCACAATAAGTTGCGAAGGCGCTGGCTCTCGGTCAATACGCTGCCAGCAGCCCAAATGCAGAGTGGCCCGATGTAACGTATCGCTGTACTTGGCCGGATAGAGGAACACCGCACAGAGACTGAAAGCTCCCAGGCAAACAATGATGCAGTGCTGGGCGGCCCGGAGTACATTATACTGGATACTGACAGCCAGGCAGCAGGGCACCAAACCACTGTAATATGCATTCAGCATTGAGGTGAAGATGAGCTGCTTGAAGCGTTTGTTAAAATCATGTCGCAGGGTCTCCACTTCGTCTCGGATATGCACAGCGTTGGTGGTGCAACTGTGGACGGGCAGGTCGTTGATATAAACGCCGGGCAGCTCGAATCTGGTGCGCAGGAAGGGCTCCAGCTGGAAGCCAAAGATCAGCAAGTAGATAACGACTCTAGGGAAGATAGTTTGTGATTAAACAGAGCGTTTTTTAGAATATTCAGTAACTAAGTTCCTTACGGATAGGATAGAAAGAGCAGTAGTATATAGGAGTGCTGCTGGTACAACTTAATGGCACAAAATCCCAAGCCCAGCTGAACTAGGCCTCCAAATCCGTACTTGATTCCCAGTCGGATCCACCGCTGGCTCTTCTCGTTGCCCCGCCTTATCTTAACCAGGAGCAAACAGTAAATCAGTCTTCGCGTGTTGAGTATGAGCAGTAGGTAGCGCAGATACGGGTCAATCAGCTCTATGTTCTGTAAATCAAGAGATTCCATTAATTTCTAGCCAGTTAATCAGATCAAAATAAGACCAAACACACCACCATATGCCTTGTGTGAGCCTGTGGTAGCCACCAGTTGGTCCTGTAAATGTTTATGAACTGGACAATAGCAGAGCCCATGGTAAAGGCGCACATAATCAGCTCGCTGAGCCACTCGGACGTGGTGGCGTGTTCCGGAAAGGGAATGTGCTTGGGCATTGCACTAGCCGGCGTCTGGGTTGACTGGCCTGTTTTCGGGGACAACAGGTAGGTGTCCGGCGTCTCGCTGGAGCTGCTGCCATCACTACTGCGTTCGTCGTAGGCCATTTCGGGTGATTAAGTTGTTTGTAGTAAAAGCTACATTTAAACAAATTCGAGCAACAATGTTTTTGTGCGGTAGGTAATCAACAAATGCACCGATAGCAGTGTTGGAAAGTGACACAGCGCCGCTTGCACCATGACAGAGTACGCATTTTAAAATAAAATAAAACTGATGTGATCAAAAGAATAATTAATAATATAACATAATTTAATTAGTTCAACAATTATTTGCAATAAAGTTGTACGGGCAGAAAAGTACGTTTTCTAAATTTTCGCCACTCTTTTTTGCTCTCAGCTGTTTAACTTGTGCATATCCGAACGTTTGCCAGCACTGACCCGGCAGACAGTTAACAGATGTCTTTGGTTTTGTAACTGAATTCCGAAGTTATTCGAAATAAACATTTAAATAGCTCAAAAAACATAAAAATGATGCGCTACGAGGGCAACGAAAGACTCGCGGACGAGACGGCTTGTGCGGGTGTCAGGGCTGACCTCAAGATGTGCCTTCTGGAGAGCGAGTGTTGTCGCATGGGGAAAACACCGCGTCAGTGCCTCCAGGACAACAACGTTCCGCCGGAGTGTCAAGTGCTACGCAATACCTTCTACGAGTGCAAGCGCTCCTTGGTAAGTACACCTAAAATATGCAATCCCATTCATTTATTTTATAAGCTCCACCATTTCAGCTGGACAACCGGCAGCGTTTTCGCGGTCGCAAAGGCTACTGAAGTTTAAACTTAAAATATATTTCTAAGCGTTTAAAATACAAAAAATTACAATCGTAAAGGGTTGTTCGTCCATTAATTGCGACGCCGTCGAACGCGTGAAATACGCCATGCATTGGGCTCTTCGTATTTGTTGTACAGCGGCTCCAGGCGCTGGTTCTTCTTGAATTTACTGAGCTTCGTGGGATCCGAGAAGCGAAAGAATGAAGGAGCAAACTCCACCAGCCATTTGGGATCAATGGTGGTCACCTCGCGCATATACTCCTTGGTAGTCTGCACCAGTTCATGGTAGATGACCCACTCCGGTTGACGGTTGAAGAGAGCACTCGACGGATGGATGTAGACCACCTGTGAGTCTACTAGGGTTCGGTAACCCTCCTGAGGATCTTTCTTGGCCGCATTCCTAAAGAAGCCTGAGCAGATGGCCTTCTGAATGCGGACCGAGTTCTTTCCAGCTGACACCACGTCCAATTTGTGCCTGTCCATGATGCCCAGCAGCTGCTTTCTCACATCCTGGCTCCGCTTGAGGGTTCGGATTTGCACAAAGTTCTCGTAGCACCAGGCATTCGAGAATTTGTTGTTCTTCCAGCTATTGTACACCGCCAGCAGGGTTAGATGATCGCCTATAAAGAGATGAGATTAGAAAGTGGTCAAGGATTAAAGGAGGCAAACTTACCTTCAGCTTGGTTAAACTTGGCCTTCTTTTGATCCGCTAGCGCCTGTTTATCCTTGGGCCTGTAGAACACATTCTGCACACTAAGCATCGACACGATGGTGAGGATCTCATCGGAGCACTGCAAGGCCACCGACATAATCAGCATTTTGGAGAGATTCGGCTCCAGGGGGAACTCGGCCATTCGTCTGCCCAGACGCGTTAGCAGACCTTCATCGTCAAGGGCCGACAGAGAGTGTAGTTGCTCCAGCGCCATTACTAGTGACTCAACTGGAGGCGCGTCCATGAAATCAAAGTGCAGCAGATCGTTAATTCCCATGGTCTTAAGCTGCAGCACTGTAGTGGCCAAATTGGTACGTTGAATCTCCGGCACTGGCGTGGGCAACATTTCATCCCGATAGGCACGCTCTGTGTAGAGACGATAGCACTTTCCAGGACCCGTACGCCCGGCTCTGCCAGCTCTCTGCTTTGCAGCTGCCTGCGAAATTGGTGTGACCACCAATGAGTCCATTCCAGTCTTTGAGTTATACACCTTCTGCTTCACGAAACCGGGATCTACCACATAGAATATGCCATCAATGGTGAGGGAAGTCTCTGCGATATTAGTGGCTATGACAACCTTGCGGCTTCCCGCTGGCGCTGGGTCAAAGATACGCGTCTGCATCTCGGAGGGCAGGGCAGAGTACACCGGCAGAATGATTAGCTCTGGTACATCGGGACCCAAGCTCTTCATGCGCTCATAAAGAATCTCACAGGCAGTATCGATCTCCTCCTGACCGGTAAGGAACAGCAGAATGTCGCCGGGTGGCTCACGCAGATGAATCTGCATGACGGTGATGAGCGAGGCGTCCAGATAGTCAGTCTCCGGCTCCTTTGTGTACAAAACCTCGACGGGGAATGTCCTGCCGGGAATGGTGAAAATGGGCGCCTTGAAGAAGTACTGCGAGAACTTCACCGCATCCAACGTGGCAGATGTAACAATGAGTTTCAATTCCGGTCGCTTCTGTACGGCTGTTTTCAGCAGACCAAACAGCACATCCGTGTGGATCGTCCGCTCATGGGCTTCGTCCAACATAATCACCGAATAGCTCTTGAGTTCCGCCTCCATCAGGCATTCACGAAGCAACATACCGTCCGTCATGTATTTGACGATGGTCTCGGGGCTGGTACAGTCCTCAAAACGGATGGTGTAGCCCACCTCCTGGCCCAGACGACAACCATATTCTTCTGCCACACGTTTGGCCACAGACATGGCTGCCACTCGCCTGGGCTGAGTGCATCCAATCTTTCCTCTGGCCGTGAAACCACACTCTCCCAGGTACTGCGTTATCTGAGTGGTCTTGCCGGATCCTGTTTCTCCAATAACGATAAGGATTTGATTGTCGGTAACCGCCTTGATCAAATCATCGCGTAGCTTGTAAATGGGCAGGGACTGGCGCTGTTCCACCAGCGTAAGATCGGTCTTCTTACCGAACGAGGACTTCTTGCCGCCAATCACATGCTTTTTCCACTCGGGAACCTCAGCCGGAGCCGCTCCCATTCCTCGCATATTGGCGGCTAGACTGCGAGAGCTGTCCTCCTCGGGCAGGGGATCTATCCAGTTCTTGTTAAGGCTGGTTGGCAGGGCCTCCATCTCTTGCTCTCGCTGCAGCATCTTCTGCTCACGACGCTCCTTGGATAGGGCTGACTGCATCATGGCTGCTTGAGCAAGGGAACCGTCGGGATTTTTCACGATTCTGACTGGCGACAGGTCATGCAGGGCTCTGCCATGGCCAGAGAGGAAGGGCGGCTCCTCTTCCACAATCTCAATTTCGATATCCGCCTCATCGTCCTCATCTTTTGGCAGCAAACCAGTTTCCTCGTCGAAATCTGGCATCTCGCTTCTGTCCAGCACACCAGAGCTGATCATTTGTTTGATTTCCCAACGCTCGGGGCTAGAGATCCTGGTCACACGCTTCCTGGACTCGTGTTCATCACCATCTAGGCCGTTGCCTTGCAGATTTAACATCGAAGTGCTGCTACTGAAGGGTCCATCGGGGTTGCGATCCCTCAGTGAATCATCATCCTCTGGGGCATGTGACAGCGGATTAAGGTCCCTTCCGGTCTCTTGATCCGCCTCCTTCATAGACAGCGATACCTTCTGCCCAGTTACGGACATCACCTTCACCTTGACCGTTTGATTCCGGCTAACCACTTCTGTTACATCGGTGACTCGACCTTCTGCTCGCAGCTGTGAGATGTGCACTAATCCCTCCCAGCGCTTGCGAAGCCCGAAGAGCTGCACAAAGCAGCCGAAGGGAACGATGTTGGCCACTTTGCCGGAGTAGATCTTTCCAGCCTCGGGGTCGTCAGTCATTGCGGCAGCTGATGCGGGCGGGGGCATCTTTTCGCCACGATCCTGGTCTCGGGAACGATCTCTACGATCCCTGCGCCCGCCGGACCGAGAGCGGCTTCGTCGTCGACGTTCGTGACGGTCACGGGAACTCGATCGACGGCGACGACGGTCCCTTTCGCGATCGAGGTCCTCCCGAGACCTGCTCCTGCGCCGATTTTCACGACGGCGGCTATCTTTGTCCCGTGATCTGCTTCGGCGCCGATCCCTGTCCCGATCTTCACGTGATCTGCTCCGGCGGCGAACCCTGTCCCGATTTTCTCGTGATCTGCTGCGATGGCGGGTGTCTCTGTCTCTCTCCCGATCCCTGCTCCTGCTGCGTTCTTTGCGCTTGTGACGATCCCTGGAACTGGTTTCCTTTGACTGTTTCACCTCTGCCTTACCTTCTCCAGGACACAGAGCTTCCAGCTCCAGCATGGCAGCATCCACGTCGCTCATGTCGGACTTCTTGTGGGTCCCAGTCTTCTCTTTAACATCTTTCTTCTCCTTTGTTTCCTTCTCGTCCTCGTCGCTGTCCTCCTTCTTGCTGTACTTATCATTGGGCAAAGCCAGGCCGGGAAATAATTTCATCAGCTGTGACTTCTTGTCCTCCTTCCCACCGCTGGAGAAGCTTTTTTCCTCGCTGGCTCCACCAGGACGACTGGGACGCATCAGATTGATGATGCGCTGGAGATTCTGGACCAGGGAGTCGGGAAACTCGGCGCCATTCTCCAGCAGGGCCTTGCGAAATGAGTCGTACGAGCGGTTCTTGTTCTCCAAATCGATGATAAACTCGGCGAGGTCTTTGTCGTTAATGCCCAGATGGTTGTCTAGCTCTGTGCAGATCTTTGAGACCAGCGAGAGGTACTCCAATTGCTGCAGCTCCTCCATGCCGCCAAAGAGTCCGATTTTGGTGCTAACTTATCAAGTTTTCTTCAATTTCGCGATTTTCCACAACTCCAAACAAAATGCACGCCAAGCGAAATCAGCTGTTTTCACGGCCAGTGTTGGGCAACATCACACAGTTTCAACACTGCCTTTGCTCGGTTTTGACGCTCGCCTTTTGATGTTTATATCTTTTGTTTTTAAGAGTGCTAATCATTTCGTTCTGGTTTAAGTCCGTGCCCGCCGAAATATGGCTTCGTTTTTCGACTGCTTCAACAGCTTCATACAGAGCGGGAGCAGCGTAGGACAAAATGTAGAGCAGCAGGAGGAACAGAGCACCGCGGCTCCCCAGCCGCTGGTCCCGGAGACAAAACTGGCAAAGCCCAGCAGTCCCACGCCCAGCGAGAGTGTAAGTCCCATGTCCTTGATGGAGCGATGCTGCCTGTACAGGTTGGTGTTCTGACACACGCATTTATCTGCCTATTTGTTGTGAAATTCCAAAAATATTTATTTACGGGCCTACGAACTATCTCCATAGTTGCCATATAGTCAAAATGCCAGTCAGCTAACGAAGTGGCAACGCCGCAAGGCACGCCATATTTTACAACAGCAATTGCGAAAATCGGTTTTTGTGGCGGAGCAAAACCGAAGAGCAATTGGAACCACTTGTAAAATCGTTTAAAATCAGAGCGGGGCGTGTTAAATAACAGGGATTACCTGAACTCAAGGGGTTGGGGCGGATTCAGATGTTTATCCAGCGCCGCAAGTGCACAACAACGACGTAGAAGAAGAAGCAGTCAACTGTAGACAGCTAGTGTAAAAAACGAAGTGACAGAAACAAAAAATGATGAAACAAATAGTCGGAAAAAGCGGCAGCAAGCCGCAGCCTACGGAGGCTGCCACCGCCGGGGCATCCGCATCGATAATCACTTATAGCCCGAGCAAATTCCTCAACCGCGTTGGGCCAGGCGACAATACATACACCACACACAGCCACACTCACACCAGTGCAAGCGCAGCAGCAGCGATGGCAACGGCAACGACAGCGACGTCGGTGAAGACGGCGGCGGCGAACATAACAACAAAAACAAACAAATCCCCTGCTGGCGGAGGTTTGACGTCGTATTTTGTGGTAAAGGCCGGCTCCCTGGGCAGTGCAGCCTCCATGACGGGCTCGATCAAAGTCAGCAGTCCCCCAAAAGCTGGGTCAGCGGCAAAAACGCCGTCGCTGGTCATCACATCGCCGTCCCCGCCGACAGAGAGTGTAATGATAAGCCCGCATCATCGTGTTCACCCACTAACCTGCACTGCATGCGCTCCAAAGATCTTTATATTTACACACTCCATCGCACATCTTTAATTTCGAATTCTGTAATTTTGAATGCCTATACTAACCAGTTGTTTCCGTTTTTATCCCACAGTCCAGCACCATTTCGGCTCCCAGTGAATCGTCGTTTGGCGAGAAAATGGAGCATAGCTACATCCGTGATCCCGTTATACGGAATGAAGTTAACAATGGCCTCGCACCCGCTAGGAATATACTGGTACGGCATCCGCCGCAGTGTCCCAGTTGCCACACATATCCGCAACAAGAGGATCCGACGGAGATGCAGCAGGTACATGTGCCGCCCTACGACGAGATTGCCGCTAAGGAGGCAATGAACGAATGCGCTCGCATTGCCAAATACGTGAAGAACAACAATTCCGATGAGCAGGATTGGGTGGCCCGCGTCAATCAGTGAGTACTTGTCTTAGTTTTCCTAAAAACCATGACTCAAATTATTTTTTTTTTCACTCAGATTTGGCTGGACACCCATGCAGCAGCTCCTGTTCGAGAAGGTGTGCTCCATCCTTGATCAGGATCAGTTGGCGCGTTTGGCCAACGACAAGCGTCAGCATGAGGCCATTCACCGCCGAGTGAGCGTGGATAAATCAGCCTCCCGTCTTCGCAAAGCTCTTGCCGGCGTATCCTGGGAACCTCGGATCACCCAATGGCTGCACACGCTGCTCATGGAGCATCTGTCGGCTTCGTACATGGCCTCCTATCTGGACATTCTGCAGACGCTGAAAACAAAGCTGCCCACACTGGTAGATAAGATGCTATTCAGCCGCCCGCTTAATAATAGTCAGGAACTGCTGGCTCCAGTGATGAAGAAACGCTGGGAACCAAATATATTGCCCAAGGGACGTCAATTATCGCACAACGCCATCATAGTTGTGCTCCCAACCATGCCCACCAGTGGCGTTGTCACCGAGCGCATGCAGAAATGGTACCAGGCGCTCGCTACCATCACCCAGGTCGTACAGATCACGCTGCCCAACTCGAGTGAGTTTTTCAAGATATAAATATTCTATATACTCTGATTTAACTGAATTCTCTCTGGTTTTAGACAACAGAATGGCGAATCAAAATCTCGACCAGGTGGCTGAAACCATTGTATCCCTCACGCGTGTCAGGATACATGAATTGCGCACTGACAATCCCAACCGTGGTATCATTCTCGTCGGCTTTAATGCCGGAGCGTCTTTGGTCCTGCAAGTTGCCCTGTCGGAAAGTGTGGCCTGTGTGGTTTGCATGGGTTTTGCCTACAATACAATACGCGGTCCTCGAGGATTGCCCGACGACCGAATGCTGGACATAAAGGCGCCCATACTCTTCGTCATCGGACAGAACTCGGCCCGTACTAGTCAGGAGGAGATGGAGGGGCTACGCGAGCGTATGCAGTCCGAGTCCTCGTTGGTGGTGGTGGGCAGTGCAGATGATGCGCTCAGAGTCCCCAAGAGCAAGCGGCGCATCGAGGGCGTAACACAGGCCATGGTGGACTATATGGTGGTGGTAAGTGTCTTAATTTTCAGTCATTTAAATATTTTATTCATTTGCTTAATCCGTTTGCCAGGAGGAAATCTTCGATTTTGTTAGTCGGACCTTGAACAATCCCCCGGGACCTCGGATGCCAACATCACTGATGCACCAGCCGGGCTACCAGCGTCAGCTGAAGCAATTAACCCACGTCCTGGCCGATGGAAATGCCAACAAGGCAGTGCAGCAGATGAGGAAGCGAAAGCTCAATGATGGCCAGGAGGACTTTGTGGGTCAGTCGGTCAAGACGAAGATTGTATCGGCCAGTAAGTATCAGGGTTTTTTCTTTACTCATCTGAATCACCTACCTGTTCCATCCCGCATGCAATTCAATTTCACCAATAACCACCATCACCTAACCAATAACAATTCCCGAAACGAACTAATCTATGGCGTCAAGGTCGCCCACACAAGCCGAAGCCGCCACGACTTATTGATCCGTTTGCTGTTAAGCGAAAGGGTAAAGTCTTCCGCCGCAGGGAGTCGTTATTAAAGCCATCTGTGGCTATCCACTCCACTAACAGATTTACCCCCATCCCAACCCCCTTAGTTGGAAGACCCCGAACACGCCCCTTGGCCAAAGTTGGTGGCTCGGCGGTTAGCATTAGTGGCCAGAAAGATGCACCTCATCAAGACAAGTCAAATTTAAGCAGCGAAGAACTTAACCAATCCATTGAATTCATACTAGATGACACCGAGGGCGGCGAGGATGCAGCAGCTGGAGCTGGACCGGGATCTAGCGGAGCTTTTCTACCAAAGGTTATCAAACCGGGTGGCGTGCTGTCCAAACAGCTTCCTCCGGTCAATCTGGCAGTCGGGACCAAAATCAAGATGATACCCTCCAGCCAGTTCGTCCAGATTAAATCTCTGGGACCGCAGGGCAAGCTCATCAACTACAAGCCAACAAGTGGACCCACCAGCACTTCTGCGGGCAACATTGTAAAATCACTACCGGGCCCATCATCAGCTGGTGGCCAGCAGATCTTTACAGTGAAAACTTCAACGGGCCAAACGACACAATTTACAACAGCGGGACCTTCGAGCTCTTCCACATCAACATCATCATCAACCGTGGGACAGCAGAAGTACACGGTGTTTAAGAACGCCAACGGCATGACCATGCTGCAACTTACTAAGCCCGCAACTAGCAGTTCTTCAGGAAATGTGGATCTGTCCAACATCATAGACATGCCCATTGTGTTTGCCGACAACGAAGGCAACATCGCAGATCAGCAGCAGCAGCAGCAACAGCTACAGCAGTTGGATAAGGACATAAAACCAGGTGTGTGTCAACTCATAAACTATTGATTAAGAAGATCCTTCTATGACTATTCCTTGCTTTCCTCCTCAGCTCCCATAAGAAACACAAATAAGGCACCTCTAATTATCAGTCAGAAGATCATTAAGGAGGCCAACAAGCCACCGGGAATTGTCAATAGCAGTGGCACCACCGCAAGCAAACCAGGTGGCGCTAACATTGTGCTCAACAAGGGCATGCATCAGTTATTTACCACCACACCGCCATCGCCATCTGGCACACCAGTGCCGGGCCAGAACAAAGTGCTCTACATTAATCGCAACACGATGAAACCCATGGGCAGTATGGTGGCAACTGGCGCTCATCGCGTGCCCATACGTATTTTGAGTAACCCAAAGACGGGAGCTGTGACTACCAGTAGTCCCCTGGTGGTGGATCCCGCCACGGGATCTTTGGTGCCCGGTGTTAAGGCCGTAAATGTGCATACAATTAAGCCAACGGCTGCTACTATCCGTCAGGTGACCACCACCAAGGCCTATTCCCAGTTCCAAGTGATCAACAGTAGCACACCGGGCACGCCTACTGCAGTTTCTGGCGATGGCAAGTCTTCGATTAGGAATGTATACTTTAAATCCGCTGCCGGACTCAAGCAAGTGCCAGTACAGATGCTTGCAAATCGCTTAGCGCCATCATCACCAGCTATTCAACATGGAGGAGCTGCTGGTATGCGTCGAGTGGTCAACATCGGTACCGTATCCAAGCTGGCCGCGGGACCAACTGGCCCCGACTCCAAGGTCATCAAACTGCAGCCCACAACGGGGGCAATAACTGCTACCAAGGTGGAGGCGACAACAACTGCTAGCCCAATGCAGAGCAAGAAGTAGGATTAGGATTGTTAGATGTGGGTTAGATCGCATTCTATTTAAGGTATATATATGTAAATATGTTAAGTGAAACAGAATTAAGTTTGGAATTATCAACGCGTTAATTATTTCAGAGTTTTATTTCACAAAAATAAAAAAAACTCTTATATTAAGACTTGTTCATTAAGAAAATGTGCTAAATGCAAGTTCTGGGAATTATGGTGTTTCTTGTGCACACTTGTGCGAATTCCAGGCCTGTTCAGGTACGGTTTTGTATTACCTTTATGCATATATATTATGTATATCTTATATCTTGTATATACTTATGTACATATCTACATTTATGGCAATCAGAGAACAGGAAGCGCGGCGTGAGAAACCGCTAAGCCAATTTCTGGAATTTCATGAAAGCTTGCTAGATTTTTCTGCCGCAAAGTGCGTTGATTTCGAAGGGAGGAGCTTGCCCAAGAGTGAAGCGGAGATTATATAAGCACCGCAGACGTTCACACGGCGGTTGCACTTCGAGGACGGACCAGTGCCTGTCAAACTGTGGCGCTGATGGCGCATAATTTTGCTTACAATTGCATTTTAGCAGTAGGAGCTGTCGAAAAGAGATAAGATTTCATTGAAGCTCGCTTTATGGAAAGCCATTTTATAGGTTTGTCATTTTCCTGATAAATGCACTGGCTTATTTTATTTTATATAGTACAAATTAACCCATTTGGATAATGAAAAACAGATATTATGGATGAGTTATTAGGAAACACATCGGAATACAATAAAACTCTCTATTTTTATACACTTGCAGGGTATTATAATTTCAGTTAGAAGCCTAAATCATAGTGAAGGTGTCATTTCCGACCCTATAAACCATATATATTCTTGATCAGCTCGAAAAGCCGAGTCGATCTAGACATATCAGGAGAAAAACAAAATTTGCAATTTTTTTAACATTTTAAAGGGCTTAAAATTGAAAAAAGAAAAAGTTATCAAAATTTCGAATTTTTTTACATTTTAAATGGAGTATGCAGATTTATTAAGCTCATAAAAAATAATATAGTACAGCTTTCCGATTCAAAATTAAGGCTTTTTTGGCTTAGTTATGACTTTTTGAAACTTTGCATTGTTTGAAAAATTGTCAGAAAAAATATAGCTAATTAACGACTTAAATTATGGTATTATAATTTCAGTCAGAAGCCTAAATCAAAGTGAAAGAGTCATTTGCGACCCTATAAATTATATATATTCTTGATCAGCACTAAAAGCCGAGTCGATTTAGACATATCAGGAGAAAAACAAAATTTTCAATTTTTTTTAACATTTTAAAGGGCTTAAAATTGTAAAAATAAGTTGACAAAATTTTGTTTTTTTTTACATTTTAAATGGAGTATGCAGATTTATTAAGCTCATCAAAAATAATATAGTACAGCTTTCCGAATCAAAATTAAGGCTTTTTTGGCTTAGTTATGAATTTTTTAAACTTTGCATTGTTTGAAAAATTGTCATAAAAAATATAGATAATTAACGATTAAATTATTGTATTATAATTTCAGTCAAAAGTCTAAATCATAGTGAAGGAGTCATTTGCGACCCTATAAATCATATATATTCTTGATCAGCACTAAAAGCCGAGTCGATTTAGACATATCCGGCGGAAAACTAAATTTTCAAATTTTTTCAAAATTTTAGAGGGCTTAAAATTGTAAAAAAAAAGTTGACAAAATTTTAATTTTTTTTACATTTTAAATGGGGTATGCAGATTTATTAAACTCATAAAAACTAACATAGGACCGCTTTCCGAATTAAAAGTAAGGCTTTTTTGGCTTAGTTATGAGTTTTCCCCGAAGTTGCACTTTAGGCATCCCTGACTAGTTTCTTATTCCCCATTTTACAATGTAATAATATTAATAAATATTATATTTATGATAATTATAATAATCATTTGTGCAGCTATCAAATTAACTTGTCTTTCTTGGGTTAATTACCCTTTATGGCCACTCAGCAAATTGTCAACTGAATCCAAAGAACATTGTGTCGGGACTTTGTTTTTTGTTTCTTATATTGATATTTGCATAAGTCTTATATATTTTATTGCATTTTATGTACAGTTTGACAGTGTGTCAGATATATAAATATAAATATGTATATATCTGATTTTGTGAGGCGTCAAGGGTAATGCAGGCTTTTTCGATGTCTTGGGACTTCAGTAACGTGACAAACGCGATCAGTGACTGATCGAGTAGAGATATAAATTCAGTGATGTGAAGTGATCAGCGAGGATAAATCAGTTTTCAATACAGGATCAAGTCGGTGATTTAAATACAAACAAATATATATCTTTTAACTATTTTCTAAACCTTTTTAATGAGCTCCTGAATATTTAATTCAAACATTTAACTTGTTTAAAAGAAGCTTGAAGTTATTCCAAATAAACTGATCAATTGGAGTTTAAGTATTTTAAAAAATTATTAACTATTTTGTAGATTTCTGTGGTCACTTTTTATTTAAACTTTGGGTAATAAACCCAGATTAAAAATCTTAAAAAAAAACTACTTCAACAGAATCTGAATATAATTTTTTACAAATTCCTGATCAATTCCCAAGCGTCGGCTTACGCAATTGGAAAATAATGTGAAAAGCCTGGGCAATTCCCAGACTCTGTAAATCGCACAAATGCCAGAGACCCAAATCGAATTTGATTTAAAAATGTCTTTAGCTTGGCTGCTGCTGCGGGTTGCAAATGGAAATGCAGTTGCAGTTGCAGTTGCAGATGCAGTTTCGCTTCGCTTACCACCTGCCGGGTGCATTTTGTTTATGCCTTTTTTCGCTATCTGGTCTTAATTTGTGGCAATTTGTTGGACCAGAAACCCACTGGGTTGGCTACCACCACCAGCATTTAACATAGGCCCCATGTGCGTTTTTGTTTATGGCTTATTATTATTATTTTGTGTTTAGTTGAATTTTTTGTAAGCAATTTTTGCCTAGCTTTTTGGCACATTTGGTGGCTTGTGTTAACTCCTTGGGGTCATAAGAGATCAGTTGGTATTAAATGCCAGTTAAATTGTATATTATTCTAGAATATTTTAAGATATTTACAGGGGAAAAAAAAACAAATTGATAAGTATTTTCCTGTTCTTCTAAAAACCTTTAAAAAATCTTCCCTCCAAAACTGTAATTTTAAGCTTAAAATTCTACCTTAAACTTCCTGTAAATCCTTTCGTCAAATTCTGTCACTTTCTAGGATTACAGCTATCCCTTTCCCCGATTTTTCCTTCCTTTTTTTTAGCATCCTTTAGAAAATTTTAGTATTCTAGTAAAAAGGACCGCAAATCCTTCTTCTGCCACAAAATCCCTTGCACAAATACTAATAAGCGCGAGCATTCAGGCGAAAAGCTGTCCGAAAAAAAGAAGAGAAGGGAAGGGAAAAGCGAAAAACCCGGCACTTTTGATTTTGCAATGCATACCCATTCCGTTGGGAAAACGGAAAATGAGAGTGAGAGCGGGGAATCATCGGCCAGGCGCTGATAGTTTGCTTTACAAATGTCGCCGCCCACTCGCATTTTCCTCGCCGTTTTCCACACCGTTTTCCCTCCCTCATCAAATGACGCTTAATAACATGCAAATGATGTGAAAGTGCAGTGGCGAAAGGCGGAGGGGCAGGAAAAATAGCGAATGCCACTTACATTGCAAAATACCGCGGGACTCTGCTCCACCTGCTTGCAGCTGACACCACCAAACCCATCGCATTTTCCAGCATTTTCCACCCCACTTTATCTTTCCTCCTTTTTTTTTTATTCAATGTGTGGCTGACACTCTCAATATTTTTCCAGGGCAAGCTTTCGTTGGAAAATGTGGAGGAGCAGAAGCATCCAGGCAACCATCTGATTTTGCCGAAATTGATTGGGCCTGGCTATGAAAAAGGGCAAGGACGAGATACTATTAGTTGTGGAACTTTATTTTATTTTGCAGTTTAAATTCTTAGCATACCTTTAAGATCTTTAAGGTATTTTAAAAATTATTTAAAATATTATTTTATTAAAATTTTCTTTGAAAACAAACGTTTCGGGAGTTGGCCACTACCTCGCAGTCACGTGATGCATAAAATGCTAATGCCTCTGATCTGGATTTGATATCCATTTATAGATATCCATTTCCAGGTTCAGTTTCGCTGAAGTGTTTTGCCTTTTGAATATTTCATGTGATGTGACGTAGTGGAACATTCCTGACGTTGCCCACAACAGAAAGTAAAACATTTTTAAAAGGTGGATACAAAAAAAGGAAATGAAAATTGATTAAGTATTTATTTATAAACAATTTTTATCTGGAATATGGAATATATTTTTAAGCAATTTATATTTCAAGTATGATTATTATATAAATATTGTTTCCAAGTAATAAATAAAGCCCAAGAAAAAAATCTAAGAATGTGAGTTAAATCGGAATTAAAATACTGCAAAAATATAATTTACTTTTAAATGTATTGAATTTTAATATAAAAAACAATAAATATACCAACGGCGGAAAGTCGTTGTTTTTATAAACTTGCATTGTTCATAACTAAGCCAAAAAAAGCTTAATTTTCATTCGGAAAGCGGTCTTATGTTAGTTTTTATGAGGTCAATAAATCTGCTTACTCCATTTAAAATGTAAAAAAATTCGAAATTTTGTCAACTTTTTTTTAGAATTTTAAGCCCTTTAAAATTATGAAAAAATTTGAAAATTTAGTTTTCCGCCGGATATGTCTAGATCGACTCGGCTTTTAGTGCTGATCAAGAATATATATGATTTATGGGGTCGCAAGTGACTCCTTCACTTTGATTTAGGCTTCTGACTGAAATTATAATACCATAATTTAAGTCGTTAATTATCTATATTTTTTTCTGACAATTTTTTCTAAAAACCAAAGTTTAAAAAACTCATAACTAAGCCAAAAAAACATTAATTTTGATTCGGAAAACTGTCTTATGTTAGTTTTTATGAGGTTAATAAATCTGCATACTCCATTTAAAATGTAAAAAAATTAAAATTTTTGCCCAATTTTTTTGTTGACAATTTTACTGAAAAATTATGAAAAAAATGTTAAAATTTTGTTTTCTTTCTGACATGGCTAGATGGATTAGCCTGTTGATGCTGATAAAGAATATATATGATTTATGGGGTCGGAAATGACTTCTTCACTGTTTAGCAAGCAAATAACTAAAATTAGAATAACCTGCAGGGTTATAAAAAGGTTTGAAATTTTGAGGAAAATATGACTTAAAACCTTAAGAAAAAAAGAATATAATATTTTCTTGTAGATTGTTTGATATTAAATATAAAACTCCTTTTTCTTTTTCTTAGAATAACCCCAGGAATGCCACCAGAAGCACTGAGAAAACTGTAAGCAATCTGATTGCACCTTATTGTCCTTTTTTTTGCCTCACCTGTCTCCGCCGCCCTTGGTGTACCTGTATTCCTTAGTATTCCATCTCCTCCTGGCTGTCGTCTTGGGGGAGCTAAGGAGCCTTGGCCAAAACTTTTGACACGTAAGAGAACAGGGACAAAGTGTATGGCAAAAGGCAGCATCATCCCCCTTAGCCAACCTTGAGGCATTCACCATGTGCTATTTTTAGCCATAACAAAAGCAGATCCAAGGATGCCTGACTGCCTGTAGGTCCCCAAGGAATTACTCGCCCCGGAATATTATGAATTACAATTTTCTCAGGTCGCGTAATTCGTGTAAGTGCTGAAATAGCAAAAAAATAAAGGAGCAGGAGCAGGAGTGGGCCAAGAAGGTATCTCCTGGCCGGCGGGCGATGACAGTTTACAGCTTTCAGTTGGCTGCTTAACATAAATTTATTGCCTAATCTCCTTTTTCGGGCTGATGCTGCTCTCTGTCTAGGAGTATTTTGCATAAAATTCTCATTAACTGATTACAGTTTGAAGGGAAAGCAAAAAACATAAGTTCCCTAAATTTAAAATAGGGTATTGAGGCAGCTATACAACTTTAAATACAATTAATAATCAATTTATTCAACTATTATTATTACACACTTAAAATCCATTTCAAAATATCTTTTATCCTTAAAAAATAAATACCAATAAAAATATTTACCACAGCTAATTCCAAGTATAATTATAATATAATTACCAGCTTTAAATCAAACTCGTTAATCAGCCTGTGGATTATTCACTTAACTCTCACTTAATTATTAGTTTTAAGCTTTCTGGCAAAATACCAAAATATTTTCATGGCACCACCCCAACTTTAATTTACATAATCTTTGCTTTAAGTAGTTCAATCATAAGCCAGTTACATAAAAACCAAAAAAAGATAGAGAAGAAAAAGTAAACTAATTTGAATATCAAATATCGTTGCAGTTTGGCAAGCATTGCGAATTGGCCAACACTTTGAAATGCATTTCCTGTACGCTTTTCCGCTCCTTTTTTTGCGATCACTTTCGCTCATTTTGGCCTGGAAAAATACAGAAAATTCGATGCAATTTTCACTTTCCTCGGCTTCTTCGCCAAAGTATGCAAATTTATTTCTCAGCTGCCGTTGTGTCCAAACGTTTTCATTATGCAGGCAACGCATGCCACGCCCCAATGTCCAACTGTCAGTTGCCTCCTAAAGGGGGAGGAGGGGGCACAGACAGCCGGCAGCCGGTTTGGGCCAAAATAAAAACAAGTAAATATAAATCACGAGGTTAGTGAGATGTGAAGCGTCCGAACATTGGACTTTCACTTATAGAGGAGCTGTTTTTTGTTATTATTTTCTTGGCCATTTTTCTGCTTTGCTGAGCAACTGCAGCAACTGATTCGCAATCCTTGAGCCAAAGTGAAGCTCTGGTGATTGTTTCTGCCATTGCCGGGAGGCGGAAGGCCATGGTAATTATTCACAGATCATAAGTTTTCGAATAAAATTAGCATTAACAATGTTAAAGATTCAAATGGCTATGCAAATATTTAATCAGTATGGGTATATTTCTTATATATATTAAAAGAATTTTAAAGAACCTACTTCATACTCCAATTATCAATTATAATTCATAACTGAATAACTTTATTAATATTCAATTTACAAATTGTATTAATAAGCCTGAGGAAAGGATATATCATTTTATCATTCTTAAGATTTTAGATGGAATCCACTTATCTTTATATATAGTTTATATATGGTTCTGTGCCAGTCTCCAACTTTCAGATATGTGAAAAACCTGGCCTGCAGCTGCACTTCACTTAGCACCCCCATATCTTTTTTTACCACATTTTCCTCTTCCAACCAACTGACTTTTATTTACTCAGTAAACACACTGAAAAAAACCCCTTATATTAATATCAACTAAAAGTGGTGCCTAAAATAAATATTAAAATTATTCCCAGTTTTATGTTTTCTTTATTATGACAAAACTTAATTTGTAAAGATGTATAAAATATGAAATTAAGTTTTGAATAAATTCCTTACCTTTTGTTTTCTTCTCTGCACATTATGAAAGCAGTGGGCGGCGGGATTTAGGGGGCGTGTCGTACACATTACATGTTGCACCAGCGGCAAAAGTTGCCACGTTGGAGAAGCCGGCTCATAAATCGCTCAGCAACATGAAGCAACTGACTGGCAACATCTTAAGATCTAACATAACAACTATGCCTCTCAAACTGTAATGCTAGCACGCACATAAAAGATGGGGAAATTAGGGGAAATCTGACTCTAAAATAATAATAACTATTACAAAAAAATATATAATAAATATATATATATCTAAAATATCAACCCACAGCATAAGTTTTCCAACATTTTCCATTAAAAAGGCGGCTTTGGGTGGAAAATCAGCCTTCCGTTTGATTATGCGTGAAAATTGCCAGAAAGTGCAAAAGGAAATTCTGTCTAATGCAAGAGCACTGGCATTATTAGAGCCGAAAAACGGCAGCATCAGTGAAATTGCAATTTTCCCGAACCGAAATTTTCCAAAAATCACAAAGCCAGTGCCTCTTATAATAGGGGTACTTCTCCCGCCGACCTCTGGGGGTCATCATTTTGCGGCTGGCTCACGTTTATTGACTGAACATTTTCATTTTCCGCCACCACCACCACCACCATGAAGGAGGAACCGAGTTTTGCATAAATCAAATCAAATGAAGCGCGGGGCAAATGGAAAATGAGTTGAGTGATTGCCCAGGCTTGTGGTTTCGGTTGATCGTTGGGAAAATTATGTAATTTTTACCTCACATATGTATGTATGTGCAAGGGTTCTATGCATTATTATTTGTAATGTATTTCAAGACTTACCGCAGTAATTCCTTCCAGTGTTATATTCCTGTTGACTTTAATTAGGAATCATCCAAGTAAGCTTCATCCTGATCATCCAGACATATTGCATTGGCCAGGTGATATATTTGGGATCGAAGGGCACTCACTATCACTTTCACCAGAGATGTTGACGGGGCGGGATTCACGGACAAAATGAGGCCAGAGCTACTTGCGCGCCTCTATTTATAGTCCCCGAGTCAAGAGAACAGAGAAAGTGAGAGCGCGAGAGTAAGGGATATCTCTAGAGAAAGGCAGTGAGAGTTAGAGAGTAAGAGGCAACTCTATAGATACGCAAGGAGGGATAGAGTTAACGAGGGAGAGGGAGAGAGAGAGAGAGCGAAAAGAGCGAATAGAGCGAAAAATGTTTTTATGGCACCTATATGATATAGTCGTCTTATTTTAATAATATTAACACCAAAATTCTAAATAATTAATTTATTAATTAATATCAGATGTGCTAGTTATGCATTTATTTTTAAATAATTTGTTCATTTCGGTAAACAAAATTTTTCTCTGATAAAAGTACTGATAATAACAAATATTTTTAAAGCAACCATTAGTTAAATTTTAAATATTTTGCTGGCATTAATTTAAATTGTAATCCCAGCTTTTTCGTAATAAAAAGACAACAAAAACAACTTTTCTTTTGGCGCCTCTGGAAATAAATCCTTTTTACTCAAACAAAAATAACAACAAAATACCACAGAAAAACAAACGAGGAAATTGGGAACAATGGACCGGCAAAAACAACAACAATAGCTCAAGCAATAGATGAGCCGCACGTGGCCCCCACATTTCCCAGGAAAATGGATGAAAAACGATTCGAGCGACAAGAAAACCTTTAAGAAAAATGCCAGCAAAAATGCCCAAGTGACCCAGAACTTGGGCAAGAAAAATCTACAAGGCAGCTTTGATGGATAGACCGGGGGATGGGGGGCAGCTGCCTTGGGGGGCGGTTGATTTTCCGGCCCTTTTTATGTTTTCCATCTAATGACAAAAGTGACCAGCAAATAACATGAACTTAACATTACTGTTGCGACGCTGTTAAGTGGGGACTTTTGTTCAGGCTCCATAAATTTTCCCCAAAATAAATTCCTTCTTAATTTTCTCTTGCTTTCCTTTTGTTTATTAAGAGAGCGTATAAAGAGAATTAAGAGGTTTATCTGGTATTAGACTTAGCTAAGTTCTTATTAGTTCTTTGCATGGTTGTTGACTTGTCTAGTGCGCGAATTAATATAAACTAATTAGAATTTTGATTCACAATTATTAATTACAAATTTGCCTTTATTCGACTCTCTTTTTATACGCTAACAAAGTAAAAAGTTTAAATTTCTGATATATTTTTAAATACATTAAATCTGGGCTATTACATTTGGTTAACATCCAAAGAGCGAATTTCCTCTTCTTATATTTTTCTTCTTTACAGCCACTGCTGCTAGATTCGCTTCTTTCCCGTCAAATCTGTTTTTTTTTTTTGTCATCTGCTAAATGCAGCTCTGTTATTCATTTTACTTTCTACATGAGATTTCGACCCCAAGAGTTAGAATGCGACCCCTTGTATCTGTAAGCGTGTCAAATACATCTGTAAACGTGTAAAATGCATGGGAGCACATGTTAAATGTAATATGTTAACCTTAACAGCTCTGTAGATTTCAGGGCTTTGAAAGTTAGCTATTTTAAGGCTTTTAGCTAGTTTAAAGCTGCAAGCAAGCCAGATCTAGACGGAACAAAGCTAAGCCGGCAGCAGTGGTAACAAGTAACGGTTGTGCCGTCACACAAAAATTTTCGTCTCGCCTTTTCAACCGCGGCTCGCGCTTTTCGTGTGCGTTCGAAAATCCGGAAAATGTGAAAATCACATCGGGAACTCATCGCCGGGAAGGAAACTATTGGTACAACAGTTTTACACCTTTTTTCACACGCCGTGTTCGTGGTGTTCTCCTCCGGTTCAAGACGTGTGCGAGCGGGAGGACGAGTGCGTGCGGGATAACGGTGCAAGGAAAAATCTCAAATCCGAAATCAAAGCCCGAAATTTGTTTTAATCGCTGTAATTATTAGAATCGAAACTGCTAACTGCAGCTAACGAATCCGAAATATAAAAACCGAGCAAAGTGAAGTGCAAAAACAAAAACATAAACCGGTCTCTGCAGCAGCAGCACCAGCAGCAAGGTAAAGCCAAAAAAGAAGAAAAAAAAACAAAAATCAAACCAAAGGCAGCGAAAGAATTTTTGTTGTTTGGCCAAAGCAGCGCTGCCGGTGCGTATGTGTGTATGTGTGTCTGTGCGTGCGAGTGAATGCGACCGTGTGTGTGTGTGAGCATCTCGAGAAGGAGAAAAACGTAAGGCAGTAAAGTAGGAAAAGGAAAAGAGGGAAACAAAAACCGAAAAAGCAAAAAGTAAACCTGTTCCCTGCAACTGCGGATAAAACAACAACATAATAAAAAAGAGAGGCCGCAAAAAGTGGCACAAGTGAAAATTCCTGTGTTGTTCGTTTATTATTATTTTTGTATTGCCTTGTTTTTTTTTCGACAATCGCCAAAAGTGAAAATCAATTTGCAGAGAGCGCGCGCGCAAGGAGCAGAAGGAAGAGAACAAGAACTGGTGAGAGAAAGAGAGAGAGAGCCGAATATAGAATTCGTCCTTTTGTGTGGGTTCAAAATAAAATACCCAACCCAAAAAAAGAGCACGATAACTGGACGAAAAACGGTGAAAAACAATAACAACAGCAAACGACGATAGATTGCAAAAGTAAACAAATTGCGACGAACTGAACGAATTTCGGGAAATTGCAACACGAAAAAGGTCAGTAACGGTAAATTGCAGAGATGTCAAAGCAACAAAACAAACTGATTGATTGCCGGACGAATTGAATAAATTAAAGTTAAAGACTAGCTGAGGTGAATAAAAAGCTGGCTCCTCTTAATAGTCCCCCATTTGACCTTCACCCTTGGACACCCTCGCAAATTGGTAGTGTAATGGCCAAATAACTTGGTAGTTTTGTGCAGTAGTTAACCCTAACCCTTGATCACCGTTAATTGGAAACCCCTCGCATGTTCACGGTCACTCGATCGTGAAAATGCCCATTTAGTGCAGTGAACGAGTGACCCTAAAAGAAAAAGGGAAACTTTTGAGTCACAATTTTTATAGTTTTGTGGATTTTACTAATTTGAAAATATAATACTTTGTTATGGTGGAAAAAAAGTGCAGAAATTCCAATTAGTCAAGTAGAGTTGCTAATTTATATATTTTCTTTAATTAATTTACTTATTCCTAGTTTTTGTTTAAAGAGTTTAACAACAGTTAAAAATTACAAAACGGTTATTTTTCATTTATCTAACCCATCATTACCAGAGCTTTTCTTTACAAATTACATTAGTGACTGTAATCTTTGGTAATGATTTGAAAAAAACATTGTTACAAGAGATGACAATTAATATTTCCTTTGCTGCCATGAACCAGTTAATATTACCCAACTTCTTTGGAAAAGTTCACTAACTGAAAAGAGTTTATTAACCGCATTTTTTTTATCGGACACACGGGAATTTTGACTCTACAAAGCACAGTCATTCGGAATGAATTTCGCTATGGCATCGCGTCTGCTTCCCGTACTTCTGAACGATTTTATTTCCCTTTATTATCGCACCTTTTTATAAACCCCCCAATCATATTATATTGACCTTCACTTGAGTGGTTCTCTGGTTATAAAGAGGCATTCATAAATTTCGTTTTCTTTTTGCGAGTGATTGGGAAATTACACACGCTCTCCTCTTTTTGCTCCAGTAATACGAACATACGTAGTATGTACCCCTTTTCCGAGGTTCAAATGTTTCCCTACCAATTGCACTTATCTTGGTTTGTTTTTGTTTGAGCTTGCTCATAACGTGACTGGTTCTTGTTGTGGCTTATTGTTTTTCGCTGTTGTTGCTTTTATTTACTCTTTTTTTTTGTGTTTTTGTTACACAAGCGTAACAATAAAATTTCAGAGACTGGTCCGCCACGAAAATAGTTAAAATTTTATATGTGCTGTTATGATCATGTTTTATCTGATAGTTATTCGCTCGTGGCACGTAACACAGTTTGTGTTTTGTGAGTTCATTTTGGCTAGATTTAGGGGAGAGGCTGTGAGGGGGAGCCTCTATATCACGTAGAGAACAAACCCAGATCCGAGATCTGAGATCCGTGAGCTGCTGGGTCAGCTGCGGTTGCCTTTTTGGTGTTTGCAGTTGCTTAATAATGGGGATGCGACTTAATTGTTTCAAAGATCAGATAACAAAAGCTAAGCCTGCATCTGATGGGTACATTCAACAAAAAGGGAATATTACGGCTATATAGGGGTTATATACCAAAGGTCTTTTAATCAGTTTTGCATAGCTAAACAGATATTGCAAGCTTTTTTTGTACAAATTTCATCTAGTTTTCATTTCTGCATGTCTCTAGGGAATCATATTCCTATTCTCTATATATTTCACTACCCAAAAAATGCCTTATTTTCTTTGTAACTTAAAGACAGGTTTGCCAACTGAAGAATAAGGTCAAGACATCAAAATATTCAAGTTTGTCACGCCTTAATTTAAATATTTAACATTTATTGAATACCTTCAGCTTCCAGTGTTTTTTTTCTTATTATTTTTAAGTGCGTGATCTTACTTAATTCCACAACTCTGCATTTTTTGGTCAACATACATATAGTTTTTCTTTTCTTTTTTTCTCTCAAGTTATCTTTTTACGTCTTGGCCCACAAAAAGTGACATTTTTGCTCAAGTTTTTGGCCAACATTTCGCCCAATTTGCATAAATTACGACGAGTATTCGATTGATTTGAAACGCTCCAAGTCGAGAAATTCGACTTCTATGGCCCGAACTCTGAGGCCCAGGCAATTTTTTGATTTATTTAATGAGCAAAAATGCTTAGCTCCCTCTCTCTCTCTCCCTACCTATCTCTCTCTCCCTCTGACTGCGAGGCCCGTAGGCGTAGATCTCAGATTGGTTCGCTGCCGTTGAAGTTTAACAAATTTAAAGCAATTTCGCTAGCTATTTTTGGGGTCAATTAAGTTGCGCGGCAGCTGAGATACAGATACGCAAAGTCAGATAGTTGAAGGGGGGAAGTTTAGCTCAGTCCGCTAGCTGTGGGCGTACTGGTATATTTTTTTTTTGCTTCAGATTTTATTTAGCAGAAAGAAAATGTAAGACCTGAATTAGATGCACAATTTCTCATTCTATCGCAATCCCAAGGGCTTGGAGATACGTTTTAAAGTTTGATGGAATAAAGTAAAGCATGGAAATGCACGGAAAATATATAAAGACTGATTTAGTTTTTAATTAAAAATTATGTACTAAAAAAGCTTAGTTATTGTAGTATTTGTTAAGTTTAGAAGTTATAGTATTTAGAACGTTTAGAAAATAAGTCCTCAGTGTAAGGAAGCTAAAAAAAGGCATACACATAAAAGAGAGAAGTAGGGAAATATGGAAAGGAACAAAAGTATGAGCCTAGCAAAAGCAGACAACAACAAAAACAGAGAAAATCGATTTAAAACAGATGATTTGGCATCACCCCAGAGCCAAGGCAGTTTTTCCTCATTTTCTCTCCTTTTCCGACCGGAACCTCCTGCTTTATGTATCCCCCAAAGTCTGTGCTTTGTCCTCCCCCATTGGGTAGGTGGCCTATCCAGTCCCCAGATCTGGGTTCCAGGCCCAGGCCTAATATTTCACAGGCTGTTAGGGATGTCTGCACAATGGGGTGTATTTTATCAGCCAAGGGCAGTACAGTGGGGCTGACGCATATCACACCGCACACTGTCAGCTGTTTGTGCAGAAAGTACAATAATATTTTTTAAGCTGTTTAAGCCTTGCATACGGGGTATCGAGTGTTTTGTTTATTTATTTTACGTTTAAAATTCAATCAAATGTAATTGGCAATTGGGGAGGATGTATATTTATCTTGAGGTTCCACTGTCATGGTTATGCCCCTCACTTGCCCTTCGCTCAAACTTTTCTCGCTTCTGTTCTGGGCTTCCGTACTTTATTTTCTCCTCTTGTTTTATCTCCTTTTCTCCTTCTTCTTCGACTTCTTTTTGCCTGCTGGCTAGCAGCTTCAGCTTTTGTTTTTTATTTATTTGGCTTGTGCCAAATTCTCGTTGAACTTTGAGGCTCCCAAAACAGCTGTGCTGCTCTGCCCGGGCCAACATCTCTCTCTATCTCTTTATTGCCCCCCTTGGCAGCTCCTCCCCTTGGCAGCTCGGAGTTTCCCAGGCTGGCTGGTGTCCTGTCATTAACACTAGCTGCGACGCCGGCAGCGGATGATGCGGATTTAATGAGCAAATGATTAGCATTTTTATGCGGCCACTCTCATTGCGACGAAATACCCGGGAAGAGTCTTCTCGAATTGCGAAATGAAAATATTTTTTGCCTTCTCTGCTTGCTGGCTAAGCTGGGAAAACTTAATAGTTGGCATTTTCTCGACATTTTTCCAGGCGCTGGTCCGCCTTTGTCTGTCACTGCACTGATAAGGGAAGGTGATAAAGGGAATCAGAGCGGGGGCTGGGGCAAAGTGGGACACGTGCAACGGATTGTGGCACACAGAAATGAAGTCCCCGGGTAAAAAGCCCTTAAGCGGGTCCAAATTAATGATCCCCACGTAGATTTATGGCCAACCAGATAAAAGGAAATGGAAAAGGGTGAAGCAAATCGAAGAAAAACTGCAGAAAAGTGATAAAAGAATACGAGCTGTTCTCTTCTGCACTATTATTGTCTTTTTAATGGGCAATATTCTAGATGATATTTTGAGGTATATTTGTAATTTTAATAAACCTTTAAAAATTATATAAGAAAATTGAAATGAAAACAAGAAAGGAAGCCAAATTCGGCACGCCGAAGTTTGTTTACCCTTTCAGATTGAAATTCGATCATTACAATATAAATTATATAGGTGTATGTTAAAGAACAATAAAGTAATGCCTGCTTTCATTTCATTCACCAAAACATTTGATATTTAGCGTTTTACTTTCACAGTTTTTTTTATGGCAGTTATTGATATAGCAGTCCAATTTTCATAAAATATTACACAAAATTCTAGAACAATATATAATGGCTTCATATCAAATTTGATAAAAATCTGTTGAAAACTGAAAAAGTTATAATTTTTAGCTTTTAATTTTCCGATCGTTCCGATGGCAGCTATATATGTATATATATATATATATAGTCCACCGATTCGGCATGCTCCGATTTATATACTAGTAAAATTATATAGAAGAATAACTCCATAGTTTCATTCAAATAGCTTGCTCTTTGTTCCAAAACAAACTTCGCACATGTGTGCTTATGATTCCCAACTGTGTTCTAACATCCCCGGAACGAAGTGACTGCTGCCGGCCAAGTATCAGAAGAGTGTTGTGTTACAAAAGTTGCAAGTCATTGTTTATTAGTGTCCAAAGTTAGTAACTGATCATGCATAATTACTGGTTATAGATATTTACTGATCATAGGTACTTACTGGTCATAGAAACTTACTGTTCCGAGTTACTTACTGGTCATAGATACTCACTGTTCAGAGTTACTTACTGCTCATAGTTAATTGCTGGTCATAGTTAATTACTGATCATTGTTCTATAAATCGTCCGATCGTTCCTATGGCGGCTATATATATGTTTATATATAGTCCACCGATTAGGCAGGCTCCGATTTATATACTACTAAAATTATATAGAAGAATAACTCCATAGTTTCATTCAAATAGCTTGCTCTTTGTTCCAAAACAAACTTTGCACATGTGTGCTTATGATTCCCAACTGTGTTCTAACATCC